TTCTATTAAAAAGATTTGATTATTTGTCTGCATTGAATAGACTCCGAAACTACATAATCGACTTTAAAATTACTCCAACTATTGGTGAAAATAACATTAAAAATCTTATTAGTAGCTTCTGGATCCATCGCAATCAAACAGACAAAGCAGTAGATTAAATTATGAGTTTTAGTTTTCCATTACAAATAAAAATTAAAGATAAAAATATAAGAATAAGATTTCTAATACACATTAACCACCAACGGAAAACTTTAACCTATAAACCGATATAATCAAGGTGAAATTTTAATATAGAATGGAAAACAAATATATTTCGCCATGTATATCAATCTCTTACGTAGTACCAAAGAACATAAAACTTCCTAGACTTTGATATTAGCCAAAAGTCTGGGGAAACATTCATAAAATTACACGTAAATAATTTGCTCCGAGCCATTTAAATTTGTTACGACTGACGAAACACGAATCTGATGTTAAACAATTACCTATTACTAATTTCACGTTAAAATTGTTTTAAAAATATTATATTAATTTGTTTTAATATCAGCATTTATATTTATTTACTAGCTGACCCGACATACTTCATACCGCCATATTTTATTTCTCTAGTCGCAACTGAGAATCTTTTTATATAAATTCTCTTGTATATAAGATAATTTAGAAACCTTGTCCTGGTGGTCATATTGGAATATATTTTTTTAGTTTATTATCAAGTAAACAAAGATTTAAATAAGTTGAAGATAAAATCTAAAAATTGTATTATCAGAGTTTATAACTTGTTTTTATTTTTGTTATTATTAAGTTTATAATTAGTAAAAGAATGATCCATTTGGTCGTTCGGAACATACATTTTGGCGATTTATGTATATAGATTATATTTTCTGTAATTATATCATAATATCTGATATCTTTTAAAATCCCAGTATTTTATTTTCATATTGTTATACTATGCATATAAATTTCAATAAAATACTTTGAAATCTCAACTTCCAATGACTTTATTTTATGAAGAGGAATTCTAATCGATTCTAAAACTTCTTGTGTCAGTAATTAATAGATAACACCAAATTACTCGTGTCAATCTAGTAGAAGTATCAAACATTATATTAGGTATCATGGCCTAATAGACATTCGATGTGAGTTGGAAAATGTTATAATGTGTTTACTGCTCGGTAAATGGGAGAGTCAGTTGAACTAATCTGTTATGGCAACGGTCAAAAGAAAATAAACATTCGCATAATTAGGATATTATAAGACCGATGTTTGGCGGTCTGGCATTTAATGCCTAATTCAAATCGTTTGAGAATTTCAATTTGCTTTTTACAAAAAGTTTTAAGTGTAAACTCTAATACACTATATGATTGAAATTTTATTTGCTTTTAAATACTCAGATTTAGGTCCAGAATTGGTGTTCTATAATATAAAAAGCAGTATTTATCCATTCCATTGATCAGAATTATAAACTATAAAAATACAATACTAATAAGTTGTATCTTATATTAATATTTAACTAAATGCTTTGTAGTATTAGAAATTACATATTAAGATTCTGAAAATGTTCAAGAAACTATTATTGTTGTACTTATCGACTACAAATACAATTTATATTTAACTATATCCTGAGGTAAATCGTGTATGGTCAGACAACGAGGTCATCGAGTACGTATCTCTAATTCACCACCTTTGTCGTACCTACTGATCGACTACAACTATAATTCAAATTTTATTTTTAATTTATTTTAGTAATTTATAAGTTATTTCCTGTACTGAACATCATTCACCCATATATCAGATATTGATTCAGATATAAAACTTTACTGGAAATCAGTACGCTTCCTTATTTAGGAAAAAAACATCGATGCTCTGAACATCTGCATGTAATCTCTGATCATCTTCAGGAGTGATATAAAGCATAATTAAGAATCAAAACATTACTTATACGAATGTCTTAACCTGATTAGACTCCCATCCTTACCAATTATATATAAACCTATAAAAAAATCCTTTTACTCTGAACTTCACAAGGTAAATTCATTTGAATCTTAAGTGAAATTAGCGATATAATTTCGAAGAAAATCTATTCGTATTTTCGTGTTAACCTTACTCTAACTAAAATATATAAACATTAAGTCATTAATTAAATTTTAGTATAATGTATCCATTATTTTAAACATAAAGTATATTTTTTTTTTAAATAGAAACAAACAGTAATCTAATATATATATAACTCAAAGGTGACTGACATAGTGATCTATCAACGCACAGCCCAAAACACTGGACGGATCGGGCTAAAATTTGGCTGGTAGATGTTATGACATAGGCATCCGCTAAGAAAGATTTTGATCCATTCTACCCCCAAGGCGATAAAATAGGGGATGAAAGTTTGTATGAAACTTTGACAATTTTAAACCGATCGGGCTGAGACTTTGCATGAATAGAGCTACTATGACGAAGGCATCCCCTACGAAAGGATTTTCATAAATTCCACCCCTAAGGAAATAAAAAAGAGGATGAAACTTTATTTCAGGTATTTAACACGATATAATGAATAAATATTCGTTAGAAATGCTGCTCAAAGTAACTTTAGCACGCGGACGAAGTCACGGGCAAAAGCTAGTCTATTATATTTGATCAATTTGACATTCACAATGCTATGCTGGAAAATATTGTTTAAGAAAAATGCTTTAAAAAATCCACTTTCTCTCTGGCACTCTGAGATGGGACTCGAACCCATGAACTTTCGCAATCCGGGCGACTGATCTAACCACTGGACTTAACAGGACTGACGAATTTTTCAAGCACTTGTTACTTTTCGATACAATAGAGCGTTATTCATCAATGTTCAGGCAATCCACCCAAACAGCCGTAAGAAGAATTTTTACAAATATTTGAACTTTCGATAAAGAAAAAAACTTGTTCTAATTGATATATTCGACGAATTTTCCATTGACAACGCTATATTATACTATAGAGTGCCAGGAACAAAGCGGATTTTAAAGCAAATTAATTTATTGGAAAACATGTTAAGCTTCGAATCCTGTCTTTGCCACTTGATAAGGTATGATATTCTAAAGATTTATTTTAAAGAATATATCAATATAACATTGTGAATTGAAATAGCAAATTAATTTATTGGAAAACAGCTTCGAATCCTGTCTTTGCCACTTACCAAGGTATGATATTCTAAAGATTTATTTTAAAGAATATATCAATATGACATTGTGAATTGAAATAAAATATAGATATAATTAAGCTTATTATATTTCATCAATTTTGTTCATTGATCATTGTAAATAATGCTGGAAAATATTCTTAATGAAAAATGTTAAAAAATAGATTTTTTATCATAAGTTAACTTATTATTATTATTTACTTTAACAACATCTACTATTTATAATCTTGTGCTGAAAAAATAATTACAAACACAATGCCAATGAATATTTTTAAAAATGGACCACTGGTCAATTTTTTACCACTTTTTAGGACTACTGGTCCATTTTTTAGTATTTTGATTCAAAAAATAGGTCGCACTAAGTCCACTAAAAATACTTTCAGACGCTATATTGATTATCGATCATTTTTCCGTGTATCAAATGTTTTAGTTTATAATTGTAGTAAAATAAATCCTAATTATGTTTTATCGCTGTGTATATGTGCTAAACTAGATGAAAAAGAAAAACTAATTTTAATTTAGCTTTGTTTTAACGTTATTCAGTCTATCAACGTAAATTAAATTAAACTCTATCATTGCTATTAATAAACAAGGTTTAGCGTATAGGTTTGGAGTATATTTACGTCAAAATTACAATTTTAGTATTAGTCAAAATTCATATTATACAGAGAATAGCTAAACCTAAAACCTCTTACTGCGTAAAACTTTGCTAATTCTCTGTTTAATAATATGAATTTTAATTAATACTAAGTGCAATATCAGCGTAAATATACTGCAACGCTTAAAACTTTTTTATTAATAACACTGTATCTGTGTAGCTGTCTGTTTTCAGTTAAGATTTTTATTTTATATTTTTAAATAATGATCATCCATATGCATAAATAAATATATTACAATTATACTCTTGTATAATATAATACGATAATTTTTTTACCATCTAAGTTATTTACAGAATTTCAAATACGATTTGATGGATTCAAATAAGTTTGTACATCAGAATTGCTACAACTGTCTAGTTTGTTGTCCTAATACCGTCTATTCTAAATATTTAATATTATCTCGAATACCGTATGTTTGCCTCCATTACACGAGGAATTCGTTTCGAAAACAACACTGTTCTATTTAACTTGGACGCAGGAAAAAATAAGACAAATTGAAAAATACACTCATGAAAAATACAATAATCGTTTTACCAATATAAGTTTCTATTACAGTTTATAAAGTACAATATTCCTTGAAAGAAACCTATTAGGTTGCAGTGCCGGTTAATAGATACATAAGTAATAGAATCTTGAGCCTTGTACTATTGTTATATGTAGGTATATTCAACTTTGCGCTACTTCAGACACCACCTTTATGTAGGTTCGAGTTCGTTAAATTTAGACGTATTATAGCTGTATGAAGCATAAGGGCTCGTGGCTTAAACCAGTCATAGTACCCAACAGCGCAGACATAATTAAGGCTTACTGCTTTTAAGCCGAAACAAAATGAATAAGGAGACCCTTAAGTTGCTAAAACGGTAAAAGTATACAGCAATCAATACCCAAAACGTTGAAAGCCGGTAGAAAAAACTTTCAAATTTTAAGTTGTTTTGACTTAAAAACCAACTTCACTAAGCCTTATACGTAATTCAGTTAATACAACGAGACGCGACACCTAAGAAGTGTATTCATTCACACCACGACACCGGTCAAGATCGATGTATCTATTTAAATTAGGTCAGGACAATCAAGTTCACAAATGCAGCCTTAAAACCGTACACAACATTAAAATATGTATTAGCCACGTATTTTCATAATATCGTTCGTAAGAAATGAACAACACTCACCGATATATCGATCACGGCGAAAAAGTACTCGTTCCGATTCAAAGTTTTCACAGCTCACCTGAGATCGCGCTTGTACATTCCGGCAAGTCCGAGTTAGGCGGGCGGCGGATCGCACTCGGCATACGGCGGGCGCATGGTCGCGAGCGAGGCGATGCGATGCGGTGCGACGCGGCGCGATGCGGTGCGACGCGTTGCGGCGCGGTCGGGGCACATGCGGCCGGCGCGCTGCGCGACGCTGACTGGCCCGGGCGGGGTTGGCGCCGCCGCGTTTCGTTGCCCTCAATTCGCATTACAGGCACAATAATTGTGGAGCTGCAGCCGCGGCGGCACAACCTATCGATTCACTCAACCGCTCGTACGTATCGTGAAACTAAAAAGTTCCATCGAATTTTGTATGTGGTACGTGTCGGGTTGCCGGTCACGATTTTTTATTGATACTATTTTCGATATTTCAACTTTATATTATGAAGGTTCAACATGTTTTAGAACAGAACATTTCTATTAGTAATTTAAATATCTCCGCCCATAACAATAAGGTTTATCTTTAATTCGAGCATTTGTTATTAAATAGTAATTTTTATAACGAAATTCCGTTACAAAATGTTAAAATTTCAACCAGATTTTATTAGTACATAAACTATTTTAAGAGCTAAGCATTAAGTGACGGCACTCTCTGAAAGCTCGTAAAGTAACGGCTACGCCACGAACCATACGAATGCTACGAAGTGTCTACAGTCGTCCTGCTACGTGCTACGGCGACGCCTACGTCACTTGCGGTGACGTGCTACGGGGACCTTTAACATTCAAATACTGTCAACCTACTTTGCCCGGTTGCTCGATAGATTTCAATGCGCGCTTCCTTTTCATCGTTAGTGAAGGTTTACTATTGCTTCAGATTTTACGGCAACTAGTTTCCGCAGTAAAATAACGATTTGTATAGAAAACAGTATTGATTTGCGTTATGCGGAAGTTTTTTTACTTAGAACTTTGTTTAATAGCATTGTCTTATTCGAAAACGTATTTAGCATGCCATGAAAAATGTCCTGTTCGAGAAATACGTAAATCTTGTAAAGGTTTGGTAAAATCAATCACCCAGTTAACTAAAAGTCTACAATAACTGAGAAAGATTTTTAAAAGAATTCTTTCTTAACATTTACTCGAACGTCACATTGTGAATTCAAAATTAAAAAACATTACCCTTCCTTTGCAGGCGGGTAATAATTGAAAATATTCTTATTTTGTCAAGGTAGGGTCGGATTTTTTCTTATTTAATTAATCTTAAAATAGACGTTATTAAAATTTTAACCGGTAGAGATTAATGCTAGAGATAAATAACTTTAAAGTAATACCGGGAAAAATTAAATCAATAGGCTTTTTATTAAAATATGAGATTGATATTGAAATATTGTAGATTTTTGTATCACGTACTATTAAATAATCTTTAAATATTGTAGGATGGTTACCTTTTTAAATATTATTATATTTAATTATATAACGACTATAGTTGAGTCCGATTTCAAGGTGTCGCTATCTCTGAAGTCCCGGGTTCAGTTTTAGGTCAAGTTAAAGTCATTTATCTTTACGAAACGAAAAGCAATAGAAAAATTTAATACATAGTTCTCAATAACAAACTCTTTTTTAATTCGGTTGGATATTTGTTGGTCATTCATCTTCCTAACATTATCAAATGATGTTTCTTGAATTTGTTAACATACTTAGTAGTTATTTTTATACGACTGCCCAATAAAGGAGTGTATTGTGTTTAAAGTTAATGTATGTGAGTTTCTATATTCCACTTTAGAATAATCATTAGAAACTTTGCATCGTCCTGAGTGACACTGGCTATATATTTTTTCAAGATATTCAATGTTAAGTTATCAAAAATATATAATCTGAATCCATTTACTGGTCTCTAAAAATAGTTTAAATTAAAAAAAAAAACACGGTTTCTAAAATCTAACTAAAAATTAAAGAAACAAGTTGTATTATGGGTTCACTAGACAACTAGACAAAACCGTTTGGCAGTCGCGTTTCTAAATATTCGGTTTATATATTCAAAAAAATAATGTTAGTCGGTATTAATTCCAATAACTGAATTTTGCCGACAAACGAGGTATATGAACTTATTACTCTACTAGCATACCGCCAGCGGCTATCTTACGGATCCCTATTTTTTCCAAAAAAAAATATAGCCTATGTTACTCGTGAATAATGTAGCTTTCGAATGGTGAAATTAATTTTTATGAAATAGGTCCAGTAGTTTTTGAGCCTATTAATTACAATTTAACAAACAAACAAACAAAGTTTTCCTCTTTATAATATTAGTATAGATTTACGGGTGGGCCGATTTAGCTTTTTATTGGTTTTAAAATGTTTGTTGTAGTTGTAGTAAGGTTTAAACGGCGAGAGGTGAAACGAATTTTTAGTACCTATTTCAATATAAACTATAGAATAAAATAGAAAAGAAGCACCTATTTCAGTATAAACTACAATTTCAATCGTCATTAAATCTTTAATCGTTTCGTACTTTTATATATAGTCTCGGGTTATAGTTCTCGTGGTACCGTTGTCTTTACAGAACAGAAAAAAAGAAGTTGTCTCAGATGCTCCATTACAAGAGGTCTTTAGCTACTCATCTTGGAATCTGAGCAATATATATGATGTTGTAAGTTATTTATATCTACTTATTTATCTAAATAAAAGCACGTAAAAATGAAAAATGAATTATTATCATGGCGTAATTTGCGTTAGCTCATTGCAAGTAGGCTCACAGCTCAACAGAAGTGTTGCCACCTTGGTGGCTTTCCGAGATGTTTCGAGGTATATTTCATCACTTCGCGTTTTTTTGTTTTTTTTTTGTAGTTTCTCCATATAATATAAATATATCTGTAATACTAATGAAAAGGTAAAAAATATGGTTTTAGTTATTTTACTGTTAACTTTGGCAATAATAATTCACAAAATGTTGTGGTAGTAATAAAATTTTCTAATTTTAAAATCTATTAGAATCCCTTTCAGTGTGACACTTGAATGGCATTCATGTTCTTTACGCTTCAATTTTTTAATATATGATATAACGACTGCGATCGTGACACATTTGATGAACTATATTGTAAATTTGACGTTTTATGGAATTTTCTAAATCAAATCAAAATCATTTATTCTGTCTAAGCTGTAACAAGCACTTGTGAAAGTCGAGAGCTACGCCATCGGTTCGTAAATCTACGACGGGAGACCTTATACCGAGAAGAACCGGCAAGAAACTCTGCGAGGCCTGCTTTTTTCTCCCTATTTTATATCATACAGAGCACCAAGATTGAAAAATGACTTTATTTAAATATGAAGTCACTTTCCATAACCATTTTATAAAATATAAAAGTAAAACAGTATCTTATGTCTAGTCAAACAAGCTCACCGATTAATAATTTAATATACATAAAAATAAGTCATATTTAACACCAAGCGGTTTTATCGTTTAAATATTCATTAACAGTATAATATCCTCTAATGAGTACACAATTCTTAATTTGGGTCTTAAATTAAGGCAATGATGTATTTCAAATTTCCATAGGAATTCTGTTTTAGTAGTGTATGTTGATAGAAACTTCTTTAGCCTGCATGACGGCAAAACAAGTTTATCTTTGTTTCTAGTATTAAATATAATGTAATTGTTAATATTGTTTCTAACATAAAGTATGCAATTGTATATCAATTGGGAGACAACTGTTAATATCCCAATTTCTTTGAATTTATCTCTAAGTGATAAATAGCTGTTACTGCTCTTTTTTTGTAAAATAAATACAGACTCCATATCTGCAGTCATACTCCACTAATAAAATGTTAGGATCCAATAATGAAATGTTAGGATATCAATACAATTAAGAATCCAGCGTTACACCCAAGAAGATTGTTAAATCAACCAATTCGAGCTTTTCATCATTAAATTTAATTTCTATTAGTTCAGCTTTTACATTAGGTAACGTAAACTCTATACATTTCGTTTTTTTTTTTGCATTTAACTGGAGTTTGTTTACAGTAAACCGGGTCATAATCTGTAAGAGAGCATTGTTTACTTACATCGTCAAAGTTGTTTTTACATCTATCAATATTAAATATTAAAGAAGTGTCATCTGCAAACAATACTACATAGCAAATAGTTTCGACAAAGAATGGCAAATCATTTATGTATCTTTGTAACAGAAAGGGACCCAGAATAGATCCCTAGGAATCCCTATTTTTAATTGTGAATATCATACCTTTTATATCGATAGTTTGAGTTCAGGAACCGAGGTACGACAATATTAGTTGTAGGGCTGAGTCTTTCATCGTTAGATGCAAAAATTACTTTAAATTACTAAAATTTTATTATGATTATTGATCATTCAAATAATAATTCGTTCCGAAAGCGATAGCGAATATAAATGATAATTTCTTAAATCCCTACCGCAATCGCTATACCTTCGAAAATGATTGTGATATATTGTATATTGAAATTAGACAATTCTCCTACAGATTTTTGGAGATTTGGCACTCTACCTTATTGAAAGGTGGCAACACTGCTCAACAGCAGTGCGGTCAAGCGGCGTGGCGCGGCGCGTAGCGTGCGAGGTTCGCGTGACACCTGTGCGTGCCGCAACCTGCTTTGTTTGTGATTGTTAAAAAAAACGTATTAAACTGACCACTAGCCCGGTCATACAGTGTTGGTCGTACAATCGATTGGGCTCGTTTAAAAACGCCACCAAAGAGTTTGTTTTTGGCCCCGATTGAACAGAAACATTTTGTAAAGTAAAAACAATTGCAGAAAATTATTTATGTACCGTCATTATCAGCGTAGGTGTATGAAATGGTTAGCGCATCGTCTGCGATGGGGAAATTAGGCTACTTTCGCAAGGGCCTTTCATAGGATGGGTGTTCAAAAATTCACTGTGTCTAGCTCCTTTTAAACCGTTGATTCCGGCTGCATCTGCAAACTTTATTGGGCCGCGTGGTAGGTCACGGCTCATTTTTCTAATTCTATCGAGTCCATCCTTAGGGAAGGCGCGTGTCCCAACTGTGGGAGCATTGATAGGCTGACGATTATATTGAAATTGAAACGTTTATTGAACACGCACACAAATACATATTTAACAACAAAAAAAAGAAAGACATTACACACTAATTATAATTTAACTCAGAGTGCACCCGGTGTGGTGTCCAAAAGGCGTCAGCTCGACATGTGTAACAGATAACTGTAACGTCGATTTTCAGCTGACGCCTCCCAAGTGGTGAGTGGTGGTGTGCTGCCCAATAATAATAAGATACGAGTGTTGGTGATCATCATTGAAAAGAAAACGGTTAAATCTAAAAGGTTAAAAAAAATATCAATAATAATCAAATATACCTACGTAGTTATATGGCGTAATCATCAGCAGCCCTTTTACGTCCCCACTGCAGGGGCTCAGGCCTTCCTTATGGATGGTTAAGGAGGATGGGCCATGACCCTCCACGCTGGCCCAATGCGGATTGGAGGGTATTAACGACTGCAAATGCAGCCGGGACCAACGGCTTAACGTGCCTTCCGAAGCACGGAGTAGCTGGAGATAATAATTTTTTGGTCACCCATCCTGTGACCGACCCTTGCGAAAGTTGCTTAACGACTACGATCGCGGGCCGCGGCGCTTATCGACTATGCCACCGAGCTACTCGTAAGTACTCGTAGCTATGGCGTAATAATCATAATAAAACATAAGAAACTGAAGTGATCATGGAGTATTAACTAAGAAAAAGGAATCACACAAAAAGGACGCATAACATGGATCATATTAACTATATGGAAAAAACCACAAATCAAGATAGGTTATTCCCCTTGTAATAGTAAGATTTTTTATAATAGTAATTAATTAAAAAATTATATAGTAGGTTTATAAGTGATCAAATGAATTATTTTTTCCAAATTAATATTTTGATGATTTACAGTATACATACATTTATGATAATCTAATATCGTACTGTTTTTCAGAAAAGTATATTAAGAAACATCAGATTTTGCAATAAATCACAATACGTTAAAACTGTTTCTTTACTGTATTATTGGCATCATAAAACGGAATACACGATGAGTAAAAATAAACATTAGACAACATCACATACAATGCTTAGATTTAAAGATGAGTAGTTAAAAGTACCACAACACCCAGACCCGAGACAATATAAAATTCTATTATTGACCCGACCGGGAATCGAACCCGAAACTCCGGAGATGGCGACACATTGAAACCGAAGGCCGTATGAATAAATAAAATTTAAATCTAAATAGGCATCAATATTCATAATTACGGCAAAAATCATCTTCATTAGGTAGTCTTTCTCTGAATTAAATTGAATAGTACCTATGGATTCTTAAGCGCAGTTCAATGAACAAGCGTAATAAGGATCTGTAGATGTTTTCCACTTGAAAAGTTTAATAGCTCCTCCAACTTTAGTAGACTATAAAACACAGCTTTCTGTGGATAATGACTGCCGATAACAAAGTTAAGTTTTATATTGTACGAATATTGTTAAAGAGAACAGTTTTTGAGTTTAGTTTTGAACCAGAGTTGAACACCACGAATAGCAAAGGATTTGAATAGGAAATTGTTACAGTATAGATATCACAGATATATTTGATATTGGGGTTAAAGCAATGCAAATGTGCATATATATAATATATATATACTCTGGAACAGACTTCCCTTAACTTTCAAGATACGCCACCCATCATGTGCTACAAAACTAAACTCAAAAACTGTTTTCTAGAACAATGTTCGTATTCATGACACTGCTTTCATCGTTTCTCATAATATGTATATGTGTAGTGTATATTTTATCTGTGTGTAGTATTTTTTATATGTTATAATTATTTTTAACCGTAATATCATTTAACTGCACTAGTATCACTCGCTTACATCTTACTCTCCCATGACGCCTTGGTTCGATGGAAGAGATTTTTTCTAGACCCCTTTGTTACAAATTCACTTAATTATTTTTATGTAATAAAATTGAGTGCAATAAAGAGTATAATAATATAAATAAATAAAATATACTCTACTTATTTCTATTAACCTTTATACTTGTTCTTACGTACTTAATGGTCTGTCTTGTTGTACATCGACATGGGGATACACAGGTAATCGTAATAACCTTGTACATCGACATTGGTAATAAGCGAATTTGGCGTAATTCATTCAGTTAATACTTTACATCTGATATTATGGGTATTGAGACAACTGCATCATAATTTTAATGACTTGCTTAACAATGAACTTTGCAACAGCTCGTTCTAAGCAAAGTTGATGCTAACGAGCTAAGTAACTCAACTTGGCCGTTTGGCCTAACTTAGCGGGGAGCGTGCCAAGTGCGATCTAACGTGAAAAATTCAGTAAATCGTCGCGTCACAATTGCTCAGTCGTTATCAAGCGCAGACTACTTTATTTGGCATTTTTATAGAAAATTGTGTTCAGTGAATAAAATCAAGGGTAATAAGATATGAAAAAGTTTCTTAAATCCAAATCAGATGAGATCAGATTTCGAACAAGGGAATAAAGTCCAAATAAGTTGACTTTGAAATGAGAAAATTAAATGATGTCATATGAACTTAATATTGAAGGCGTTTTCATATCGGAATCAATATTAGCTAGCCTGAGTTATTTCGTTCTATTTATCTTTATATAAGTAGTTATTGTCATTATTGATTTCACATTTTATAGCCATCAAAAGAATTTCAATAGATAGATAACTCCTAAATAGTTAAGCAGTAAATAAATCAAGCGGCATTATAGATAATACTAAAGCGACTTAACTACTTATGACGTCATAAGAACCCAATAAATGGATATACTTTTCCATAGATTGTTACATTTTTTCATGTTCCACGGTAGAAGCAAAATTAATAATAATTCAGATGTCTATCATCTCGCATAAGTCGTAAAAGTGGACAAATAATAGGTTTTATGTTACCTACCATTCACATTTGACTACCGGTTCTTTTACAGCCAACACATCATATCAAGAATACTCATACAATAATATACTTAATCTTAAATTTTTTAATGACAAATGCTTAAAAAATCTTAGGTTAATCTTGACATTTCTTAAACATTTTTCATTAAGAATATCGAGAATATTTGTAAAAAATCGTTAAGATTATTTACCGATTTTTGGTTAAATACCAGCTCATTATTTTTTTTTCCTTCATATTATCCAAACGTTTTAAATACACAACAATGTGTTATCGAAATTTTCTTCAAAAGGCGAAACTAGTAATAAAAGTGTTTGGTAAGTGCCGTTAAATTCTCTAAAAGTCAACTCTAACTAGACATTTAATACAGTTTCTCGTAATTAATAACCACAACATAAAATTTATACTAAATAATACACGTATTTTACTGATATTAAATAAACCCCAAAAGAAGTGTTTGAATAAATATTATTATTAATATTTGTTTAATTGAAGATTTTTATTGACGCTACCTGATTGCTATCTTCTCATACACACTCATAGTAAAATACAACTAAATCACTCGACTTTTCTTTTTGTAAATAACTACCAGGTATTTAATCAAACATTTATTTCCACTAGCTTATGCATAACTTGTGGCCACCAGCGACTTCGATTTTTCGCGTTTTCCATTATTTCTTCGCTCCTAATAGTTGCAGCGTGATGTTATATAGCCTAAAGTTTTCCTCGATAAATGGTCTATTCAACACAAAATTTTTCAATTCGAACCAGTAGTGCCTGAGATTAGCGCGTTCACACAAACAAACTCTTCAGCTTTATAATATTGGTATAGATATAAAAAAAAAACAAAAGTAAAAAAAATATCTATATATTTAAATGCTCACCCAAACTTGGAGTGTTATTAAAAGGTTTTTTAGGGAGTCTCTTTTGATATATCATGTTATATTATATTACACAATCTGTTGAGTCGTCTGGATACCGTTGCTGATGTAATTGACTACCATGCTGAACCAAGACTGGATGGTGGAAAACACACCAGCGTTTTCAATACCGTTCACTTGAACTTGTACTATACCGTTATTGAATACTTCTCCGTCCGGAATTTGAGGCGCAGGTTCTGGTAGAGGCTCGGGCTCAGGTAAGACAACAGGGGAGGGATCAATCTCCTCAACAACCATCGGAGGCGAAGGAGGAAGCAATTCAACTGGAGATGGGACAACTTCAGGCTCACCCGGAGACGGCAACACAATCGGTGCTACTACTTCAGGGCTCAACTCCGAATTTTCAGGAATCGGTATTACTGCAATTACTTCGGAATCTACATCTGGATTGTGATCGACAATTTGAACAGGGGAAGGTATCATTTCTTGCTGGGCAGCTTCGGCAGCGGCGGCAGCTTCAGCAGCAGCGGCAGCTTCAGCGATGCCTTCAGCGGTAAGAGGATGAAGAAGATCGACACTCGACGCTAAAACGCCATTATTGTGTTCTTTAAGCTTAATATCCACGATATTTCCGATGTCTAAAGGTTGACCTTCAGCAACTCCATTGACAATTAGCTCAACTGGCTCGCTGATCGCCGCAGGAGTGGGCGCCGCTACAGCAGCCGTAACAAATAATGCCAGCACAATATATTTCATTGTTGTTCACCTAAAATCATTAAATATAATATCTTTTTTAAAAAGCACGTGTCTTTCACAAATACAATAAATATACATAACAAAATATATTAAGTCGTATAAAGCGCTCTCACTCTTCATGTCAGAATGACATAAAAACACTTATTATAATGACAAATTCTCACCTGCGCTCTGATCGAAGGTTCTATACCATATGGAGAGCGAATTTTAAATGTTCTTGTAAGTGTCATCGCAGATAATGTTCGGTTAATCCAGCAATAAATTAATTCACAATAATTCACATTGATAAATAAACTTCCTCTGTTTGATAAAAGCGTAAATGTTATTGTGATAATAAATTTCATTGTACTTAGTTTAATCCGAGTAATTGAATTCAATAATCTTTAGACTGATTGTATACAATTTATAAGGCTTATAAACAAACTATTTTGGGTTTATGCATAATAAAAAACTAAAGTCTTTTAATGTAAACTAGTAATTATATTTATTTGTATCTACGTAATGACTTCTGAAAATGTACAAGGTAGTTTAACACAAGAATCTAGATATAGAAAAACTCCGGACCCATTATACCAATTGCGCTGATTGACGGATAAGAATTTTTGGCACTATCAATAATACAAATATTTCTCCATTTTAATGCTAACGCTTATATTTTATTAGAGGTAGGGTGGTGCGTAAAAAATTTGGTCGCCCATTCAATTCACAGATCAAACGTGCTAACTATTTCAACATCGAGCCAATCAGGCTCGCGTGTATGTCGCAATGAGGATTGGCGGTGCTAAAACATAGATATACTTAATGGATATGCTTTTCAGCTAGGAGTGCTCTGTCCTGTTCTAAACTAAGGTTAGCATATAATAGCTAAGGTATCCATGGTTAACATATAAAATAAAGTTTCATAAACAACTAAAGAGGTTTTAAACATTATATGTTTATAAAACTCTTACGATCTTATGATAGATATACATACTCGGGATATTCAACAACTTCCTTACTACTTAGGATATATGTATATGCAGTAATTCCCATTTAACGCTTTTGTTTACTAGGCGACAAATAATGATAAAAACGAAAGAAAGAAAGAAAGACGAAATGTGGTTTTCATCATATATATAATATATATATATAATACAGGACCAAGCCGGCGAAGCCGCTGGTGGAAAGTTGATGATAAAACCTAAAGAATGGATTATATTTCATGTATACATACATAATATAACTGTAACAGTAATTATAATAAAAAAGATAAAATAGTTTTTAAGTGTAACTCTTTAAATTAACCAAAGCAAAGAGAAAATATAACATAATATTACCGGTTCTTTTAAGTACTAGATTTCCCGCCTTGGTTTGACAAACCGATAGCATTCAACTAAGACTGTATAATATAATATTGAATTGACTGTTTAATAAGAATTTAAATTTGTTCATATAACTTTGTTTCTAACATTTAACAAACATTAAACTTACACCAATTAATGCCGGGCTAATTATAACTTGACTGGAGTACGTAGCCATCTCATAAAATTAAAATATACGGAAAATTTTAATGGTCATTAAAAGTTTTCAAATTTTTAGGATACTTGGCTACGTAACTAGAATACCAATTTACACAACGAAAACTTCATGAGAAGAGACAAAATATCAATTTATTTTCTCAGGAATAATTCACGAGAAAAATGTTATAGATCTACCATATCTACCATACTGGGACTAGGATTAAAAATTTGTTAATGTTTTAATTAAATTTCAGGCTAAATTAGCGACGACGACATCGCATGCCGGTTTTTAAGTGTAACCGTCTCTGATGTCACGGGCTCGATTCCCTATCGGGTCAAGTTTTCCATATGATGTCTTGTGTTTGAGTGTTGTGTAACCTTCATTATTTCAGATTTTATGTAATTTGGGGTCTAAGCAATGTATAATATTTAATTTTATACTATTTATAATATTAGCTAATATTTAATGTTTATTCTATTCACTACAAAACGAGACGAGAAAAAATATTCTCGTATAAATTAGGCTAAGAGTCAGGGTCATAACATTAAGGTAAGTACAGACTAGTTCCTTACAATAGGCTTTAAGGGATCGCAAGTAACCGAGGGCATGCTCTTGCAGTGGCTTCACACGATAAACAAATACAATTTTTTAATAATTAAAACTTTAATTTGTTTTACAATGTAATTAAAAAAGAAATAAGTTTGATGATATCAACTGTGGAGAAACTTAATGGCACAGTATATAACGCGTCTCTGAGATGCGATTAAACAACTTTCGAAGGGGTCTATGATAGGATGTGTACTCAAAAGTTTTTTGCTAGAGCTTAGCAAGCATTCGATTCCCCCTTTGATTCAGACCATAGAAAATGCCTATGTCCCAGCAATGGGGACATTGATAGGCTGACGATAATAACCTGTGTATAAATTATCACAAAAGCCTTACAGAAGCATACTTTACATAAAGGCCTAGTCAAATTCTGCCGAATCAGGCCGAATGTAGCATCACAAAAGCTGCAACAATTCTCACGATAGATATAATACAAAGAATTCCTAAAATGCAGGATTATTTCCATGTAATTTGACATTTCAGCAAATACTCGACGCTGTTCCAGGTAAAGTTCACGGCAAGTGAGCCTTTACCTTTAATATTGCACACCCCACGCACTTTACTCCCCGTCGTCGCCCGCGTTCGTGCCTTTGCTCGATCCTTTGTTCCCAACGAATCACATACAAACGTGTATTCTATATATATGTTACACCGCACTCTTTGTATTCTTTGGGATAAAAATGTGAAAACAATGCCTAATGAGTCAACTATCTTTACAGGGTGTTAATTGAAAGAACAATGATTTTCTAAACCTGAACACTCTGAAAGATTTTCTATAAAGAATGTGTTTAATAATGAAACTACTATGACAATATTAGTAAATCTATACTAATATTGTAAAGAGGTATAGTTTCTAGCAGTGTTTGTTTGTTTGTAGGCTGTAATTTTTGGTAACACTGATCCGAGCATGAAAAATCTTTCAGCAACTGGTATAATATACATGGGCAAGCAAAGTCGCGGGAAAAACTAGCGATACGTGTCTCTATTTGTCATTAATTTATTTTAGAAAGAATACCACGTAGAGAGATCTGTACGCGGTATTCTTTTTGAGAAGTACCTACTTGAAAAATTAAGATATAGTCATCATTTTTAATAATCTACAATTCACAATCATATTTATAATCATACTAAAAGTGTGGTACCCACTCGAAGGTCGGTTCATTCAATGTAATACGGCTATGGTAAGCAAGGATAAAAATGCTTTATTTTGTGTATCACCCTAATTTTTATTTAATTATCTGCAAGTATTAATGATATTAAAAAAATCAAGCAAATACCCTGTATTTCTTTTCACAAATACGAATGATAATCTAATTAACTTTAATCAGAAGCTTTTTATAATCTCCAAACTTTGAATGTTGATGTATTAATAAAAAATGAATCTATTTATCTCATTTGAAGCGTACAATACCGGTAACGCCACCTAGAGACGCTGAAATAAATATGTCTGTTGTTCTTTCAGCTGATAATATTAGAAGCATTATTATAATATCAACGTCTGCCTGAATATTACGAGTAAGTGTTTCTAGTCTTTTCCGCTAGCTGACGCTGACCGCTGTTCTAAGCGCAGAAAATCGCTAACTGCTGTGAGATTGTTTTGAACATTGTATTTTAAGAATGTGTAACAATACTAGGTATATATATATATATTAATTTATTTATTAATATTTTCTTTTGATTTAACACATTCGACTAACATCCGATTTAAAGTAGTAAAATACGATTAAAAACTAAATGTAGGGATATCGCGTCTGCCTAACCGCCTAACTCATGGACGTAACCTTAATCGTAGCTATTACCTACGCTTTATAGGTGTTTAACATGAATCTGCTGATATTGTTTTGAAATTAATCGTTTTTTATTATTTACATATTTAATCAATGCTTTTCTTTGTTTTTGTTTACTGAATTATCAAAGTAAACAATGCTATTTCGAAAAGAAAAACAAACCAAAATGTTTGATAAAATGTATAAATAAAAAAGACAGTTAATTTTAAAAGAATATAAACAGATTCATGAGATACTTAATGAATACACTTGCTGAAGTCAAGTAATGTGGGTACAACCCTTTGACTGTCGGATAGATTGACAGACAGCGGAGAATAATAATACCCTTTGGCACACTTTAACCCTAAAACAATAGCTTTGTAACGCAAATTAAGGTACCAAAACCATAAAGTCTATGCTGTGGCTACTCCCAGAACCAAAGTAAGTAGTAATTGCAATCTTTTAAAAATGATATTCATATGTGTCAAAATTATTTTTTCAAGTTATTTTTGAACTATTCATGTTAATTTGGATGTCTTGAATATAATTATGAGTTATCTTTATTTTTTGAGATTTTTTAAATTGGTTTTACTTTTAAAGAGGTTATCAATTTGACCAGTATTTATATAATTCCGTTGGAAAAGCTCAATATATGTATATACACGCAAAGCTAGTCTATGTAGGCTTCTAAATACGTTTTCTAAATTCATAAATGTATATGTATGCTTCCGCGTATTTTTTACAAATAAGACATCGTATCGCAATCATATTTTTTCATGTCTTCACTTAACTGTCAGCCTAGGAAAAGGATAAGTTTCAACATATTCTATAGTAGATATATTTTAGATATAAGCTATTGAAATTTAACGAAACTTCCATCAAAGTCGAATGCTTTATAACCTTATAGACCTCGGCCCGATTTCAATAGAACTTTCGTGAATGAATTTTCGCTTTTTCGATAACAATTATTTAACTGTCGTTGTTAATTTTAAATCATAATAGTATGAAAATAACTATAATTTTCCACCTGGCAATTCTCTAAATGTCTCTTTGTTAATTAAAATATTCTATAAACACGACCTTAAAATCATTTTTTAAATGATTTTTATCTAAAAATAATAGGCGTGGGTTTTCAATAATGAATGAAATATATTATCTTGTCTTTTCTGTCTTTTATTGATTAATTAGATAGAAGTAGCTTTAATATTTTAGCTTAAAATTTGGCGTTATTTTGCGGATGTCCATTACTGTAACTGTGAAATTATGATATCTAGCAACTTCCACGCGCAGTCAGCATTTGCAATCCGGGGCGCGACCTCCTAACTCATGGACATAGCCGTAGTCGTATCTATGACCTATGCTTTGTAGTTGTTTCACATGAATCTGTTGATATTGTTTTAAAATTAATCGTTTTTTATTATTTACATATGAAATCAATGCTTTGGGTTGTTTTTGTTTACTGAATTATTAAAGTAAACAATGCTACTTCGAAAAGAAAAACAAATCGAAATGTTTGTAAAATAAATAAATTAAAAAATCAGTTATACAAAATTCACATGTACAAACAGCAACAAATCTCGCAAAATAAAATGTAGGTAGATAAGTAATTCGATTCGCCACATCATAAAACAATGTACAAATACCTAGACATCGAACAAAGCTTTTATTTCTACAAAAATATTACATTACTTATTTAAAGCCATGTCATCATTGTAATATAGAAATTAATAATTTTCTAAATAGGAGAGATGACCCGATTTTGGCCATTTTAAGATTATGACCTAGTTTTTGACCAGTTTAAGACTTAAGATGTCTGCTGTCAACAGCATTAGTTTAGTCATTATACAGGATGTTTGTTACCAAACACGCTGTATATGCGTTACAATGCCTTGAAGTTCCAAATCGCCAAAAATTTGGAAGTAGCCAAAACCAGGTCTTCTCCCACAATGATAGCTAATCTAAAATTTATTTTGAGTGACTACAACTAAAACTGGTTTAAGTTTAGGATCCCAACCATAGTTAACGGACTGTGGTGTGAGATTACCACTTTTATATACTTCAGATATCTTCGAGAAAATATCTCGAAATTTCTTTTCCACTCCTAAATCTGCAGCAGCGTTATCCACGTCTTGAATGGTAGTGTCCATTGGTAAAACGGTCTTGCCTGTCGTGAATGGAGTCTCATTCCCATAATATAAGTCCATATGATCATTAAGTATACCTTCTAGAACCTTCTTTGGTGTCGCATTGATTGTTGGATCCATTATTGCATTTGATAGCTCGTCTATTGTTACCGTCGGCACTGCCATTTTGAATTTTCTGTAAAATTACAAATGGAATTGGAAAATTTTAATATTAGACAATATCACATTACTTTGCTCAAATTCTAATAAGAATACGTTAACCCCTACATTAAACCGGCGGGGAATCTAACCCGAGACTTCGAGATAGCGACGCCTTGAAACTGGCGTGCGAGTCATTTGGCTAAGTCAACGTCGATTAAGTAATAAATCGTACATACCTATCCTGTATAATATTAAGAATATTATTAAAAAAAGGTTGACTAAAAAAATCAAGGTTTCTCCATAGATTTTATTTGATTACAATTCTATTTTTTTGACATTCTTAACAGCAATATAGTAGGATTTTTTTATTTTATTCCTGTGAATTCAATAAATAACTAAGATATTTTTTTTATTTGATTGAGAAACAAACGGTTTATTTTATTGAAGAAAAAACATAACAACATATAAACTTACAGTTCCCTACAAATACATTTATAAATTTAACATAAAGAAATGGTAAACAACGAGAAATGAAAGAATACAACATTTTATAATCTTATTATTTAATAAATTGGTATGTTATGTAATAGAAAAAAAACAATTATACTTCTGTAAGTATATTAATATTTTTTCTATTGTCTATGACTATGGAATAACGTTAAGAGACACATTTTTTGTTAAGTAATGTTAAAGACAGTTGATTAGTTAATTTAGTTACTGCTGACTATGAACATCTAATCTACTTAAGTTTCTTTATATATTTATAAACATTGTCGACAGTAATTTCAGTTATCAACGTATTATTATTTTGCCGCTTATACCCTTTATCTATAAAACACAAGCAAAGGTTCAACTATAATTACATCGGATCTAAATATATTTTTTTTTTACCATACTTACTGGTCAAATAAAATATTCACAACTTCGTCACTGTCGTACTGAAACTAAAATCAATCAGTTCTGTATATAAACCGCACCAAAACCAATATTACTGACGCGATATGCCAGCCACGTCATCTGATAAATCGGTTACATTATCGTTTATCCGATATTTAATTTCACTCGCACAAAATACGCTAATATGATGCATGCTTTCTTAGGATTATTAATCTACAGATAACAGAATATCTTTAAAAATTACCAATAAGTTATATCGAAAAGTATGAATGTATTTTGCGTTCGTTCTTAAAATAAGTATTTTTAGGGTCTGCCTGTTCGTATATCTAGCCGTCTGGCTGTTTATCTGTCTTCTGTCTGTGACCAGGAAGTTCATGAATCATGATAGCTATACAGTTAGAATTTTCAGAGATGTAGGGGTATTTCTGTTGCAGCTTGAACAGCAAATGTTTTAAACAGATTTTAATAATATTGCAAGGGTCCTTAAATTTTTAAGTATAATAATCTGTTCAAATAACAAACCCATACAACAAACGTTTAGTCCACAGAAAACGAATTATAAGATTTACTTCTAATTAAATTATAATATTTATTTTATTACAAAGCTTTTTGATCGCTACCAAAGTTCCCATCATCATTTGTCGTACGCCAGAACCTTATTATTATTGAATGTCATTATCGGATGTAGTGCGAAAGCTGTTCCCAAGCTTTAAATAAAATGTTTTGTCACGGAACACACGGCTTTATACTGAAAGCGATATCTGATAAGTAAGAACGGAATATCCGGGAATTCTTTTCACATACTTCAATAATAAGCAAGATATTCTGAACTTTTTGCATCACACGCTGGAAACACTTCTTCTTCTTCTTCTTTGCAAAATCAACATTCATTTCTATGTAAATAATATCAATTCATTCCAAAATAATTGTGAAAACAAATGAATGAATTTCTCATGGAAGAAACCTGTCCTAATGCCATCTTGTCGCTACCGCACTTCCTGGCTTTATTAGGCAACCGACAGTATGCAGTTGACTAATTTTCTCGCACTTTCTCGAAAAATTTTAGCGTCCCGGAGTTATCCTAACACTCCGTAGCCGAGTGGTTCGCACGCCGGTTTCAGGGTGTCGCCATCTCTGAGGTCCCGGGTTCGATACTAAGTCGGGTTAATCTAGAAAATGAACTTTTCTATATTGTGTCGGGTCTGGGTATTGTGTTACTTTCGTTGTCTCAGATACTCCATAATACGGGGGCTCTGACTACTCATTTTGGAATCTGAACACTGTATGTGATATTGTGTAATATTTATTTATTATTTATATATATACAAAACAATTGCTGTTCGTTGGTGTCGCTGAAACTCGATAACGGCTGGACTGATTTAGCTGATTTTGGTTCTGAAAGGTTCGTTTAAACGATGAGACGTGATAGGAATTACACCGGGTCATCTTGTAGTTTACTTATATTTTCTTTTTTGACAAAAAATTAAAGAGAAACACATAAATTACAAAACTTTTTTTTATTTTCACCAAGAGTTCATATGAGTTTTTTGTCTATAATTTATCTATTAAACCATAGGGCCTATGGCGACAGCTGGGCTTGGTTCAAGAGCCTCCACCGGTAGAGCAGCGATCAAATCAATTGGATTCCATATTGGCTCAGGAGTGGGACGTTCGATGATCGGAGAGGGATGCACCGTATCCACTACCTTTAAAACACAAAATAAAATTTATCGCTTTCTTGATAAGTACGCATTCGCCAAAAAAATAAGTACGCTTATTTCTCGCAAATTTGACATCGTATCGAATTGATTCTTTGCTGTGTAATTATTTATGTTACAATTACTATTATACCTGTTTTCACTAATATAGAACAAAGCATAGCTTAACTAGAAATTACTTAATATTAAAAATAGTTAAAGCAGATTTGTCGTTTCATAAACCTGTAACGATAGGTAATGCCTTACTAAGCACTTGCTTTGTACAGGTAACGTTTGTCTATGATTTTGCATGCTTCAGTTTTCCTGCTTTTTTTATGTATGGCCTATTTGCGTCTACGAAATTCCGCCAATATCACATAGTGGCATTTACACGTAGAGAGACAATAACAAAAATATATTTTGAAGTAATAAAACAAGAAAAATTATACGTGGTCTTGTTTAATAAATACGAGCACCCAGGCAATATATAAAAAGTCTGTAAATTAAAAAAATCTCGTTGTTTATAACTTAATTATGATATACAAGGAGTAACAGAAATAATGCAAAGCTCATTTTTCTTTGTTTTTTTCGTATGTTGTATTTTATTAAAAGCTAAGAATATATTGCATTTTAAAAAGCCTTACTACATTTATTTAAGTTTACTTTTTGTTTGTAATGGCTACAGGTGACCATAATTTACTTGATTCCAATTTAGCAAAAAGAATATAGGTATACTACAACTTCTAGTTATTGAAACCGAATCAGTATCTGATTTTAAACAAACTACTTTCGGGGTGTGCGTTATTTATTTTAAACGTTGTCTAAACTCCTTCATTTCAACTTACTAAATTGATTTTATCCCTTGACACAACCTTTATGGCCAAAGAGTAAATGTATGTGTCACATTAAGCAAATGCCCAGCGCTAGGCGCCGCACAATGCATGTCCTAAATTTAAGCGTTGCTTAACATCGTTAGGTAGCTCTTTTTCATTAGTGACACGCATTTTTACTTTTGACAGTGCTTAAATATTTAGCTGTCAGATTTAGGTGACTCCTAAGTATTATGAAAACGGGCATTAAACTATTGAATTTTCAACTGTTTGGAAATAATTAATAATAGAAAATAAAACCGACTGAAAAATAATATCAATAACCTACACGGGGCTTACAGCCAGTTGCACAAACGTTCATTAAGGTTTAATGACGCCTTTAAAGCTCTAATGAATGTCAAATTTGTATGGGTAATGTCACTTTAAACTAATGAAAAATTTAATGTACGTTTATGCAACTGGCTATTAATGTTCTCATTATTAATGATCTTTAATTATTTTTCTCTATTATCAAGCTAGACTTTCACTGCAACTAATCTTTTTTTTAATTGGTTTTATTTACATAGGTATACTTACTTCGTTGTTCTGTACATTTAAGATGATTTGCACTAGAGGGCTAGGGGTTGGGATTTCGGAGGCAGGAGATGGATTGGACGCCGCTACGGGGCTTGGAGTAATGGGGGCGGCGAAAAGCTCAGCGGGGGCTACCACAACGATGTTGTTCTGTAACAAACACGAGAAAATATTATCTTAATTATAAATCTTATAATTATTTTCCCGCGACTACATTATCCTAGATCACACGCTTTTGATTTAGATACGCATAGGTGAAAGAATATTCATGATCGCATCAGTATTTCCGAAGATTATGCAACCTAGTTTGTAGGGGACAAAACCAAGTTAGAAACTTTACCCTTTTATAATGTCAGTAGATATATATCATCAAAAACATTTTACTATTCAATTAATATATTTAAAACCACAATGTCGATTCCAAGCGTTTTACAAGGAATGACAATTCTTCTTCTTCTTCTTCTTAACTTTAATGGAACCCGGCAGTCTATTGGCGTGAAACTGATCAAGCATCAAAGCCTTCTTCTTCTTAACTTTAATGGCACTTTGCGTCACCACATTACTGCTAACTTCACGTAGGAGACCATTACACGATTTAAATTCATTCATTCAAAGCATCAAAGCCAAAGAGATAGTAACAGTTAACTGACAGATAAGGATGCCCGTAGTAAAATCGACAATGGCCAACTGACAGCACTACCAATAGTAGTCGATTTCTTTTCCTCTGATACGTTTGGTTCAATTATAAAAAAAAAAGATATATTATGAAGAGACTCAAATTGCTTGATATTAAGTAATAATTATAAAACTACGTGTTTCGGAACGCATGTTGAGCTTTTAGTCGCGGTTGCATATACTGTGGGTAACAAATGGTGCTTTGGCCCATTCCCTGTTCGATTCCTATCAATCCATCGTCTCAGAGATACTGTTGATTTTACACAATTACAAAAGTAGTTTCGCGTGCGCTAAAATTAGTTTCGTCTAACTTGTCTCATCGTGCATAACACTATCGTAATGTAATTTCGGCTTAATAAAAATATACACACAATCGACTGTCCTAAGAAAAGAGCAGACATGAAGTCATTGAGAGCGTCAGTGAGGTATGGCAGCAGTTTAGGGTTGGTATCAGAGCTAGATAAGGCGTCATCCAATTCCTTCAGCGTCCAAGCGGAGATAGACAAGGCTGGGACGTTGACGGTGACCGCTTCCTGCGATGTAAAAGATTCTTAATATATTTTTATGTCAAATTACGTTTTTGTAATAAAATCGTTGATTAAGCAAACATCACATACATTGCTCAGATTCCAAGATGAGTAGCTAAAGCCCCAGTATTATGGAGTACTTGAGACAACTATAACAACCCAGACCAGAGTCAATATAGAAAAGTTCATTTTCTAAATTGACCCGACCGGGAATCGAACCCAGGGCTTCCGAGATGGCGACACCTTGAACCGGCGTGTGAATCACTCGGCTACGGAGGTCGTATATATATAATAAATAAATATTTTTGTTAACTTACTAACGTAAAATGACAAAATTCTATAACCAATTTAGTTGAATTTTTGCGGAAGAGGATAATCTGATATTCTGTTGACCGTAAATGTAGAATATTACTAACTAAAAGGATGCTTTTCTAGATTTGAATCCGTTTAAGCTTCAGTTTTAAATCTGTTTCGTTATACTGTAAGCTTTAGTAGGTTTATATTAGATTAGTTTACAATAATTCTAGTAATATTACAACTATAATAATCTTTACTTTAATCTTACAATACATACAAGTTTACAGAGACATATATAACTTACAACTGGCTCTCCGGCGAAGAGGGCTACCATCATTTCGTTGAGAGCATCTTCAAGATAAGGCTTGAAGATAGCATCAACTTCATTACTCTCGATGGCATCGCTCAGCTCAGCAAGGTTATAAGTTCCAATAGGACCTGCTTGTGTTTTGATCGCCATAGGTACCTGACAAATAATAAAGCTACAATAGATTATAAATTTTTAGCATTTTTATAAGTATAAAAGGTGCCGTTACTTTTGGAAATAACAATTCTATGCCTATTACATATTCTATATTGTAAAGCGTCTTAAATGTTATTCTGTCTTGAAAAATCTACATAGTCATTATTTTTAATCTAAATAGAATTTAAGCATTTAATAAGTTCAAAATTGACAAACACATTACTTCCCTTCCCTTCCATTTACGATCAGGCGGAATACGCAGGCTCGGTTCTTATGAGGTAAATATGAAATTCGAACCTGTGCTATTTTTTCTTTTAATTTCATAAATAACATCCGTCTCAGCGTCACAACAACATTGCTGAGATCTCAATTCATTAGAAAGAAACTGCCAAAAAAATGCAATGCAATCTGGCAATATGAGTGATGACCACAGCAAGCCTGGTATCAAAATGGCAAGTCACAGAAATGGTTTGAACTTTTGAAATATTGAACTAATTTATTTGTTCAAATATACTCAAATCGCAATATGATAGTATGATGGGGTTGTTACATGTCAACGTGCTATAAAAAAAAACAACCAATCGATAACTTAATTGCCATGAAAATGCAATGTAATGAAAACAGTGGACGCCATGTTGCACTGTAGATATGACGCCAGTTGGTGTTTTTAACCGACTTCAGAAAAAAGGAGGAGGTTCTCAATTCGACTGTATTTTTAAAGAACGAGCTGAAGACAAACAAGTCCGAACTATTTGACTTATTTTGCTACTTAAAACCTAAAGATAAAAAAAAATGGATTTTAAAATTAATATTGATAATTTGAATATATAAATAACATTCACGATGGTATTTATTAATTTAATTATTAAATTTATTCTCATGATTAAAATAAAACCTATTGTTCATCATCCAATTGTTGAAATAGTATTTTTTCTAATTCTAAGAGTCGTATCTGTAGTCGAGTAGAAGTAATTACTTAAGCGATTTGTAATGAAATTAAAACTGTCAGAAACAGTGGCGTAACTATACCGTTTGAGACCCGTGGCAAATTCATTGTATATTCTTTTTTTTTTACTAATTGCGTAATAAAAAATATCAGGAGTAAGGAGACTTCCTCTGACCGGGGGGCCCTTCCAGCTGGGGGCCCGTGGCATTTTGCCAACTTGCCTCAATGTAGTTACGCCACTGGTCAGTAATAGAATTCTCACTTTTAAGATTAAATATATTATGAGGTAGATACTCCATAGAAATTATTGTAAGTTTGTTAAAATTATTTGCTTAGGTCATTACTTTTACTCGATTATTGTACTACAGTTACTTCTACTCGGCTAAAGATACGAGTGATTTACCTAGATCGTACCTGCGCTTGTCCATTGAAGACATTGGTCATGAACACATTTAGGGCATTCATCAACACAGGTTTGAATGTAGGGCTGGTGGTGGGGTTCTGAATAGCGTCGTCCAGCTCGTTCAGAGTCCACGTTGTGGGAGAAGCGCAAGCAACGGCCGCAACAGCGGCGAATACCACCAAGAATTTCATTTTTTTTTCGGATTTAAACTGTAAATTGTAGTTAAAATGGAATTCATTAAGTTTAAACCATCTTAAAATTTCTTGATCTTTTTCAGTTCAATTGATCATATAGCCAGTGTTTTATAAAATATATTTATAGTTATAAAAATAACGATTTTACACAACGCTACAGTTATTAATAAATCGTCAATAGAATTAACAGATATAAAGTTTAAAAAAAGGCTATAATATATTAAATATCTGATCGATAAAATAAAACAAGGACTCACCTCCCACCCAACAAAATTTTAGTAAAGTTAAACGACTACCAGTATTTATACTGGACACTAAAACGTAATCTTAAAGATCGTAAATTATTTATATATTTTATCTAAGCGTTGTAAAAGAATAACGAATTATCAAACGAGCATCGTAGTGTGATTATAAATATATTTCATCTCCCATTTAAAGTCGGCGAGTTATGGCTTAATCGATCTTTATTGCTTATACAAAACAAGTATTTTGTAATTATTATATTTGATCAATTTCGCATTCTTAATAAAGAATGATTAAAAAATCCACTTGGTCGCCGGTACCCTGAGATGGGATTCGAATCTATGACCTTTCGCGATCCGGGCGACTGTTCTAACCACTGAGCTACCCAGGATATAACAGGACTGACGAATCTTTCAAGCAATTGTTACTTTTTCGCTTCTACAGAGTGAATTCTCATCAATGTTCAGGCAATCACTTTTCAGGGTATTTTCTAAACAAAACAAAATTTGAAGCGCAGAAAAAAACATTCATATTTAAATGTCACTTATTTCGTGGTTTACTTTGTGACAACAAAACATTTATATTTTTACTAGTGAAAAGATATTTTTAAAAATTCATCCGTCCGCATCCCAGCACGCATACAATGCCGAACTCGAGAGACTCTAAACATATTCGAGAATCTCGAGAAACGAGAAAGGGAGAGATAAGGGAGCCCTTACAATATCTCAGGCTCGGTCTCACAGTCGCCTTGGCTAAAAAAATATTCGATGGGGTTGCATAATTTCACTACGAAGTTCCCATGACTATCTTTAATTTCCACCCCTTCAATCTCCACCATCGCACACTGGGTATTATCTCAGAGTATATTTCAAATTAACGTCCATTAGAATTTTATAACAGAAAAACACACTTAAATAAAACAACGACTTTGGCCCCAATATAATTCAATATAATTTAGTTTCTTATCTCTTAGATACACATTCATTTGACATTTACAATATATTACACTTATATTAATAGTTCTTCATATCTCTGAATTTGCGCCTGTAACAAACAAAATATGGCAATCAGTAATCTTTATATATTAATTGTATCTCCTAAATATCATATCCATCAAAAGTAATAAATTCCAGAAGCCGCTCTAAGTGCGAATGACATGTCTTCATTTACCAGAAATTTGGTATAATTCTAAATTTGAATAAAATTTATTTATTATACTAGCTGTGCCCGCAACTTCGTCTGCGTGGGAAGTATTTTGGTAGATTTTTTTTATTCCTATGGATGGAGTCGAATCAAATAAGATCAATGGGCCATAACTTAATGCGGATCGGTGGGTGTTAATGTTGCTGATGCAGCCAGGACTAACGGCTTAACGTACATTGTGTCAGTGTTGTACACAGTGCTCAGGATAATAATGTTTTGGTCACCCATCCTGTCCTTACGAATGTAATTTTCTATCTTTTTTCTCGTTTCTCGCGCTCTGGTTGTCGCTTGTGTTTGAGAATTTTATTCGTAACTGGAAACTGTCCTTCTTTTATTTTTGATATTTTTATTATTTATCTAGTTGTATGCACAATCGGCTATTTATTGTTCTTTTTTTCATGTAATGCTAGGTTGCCTGGAAGAAATCGCTTGCTAGCGATGAGTTTGTCGTTTGTACTTAGTTACGTAAAATAAGTTTTCATGTATATACTTGTTGTGCAGTATTTTACACATTTATTTCACTGCAATTTAAATCGAATGCGCTAACCCACTACGCCATCGGACCTCTTATACCTAAGATATATCAATAATAACAAACTACCAAATCTTTCCTCTTTATAAAAAGAGGAAGGATTTGGTTGTTTGGCTTCCGTAAGATTTGAACGGCCCTCATCATCATCATCATAAGCTCTGTTACGTCAGCAACAGCAGGAGTCTTATGGATTAAGGAGGATGGGCCACGACTCTCCATGTTGGCCCAATGCGAATTGGAGGATATTAACGACTGCAAATTCAACCGGGACCAATCACTTTACGTGCCGTCCAAAGCTTGGAGTTGCTTGAGATAATATTTTTTGGACACCCATTCTGTGAATGACCTTTGCGAAAGTTGCTTAACAACTACAATCGCGAGCCTTGGCGTTTATTCACTACGCCACCAAGCTACTCTGAACCGATCCTCAGACTCGCGTAATATTATATGTGTTGTGACCAATGAATAAACTATTGTTTCCAGCGAAGACTGAAAATACCAACTTTGAAGTACGTATCTTCAGCAATTTGTATGTAAAAAAAAAAAGTATTAAAATAAAAAATAGTAATAAGAGAAAAAAAATATATAACTCGAGTTGTCTTTACGTTCTTAACTTCAGTTGACGTGAATCTAAGTTTTTTAACATCGTGGAAAAACCTCTGACATTGTCTCTGTTACCTGGCAAGCAACAGGGATGAGTAGGATTCTCCTCCGTGAACCCGACAGTGAGCTGCCCAGTGGGTCCCCGGAGGCCTACCCACCAAAAACCGTACTCTACACCTTCTCATGGGAAATGAAAACCGGCAAGCTATGGCCGAGTCACCAGGACACTCAAGTATTGGATCATTGCTCCCCTTGCAGATGGAAAATTGGAGAGACTCGGCTAAATCGAGTGCCTCTCCCAGACAGACGAAATCGTGCAATGCGGGAGCGGCTGCCAACCACCTCCGCTGGCCCCGACGACGACGTGAACCTAATCTGATAAAAATATGCGTTCACTGTAAACTACTCGAGGCTTAATTGCATCATAGGAAGGCTCTTTCCGCTTGTTCTCCTACTCGCGTGATCGTATACCACATGTCCATTATAAGCTGAACCCTATTTAATATGATTGGCCATATATAAATGAGGTCAACTTACTTCGGAGCTCTCAAAATTTTGGAATCTTATTTTTTTATTTGTCATCATACAAATTATCATTTCATAGACAATATTAATTCACAGCTCGGTGGCGCTACGGATATGCGCCGCTGCGCACGATCGCTATTGCTAAGCAATTATCGCAAGAGTTGTTCACGGGATGGGTGACCAACAATTATTAAACAAAGGCCTGAGGCCCTGTAGTTTGGCTGTGAAAGAGTTAATGATGATGATCAACATGTCAAAGATGAAAATTTTATAAAACAGTAAATATTTCATAGCAATTTTGGCGACCACGTCACTTCAAATTGACATAACTTTTTTATTTGTGAACCGATTGTAATAAATCTTACCCTAAATGTTAACGGAAGAATGCCGCAACACAATAGTGAAAACTGCATTTAAATAGGTTCAGCCATTTCTGAGATTATCGTGCACAAACGCACAGACAAACAGACAAACCGACAAACAGACAAAAAATTTAAAAATCATTGTTTTGTATTCTATTACGCTTATAAATGTCCCCTATAACAGTTTTTTTCATATATCTTCAATGTACAGACATCGATCGGTTACGTTTTTATTATAGTACTAGCTGACCCGACAGACTTCGTCCTGTCAAAAAGATTTGTAATGTGGCAGTTTTTTTGCCTACGTATTTAAAAAAATTCTCCTGAACAGAACCGTCACCCTGGTGATAGGGCGTTGTGAATAAAAAATAATTAAATAAAACATATATAAGGATTTAAAAGTAAGTAATCGCTTTATTGTTAATCATGTGAATCATAATTATTATTGCAATGTATTAATAGTAATAGTATTAAATATAGAAAAAAGAGATTTTTATGATCATAAAAACACATTACACACAACAGCATTATAAAAGTAAACTATTCGAATTAAAAAAATATATAAACATTCTCAAGGAAAAATGCTGGAAGAATCCATCTACCTGTACCCCGGAATGGGACTCGAACCCATTCGCGATCCAGGGACTGCTCTAACCAATGAGCTATCTAGGACCCAACAGCTTTGCTACTACAGAGCGTATTTTCATCAATGTTCCGGCAATACATGTAATGACGTGGAAACTGATGCATTTTATCTCGCGTGCCGAAACTAATACAAAAGAAACGCGAGTTTCGGAACGCGACATTAAACTCCTCCAACTATGTATTCTGTGCTCCAACGCACACACGCACATTGTTTTGATAGATATGATCTTTGACGTTAGGAACACACCTACATTGCTTAGACAACAGTGAGTGCTTGTAATTTAATATGAACTTTATACCATAGCAATAAAGCTCAAATTGACTACGTTTTAGTTACAAATCATTTGTATGGGAAAAATAAAAGGGCTATTTTTAGGGTTTTTCCAGCAATAATTCTAATTTTTCTCGCCGTAAAAACCATCCTTGAACTTCAACGAACATTTTAAAAAAAGATTTGGCCAAATTGGTCGAGGCGTTGTTGAGTTATGCGCTTACCAACACATTTTGCGATTCATTTTTATATATATAGATAGATGTATTTGAACAATTTTAAAAATGGAGACTACACTTAGTGAAAAATGCTTAAAAAACCTACCAATCCAAAAGTATGTCCAGGTATTTTTAAGCATACTTCATTAAGAATAAGTACTTAAATATACATTAGTCCTAGACGCTTGACAAAAATAAAATTGATGAAATAAGTTATCAAATCAAATAGTATCTCGGTGGCGTAGTGGATAAGCGTTTAAGCAACTTTCGCAAGGGTCGGTCACGGGATGGGACCCAAAAATTTACGGAGTAGCTCGAGATAATAAGTTTTATTATCTCGAGCTACTCCGTGCTTCGAAAGGCACGTTAAGCCCGGCTACATTTGCAGTCGTTAATACCCTCCAATCCGCATGAGCCAGCATGGAGGGTCATGGCCCATCCTTAACCATCCATAAAGAAGGTCTGAGTCCCTGCAGTGGGGACGAAAAAGGGCTGATGATGATGAAATAAGCTACAAAATGGATTTTAGAACTTTTATTTTATATATAAATCACTCATTGAGCCAAAAAATTGTTTACAACGCGTTGTGGTCACAGTAAAATAACCGCATAGCGAAATCCGTACCGTGGTTATCATGCTATTCGATCACAACGCGGTGTGGCAATGAAGAACCGTGAAGCGTATTATACCATATTTGATTAGGTTAGGTTAGGTTAGAGCCCCAAGGCAGAACAACGAGCGACACTGCGACATTGTCGCAGACAGCCGAGTAGGTCTGCAGACAGTTCGGCAGTCTTACATTAATAAAAAAATTACACTAGCAGAAACAGAATTTTATTTTCAGGTTTTTATAATCTGTCGCAGACAGATGAACCTTCTGCTATGGGGGGTTAGAGTATGACAAACAACGCACGATCCGAACGAGCAACGCGAGATTGCAGCTGCTCTAATAAAATGACACATACAGTTAAACCAATTAATGCTTAGAATGCGTCGACTTTTGTTCACTACCACAATTTATTCTGCGATTGATATATTTTTTTGCTTAATGAGCGATTTCGATCTCTGAGTGTAACATATATATTAAAAGTTCCTATTTGTCATTACACTGTGTGCCTATACAGAAACACTTTCGACCTTATTGCTACTGATACGAATTAAAATCACGAGCTCCTTATCAACATTAATATACTTGTGTTAAACGAGATTTCAAATATTAATTTCACGGTATAATATTTGAAATTATTTATTATTTTATTTCAATTCAACAGCATACATAAGCGTGACAAAAAATCAATTTACTGCTTACATTGAAGAAGAATGTATAAAATAATTAATATCTAGCCTATTAATAGTACACTACAGAGGGAATTTATTTATTTATTTACGTACTATGACCCGGCATTGCATGTCTCTTTCACCCGTGTGCAAACGTATAGCTATTGCGCCCGCACAGATGCATATAACCAATAGGGATGACGACTAATTTTTGTTTGTTTGTCCATCAGAGTGTTAAAAATATTAAACACGTATTTTTTTATTTTTTTTCGTAATCATAAAATAACGGCGATTCATGGAATTGAAATTTCTCATGACGTCACGTTATGCTACGTTTTCTACTCAACTGTGACGTAGCGAGCCCCCACTCCTCAACTTTAATGCCTTTTATCTAAGCTATTTCTTGTTAAATTGAAGTAAAAAAAATACGTATTTAGTATTTTTCTATTATCTGACTGACGGACTAAATAGAATTGCATTTTTTTTTACCAAGTCATCATCCCTATTTGATCATAGTGAAGTGAACCTAATATTGTAATGATATCTTTCTATTCGACGACTGTCCTATAATAACATTATGATCGACATAAAAGCAATGTGTAATTTTTTATGTATAATAAACAGCAGATCAGGTTATATAAAAAATGTGAAAATTTAACACACCATGGTATGATGGTACCAAAAAAATATATAAACAGCTTAGATATTAGCCATAACTAAATGGAATAAGGTTAAGGTTAATTGTTAGAATAGAATAGATTTTATTTGGCAACACACATCACATACACAATTTACATACAGTTTATAAATATGACAGAAAAATGACTAAAAATAACAACATAAAAAAAGGAGAAAACAAAAAGAATACACAATGAGGACACTGAAAAAGTAAATGTGTCATGTGCAGTGGTCGGAATTAGGTAGAGTTATTCATGTACTTACACTGATTTCATACAGCGAAAGAATAAAGTGGATATGCCTCAAATCCCGAAATTAATTTTAAAGAGCAGAAAAAAGAACGTGATTTTTTAAATAAAAAGTTATTTACCTTTACACAATTTAAACTGCTGCACGCACGACGTTGCCAAACTTACATCAATGAAAGAAAGAAGTAAAGAAAAAAGAAATAAAGAAATCCGGGGAAGGTCCATATTAATATCAACATTTCGATGCAAGTACATAAATAACTCTACCTAATTCCGACCTCTGGTCAGGTGTGTGTGTCGCCAAGCTGGCCTCAGCTCAGTATGAGCAGTAAACGGGGCTTACTGCACTGATATTCTGCCAAAGCCAGCAGTGAGGCCACGGACCATATTACGATATTGTTATTAAAATAATGTTTGTGATTACCTTATTATAATAGATATAGCTCTATAGGCCTATGTTTCAGCAGCAGATACAGCAAGAAGCTTTTTATATGAACCGGCGAGCGATTTCGCCGCTAATAATAATAGGTCACGACGAGAAACGCCTGTCGCCGCTTCCTGCCATTCGGAATGATGGACCTGTAGAAAGAAAATATTATAAATATATAAATAAGCACGAGGTCAGTCAGCCAGTTTAAATTATATTCAATTAATTATATTATAATTAATTGTATTATATCCAATTATTAATTGTACATTATATTCACATATACAACGTACAATTATTATATAATTTAAGACGAAGAAAACCCGTTAACTGTGTCTGCTTGGTAAAAAAAACATCGTGTGATACGGCGACTGAGGATGCTCTATGCCAGTACCACATCGATGTTTTATTTACACTGAAAACCACAACGTATAATATTTATAATTATACGTAAAATTTTTCATCATCATCAGCCCTTTTACGTCCCCAATGGGGCTCAGGTCTTCCTTATGGATGGTTAAAAAGGATTCCACACTGGCCCAATGCGGATTTGAGAGCCTTAATGACTGCAAATGCAGCCGGGACCGACAGCTTAACGTGCCTTCCGAAGCACTGAGTAGCTCTCCAGATAATAATATTTTGGTCACCCATCCTCTGACTGACCCTTACGAACGTTGCTTAATAGCAACGAACGCGGGCAGCGGTTCTTATCCACTATGCCACTGAGTTACTAGATAAAATTATTTATATAGTATAATAATTCATTTATATTTTATTCGTATAGTAATTTTGCCTGTTGAGTGTGGTGGTACTGCGACAGAGTACCGCACTACAATAAAGATGATGACTGGATTCACAGTCATAACGACCCACTGATCCATATTGGGCCCGCATAGTGTGTTAACGGAGAATATATGTACCCCAGAAGTGAGTGCATTTCAGTCCCTGATTTACCACAAGCTTGCATGAAAACGCTAAAAAAATAAAAACATAAATAAAAGTAATTTAAACATAAATAATTAAATTAAAATTAAACAAATATTAAATGGTGTACTTTTACTTGCATGCAAGCGCATGCAAGCGCTATAAAAGTACACCATTTAACATGGTAAATAAGGGACTAATCAATGTACTCTCTTCTGGAGTACATATATTATCCGTTAACTCACTATGCGGGGAAGAAGCTAATTATGATAAGGCTCTGTTTACTCATATGCTGGACACTAACCTGTAGACTAGCGGCCATAATAGATCCAATGGTGACACTGTAACCGGTCTGGGAGTGCTCGTATTGTTCTGTGGTGGCCGCACTCGCCGCCGCCACAGCCGCGCCCGGAACTGGTGTACTCTGAGATTGGAGCTGCAGCTCGATACCCAGGGACGGCTGCGATAATACTAACAACGATATGTCGAACCACCTGGAAGCACGATATATAATCATACATCTTTAACAGGGGTGTGGACAACTTTTTTTTTGTATATTTTTATTTTATAGATCTATATTAAATATACCTAAAATCATTAATATAATAAGTTAAAATCTATAAATTTTAAATGTATTTTTAAAAATTTCGCGCGTTAAAGCGTCGAAACAATCGTCTTAGTTCTGAGTACGAATAAGGTTTTATTCTGATATGAATAAGAGAGGCGTGAAGTCACGCGGTATTTGCGGTCACGTGACAACGAGTATAATTTTTTTTTTTTCACAATTACTTTAAGTAGTATAATAAACATAAAAATGTGATTATCTATAATAGTATATAAAACACTATCAGAAAAAAAAATATTTTCGTTCACCGTCTACACCCGTATTTAGACCTGTAGTCTGTCGAATCGCCAATCGACGGCGTCCCAAAAACAAGTACATAAGTTGTTATGGCGTCGTTACAACCCTTTTAGTTCTTATAAGGTTTAATTCTGATGAGTAAGAGAGGCGTGATGTCACGCTGTATTTGCGGTCATGTGACAACGAGAATAAAATATTGGTTTTTCACAATTATTTTAAGTAATATAAAAGTGTGATTATCTATGATAGTATATTAAACACTATCAGAAAAAAAAATATTTTCGTTATCGAATCGCCAACCGACGGCGTCCCAAAAACAAGTGCGCAAGTCAGCAAAATTTGAAAGCAACCGTCGTCAAATGCGAGTTGATACGCCAAAATGGCGGCCGACAGTATAAAGTTAAGATCGATTTACATAATCGGTTGCGTTAATCCAGTGATCCTCAACCTTTTGGTCAAAAGGGACCATTTTCTATCTCGTGGCTAGTTTACATTTAATTAAGTAGGTAGTTAAGCAGTAAGTAGATGCGTAAGAGTAAATTATTGTTGTAGTTGAATAAATTAATTAAAATTTAAAATATGTATAAGAAAATATTATTATACAAAATAAAACTGTATAAGCAAGAAAATATAAAAATCATTAAAAAGAGAGATGAAAAAAAATAACATCTGAGAAAAAGAACAAACAAAATAAGTACAAACGAAATATCTTCCGATGGTTTATAAGTTTACTTTTCTTTACAATTTTAATGTATAAGAATAAAAATATCAAATATGTGGTTACGTGCACCGTTGTAAGCGTAATGCGTTCGCTGCGCCCAGTGGTTTTATAACTGGTTTTGGGGTACCACCGCTTGACAAATTGTAACGCCTGTAGTTCTTAACACTTTTTATATAAAGATAAAATCAATTGTATGGGGCTCCGCGGTCCACTTGGGACGCTTCCAGAGACCACTGGCTAGGAACCATTCATCTAGGCCATGAGTTCCCGAACTTATGTCGTCTACTACCCACTTTGAGAATAAAAAATTTTTAAGCGCCCCCAATTTTTCATCTACTTCAAAACTAAATTACATTAATTTTTTGGGAGCTACATAAGTGGACATTAAAAAATCATTCTAAACAAGACTTTTAAACAGACGACCGATTGACATAAAATTTATTTTGTTTATTATTCAATAAAACAAGATAGATATGCATCTATTTAAATTACACAGACAGAAATATGGAACCGAGTTATTATTTTCTCTCAATTAATATTATTAATCTCTTAATTAATATTATTAGTTGATGTTCACAACTTGTAGTCGATAGTCGAAAGCTCAGTCAGTGTCGAAATTGAAGTGAAAGAGGGAAATTAGAAATCACCCCCTTAAGCCTTTACACAACGCCCCCATTTTTCTTTTGGGTATCTTGCCACCCCCTTTAGCCACAAAAAGGCGTCAAGAAAGTAGAAATACTCGAATCAAATATATTCGGCACAAAAACCGAATAATTTGGCCGAATACAAATATTGGAATTATACCGAATACCACACGAATATTCGGTGCATCTCTACTAGTGGTAATACCTATCGCTGACAGTCTCCTGCAGGAACCCTTCAACGGCGATAACAGGTATGTTGTTGTTCAATTCAGAACGAGTGGAGCGGAGATGTGCTATCCGCTGTTTGGCGGCGGCGTACGCGGCCGCGTAACCAACGGGTTGTTCCGCCGTTACGTCACTCTGTGCGGGGAAACCGCTGCGAATTACAAATACATTTATCAATATATATAAAAATGAATCCCTATTTCCCTTTGAGTTTGTTATTGTTAGGAGAAGGTTCTTATAATAGAAAAATATAAGAAAATTGAGTGGAAAATTTAAGTATATTTAACCACTATATAAAATTAATTCTAATCTAACCTTGGTGCTTTAGATAATATAAACTTTTTAATGTAACCTTATGACGTTTGTCATAGAATTGACAGTCAAATAGGATGTGAAAAAAAAAACTGTTCGAATTCAATATTCATAATAGCCTGATACAAATACCAACTTTTAGTATGGAAATCAAACATTAAAATATAACAGCTGTTTTTTTTATTATGAGGGTATCATATACTTCCTGTAAACTACTACTACTTCCTGTAAATTTTTTAGTTGAATTTCAGTAATTTTCATTGTCGCTATGATAAATAAAACCAAAATTTGTGAAAAAAGTCGTGTTAGTAATTTTGCGTGAAGGAAATGAAGTTTTTTTGACTTGATATTTTTTATTTATTAGTTGCACAAACGACCATTAAAAATTTCATTTGTTTAAAGCGACATTACCCATACAAATTTGACATTCATTAGAGCGTTACGGCATCATTAAACCCTATGCATGGACGTTTGTGCAACTGACCGATAGTCTCTTGTAATTGGTTAACAAACTTTATTAAAAATATTCCAGGCTTATATCGAATTATTTCCGTTTTTCTCGTATTTGTATCAGGCTATAATTGAGACAGGACGTGTAAAAAAAGAACGCGAAATGCTTAATTTATTACACATATCGCTTCTAATTACATTTTACCAATCTATACTAATATTATAAAGAGGAGAGATTAGATTGTAGGTTTGTTTGCATCGATTAAGACGATCGTTTTGAAAAAAAATACTAAGATTGTCTATAGCTTAAGCAAATAATGTAACTATGAAAAAAATAACTCGTGTCTGAATTGAGAAAAGTACAAAATCTAATCTGATTATTCTGAATAACTTAAGATTTTTAGATTTCAGAAGGCAAAAATCCTAGATTTATCAAAATGCTATCAACAGAAAAAACTAAAATCACAAACGAAAACCTGTATAAGTGACTTTTTAGTACAGTTTGACAGGTGCCAAAAATCGGGTTCAATTCCCAAAAATCGGGTGTTTATGTCTTTTTTGTGTAAGAATGGATTTTTATCACTAAATTCGATAGTTTTAACATCTACAACAGGGGCACTCTACTGTTCTATTAAAGCTAACTGTAATTAAAATAAATAACTATTTAATAATATATTATTATTATTACTCACACTACAGTAGCTTTCCCGAAAACTCCTTGAAAAGCTTCTCGAATTGGAGATATTTTGGTTTCTTTGTCGGAAGCTACAACGATATAAATATCACCGCCATTTTCTGAAAAGAAAGTTTAAATCAATGCATCTTTTGCGTTGATAGTACCAAAGTATATTACTTATTAATAAAGGAAGAAATACATTTATCGGCCACACGGCTTACATTAATCATACTTAAAAACATTAATTTACCAAACTACTACTTAGAGCTTGTCTCACGAAAGAAGTCCCGCGGCAATTTGTGGAACTAAAATGACAGATCAGCCATGTTGCCGTTATCAGGAGCTGTGATTGGTCAATTTGTATTTTGGATTGCTAGCTGTGTGTTATTTACCATTGAATTCGGTATTCTATTTAGTTTTACATCTAGTATTTATGTTGAACGATTGTGTAGTTCTTTATTTTGAAAAGTTACGATTATATAAATACATATTAAATATGTATTATTATAATTGTATACGTATAACAATGAGTGTAACTCCCGAAGATTGGTTTAGACAATATAAACATGTGTTTTGAAGATGAATATTTTAAAATCGACGGGCTGGTACATAATCAAATGGACCGGCTTATAACACTACAGCTAGTGATAGCGAAACTGAGTCTGATCACGATAGCGATAGTTATGTTCATAATTCAAATACAAAGTGACTGTAGTATGTCTAGAATAATTCCTATCGGCTACCATATACGAACTATATATTTTTTATTTGATACTCATACCATTCTAAATAGCTTGCGCAAATCTGTTGAGTAGACTGCATATTAATACCATGTCACTATTTCAATTCGTATTTTAATGTATTCGATTTTGGAAATCCAATATTTACTCCAAAACTTATGGGCCCGAAGTTGCGCCACTGGATATTAGAATAGTAATTTTGTTTTTATAACAAAATAACAGGTGGCGTTCTGCCAAATAACGAAAATACGTTGATGACATATTTACACCATTAAAGTAATCTAAAGATTGCTTTTATTGCACTTTGCCAACGAATGTCAAACGTATCTTTAATAACAAACCTTATTTTTATACCTATAAGGACCAATCGAAACAAATTCGTTATTATACCCTTCGATTCTTTAAGTATTAAAATAAGGTGTGTTATTAAATGTACATTTGGTATTTGTCAACAGTTCGTTCACTTTATTTGTACGCCTTGTACCAATGTACAAGGTATTAAGTTCACATAAAATTTGTATATATCAGTAAACCTAATAAATTAAAAACTTTCGAATAAAATAAAGCCAACTGCAAAATCGTGAAAATAAAATGGTCTTATTATTATATTTTTTTATATATTAATGATTGATACAACTTTCTATATCCATTTAAATAATTATAGATAAGGCATAGTGTTTGTTTATACTATAGATTACCATATACTAAATTTTTATCACACTACTTCGTTCTCTCTTGTGATTATGATTAATAGTTGATATAAAAAAAAAGAATAAATTCATATGAATAGCTATTCTATTCAAAAATCGAAGATTGTAACGATAGTTGTTCTGATCATTCGCCTATCATAGCTACTGTTAGTACCACAATTATAGAAAGAGAATGCAAGCAATATCTTTATAATAAATACACAGATTGGGAAGCATTCCGAGATTTTTTAAACGAGGAACTCAAACTGAAAGTGTCTCTTAAGACGAATTCTGATATAGACGATGCTGCAGAGACAATCACTAAAGCTATTCAAACAGCTTGTTACCTTAATACTCCCGAAATATCAAACCGACCAAACGATTACAGAAACGTACCGGTAGCAATAAAGGAAAAGGTGTTAGAGAAAAGACGACTAAGAAGAGTATGGCAATTGTCTAGGCGTAATGAAGACAAAACACTTTTCAATAAAGCAGCCTTAGAACTTAAAGAATTTCTCAGGGATATAGAAAACCAAACAATACAAAATAGGCTGGAAAATATGTCGGAAACGGGAATGAAGGAACATAATCTATGGAATGCTCTTAAATCCACCAGAAAACCTAAAACAGCGGAGTACCCATTAAGGATTGAAAATAATCAATGGGCCAAAACTGATGAGGAAAAAGCTGAGACATATGGGCAATATTTGTATGGCGTTTTCAAACCCAATGATAATGGCTGCAGAATTGAACCAAATATAAATGAATATCTGCTTAGTGATTACCAATTAAGTCTGCCCATAAAAAGCACATCACCTCGAGAGGTGTGGAAAACAATTAATAATTTGAATCTCAAAAAAGCACCAGGCTTTGACCAGATTACTGCTGAAGTACTTAGAAAACTACCTAAGAAAGCCATTGTTTTCCTGACATACCTTTTTAATGGAATACTGAGAACATCATATTATCCTTTGATATGGAAAGTCTCTTACATTAAAATGATGCTAAAACCAGGCAAGGACCATTTCTTGGTTTCATCGTATCGCCCTGTAAGCTTGCTGCCGGTACTTTCGAAGGTATTTGAAAAGATATTGCTGGTTCGTATGTCGTCCATAGTTAAAGAACATTCACTTTTGCCTGATCACCAATTTGGATTTAGAGAAAAACACTCCACAATAGAACAGGTGCATAGAGTGGTCAATAATATACGGCAAACAATAGAACGTAAGCATTATTGTTCTGCAGCATTTTTAGAAGTTCAACAGGCCTTTGATAAGGTATGGCACAAGGGGTTGCTGTTTAAGATAAAGAAGAGTTTACCGCACACATATTTCACATTGCTGGATTCGTACCTAAAGGAAAGAATCTTTCAAGTCGTTGTGAACGAAAGCCGATCTAAATTTTACAATATCAGAGCTGGGGTACCACAAGGATCTGTTCTGGGACCGGTGCTGTACACATTATTTACAGCAGACTTGCCAGTCAACCCTCGCATTTTATGTGCTACATTTGCGGATGATACAGCGGTCTTGAGTAGTGATTCAGATCCGGATAAAGCGTCCATCCAGCTACAGAAATAACTGAATGAAATATACAACTGGATGCAGAAATGGAGAATAAAGGCTAGTGCTTCAAAATCAGTCCATGTTACTTTCACATTGAAGACTGGAAACTGCACGCCTGTCAGACTTGGCTGTGAATTACTGCCACACAACGACGACGTAAGATATTTGGGCATGCATCTGGACAGACGGCAGACATGGCAGAAACATATAAAAAAGAAACGTGATGAACTAAACATACGATTCAGGTCTCTGCTCTGGTTGCTCGGTCGTCAATCCCGCCTCTCACTTAATAACAAAGTACTGATCTATAACAGTGTTCTCAAGCCAGTTTGGACTTACGGCATAGAACTGTGGGGTACAGCCAGTAACTCTAATCTTGAAATACTACAGCGCTTTCAAAATAACGTGTTTCGTACGATCCTTAACGCTCCCTGGCTCATAAAAGTCCAGGAAATGCATGAGTACTTGCAAATACCCACTGTTAAAGAGGAAATAAAACTATGTTCAAAACGTTACAGAAATAGACTGGTGCACCACACTAACACACTTGCAACTGCACTCACTGATACGACGCATAATCTAAAGAGACTAAAACGATATGCCATTGAGGATCTGGAACAGAGAGATTAATCTCTAATAAATCTTTGGAAGTGTGCTCCAATGGGAGTGCCGCCTTAATAAATAAATAAAAATAAAAAATAAAATAAAAATAAAAAAGCCTTTATTATTCCATTTGGCATGTGTACAGTACATGTTAGTAGGTTATCGTTAAGTATCCTCTAGTCTAATGCCACCTGGACCCCTCTACGGGTGAAGGCCTCCTCCAGAGATTGCCACTTAACACGGTTTTTTGTCAGAATTGGCCAATTTCTTGTACCGAATGATTCTATTTCGTCCTTCCATCTCGCTTTTGGTCGGCCTCTGCTTCTATATCCATGGGGACCACTCCACATAGTCACAGTCTTTGTCCACCTCTTATCAGTGTAGCGTGCCACATGGCCCGCCCACCTCCATTTCAGGCCACGAGCGAAGGACAAGACATCTACGAGGGTCAAACTGAAAGTTCTTAGAAAATCAAAAACTGATTACATTAGCCAGTTATTAGTTTTATTATATCTTTTCAAAATATTGTCCATTCACGTTAATACACCGCTGCATGCGATGGAACCACTGGGAAAAGCACTTTGCCCACTCGTCCTTAGGGGTCTCTTCAATGGCATCGCGATACGCAGCCACCGCTTCTTCAGCATTCATAAACCGCTTTCCTTTAAGTTTTTCTTTAATTTTTGGAAATAAATAAAAATCACAAGGCGCGAGGTCGGGGCTATACGGCGGGTGACCCAGTAATTCAACGTTTGATGTCGCCAAATAGTCGATCGTTCGCTTGGCGGTGTGCAACGAGGCGTTGTCGTGGTGAAGGAGGATCCTACTGCGAGGTCGTTTCTCTCGAACTTTTTCCAAGACAAGTGGCAAACAATTGGTAGTGTACCATTCTGCAGAAACTGTTTTTTGATCCTCTAACACAATTGTTGCAAAATGACCTATCCTTCCAAAGAACGAGGCCACCATTTTTTTCCCGCACTTCGATCTCTCTTCACTTTAGTTGGCAACTCCTCGAAAGGAAACACCCACTGAGCAGATTGTCTTTTGGTTTTAGGATCATAACAGTAAATCCAGCTTTCGTCACCTGTTAGTATGTCGAACACAGCATTTGAGTCACCTCCGTTAAATCTTTCAATCATTTTACGACACCAATCCACACGATGGAGTTTTTGAGCCTCAGTCAAATTATGAGGTATCCACCGGGCGCAAAGCTTCCTGACCGCTAAATGTTCGTGGAGGATTTGGTGCACTTGACTCATACCGATGCCTAAGCTTGTCCGAATCTGTTGATAGGTCACTCTTTTGTCAGTCTCTATCATACGCCGCACAACACAGATGTTATCTTCAGTCGTCGCCGTAGAAGGCCGTCCCTCGCGTAAATCATCAGTGAGATTAGTGCGACCACGTTTAAACTCATTAAACCAGTTGTAAACAGTCGCACGAGATGGGGCTTCATCGTGAAAGGCCAATCGTAGTCTATCATAACTTTCTTGTTGACTTAAATGACATCGAAAGTCATAAAAAATCATTGCACGAAAATTTTCTCGTGTTAAATTCATGATGACGTGACACAGACAATTTTCAATTTGCCGCCAAATCGTAAAACAAATGACAAATGAATGAAATATATACTCAGTAATATTGGCAAAGAGTTATATTTTCAAATTTTAGAATTATTTTTTTATTATATTGTTTATAAGTGGCCAGTTCTAAGAACTTTCAGTTTGACCCTCGTATCACACCAGTCTGCTTTCTTATTTTCCCATGGCGAACCCTGTCCTTTAGCTTGATGTTTAGTGAACTACGTTCTAAGCCTCTTTGACATGATGTGAGTTTTCTTCTGGTTATGTTATCAAATATCCACGTTTGACATCCATAAGCGAGACAGGGCAAGAGACATGAGTCCATTACTTTCTTTTTTAATTTTAAGTCCATGTTAGACTTCATAACTTCTTTGTAGCTCCAGAACTTTCTCCACGTGATTGCTATTCGCCTGTCTATTTCTCCTCTGTTGTTATTTTTGCGAAAGGAAACTTGTTTGCCTAGATAAATATATTCGTCTACATACTCAACCACATTATTGTTTATAAGAACAGGAGTTCTGTGATGATTAGACATGATTTTTGTTTTTGAGGTATTAATTTCTAGGCCCACGCTCGTGCTTGTGTTGTTAAGTTCTGACATCATGGATTGGAGCTCTGTGGGGCTTTCTGAGAAAAGCACAATGTCGTCTGCGAAACACAGATGGTGAAGACGTTCCCTGTCGATTTTTAAGCCTTTGTTTTCCCAAGATAGATTTTTCATTGTGTTTTGGAGGACTGATATGAATAATTTAGGTGACAGTGGATCGCCTTGTCTAACTCCTCTGTTAATTTCTATTCTTTGTCCTGAATTTTCTAACTTGACTTTGCTAGTACTGTTTTCGTAGATGTGTTTGATGATTCTGATGTATTTAGTGTTTATATTTTGATCATAAAGGGCATTCCAAATGCTTCGATGAGATATAGAGTCAAATGCCTTCTTATAGTCAATGAAAGCTAGATATAATGGTCTGCGAAATTCATAATATTTTTCAATTATTTGCTCTAATACTTGTATGTGGTCTATTGTGCTGAACGATTTTCTAAACCCTGCTTGTTCTTTTGGTTGGTAGTTTTCATTGACTATAAGAAGGCATTTGACTCTATATCTCGAGTCAAATGCCTTCTTATAGTCAATGAAAGCTAGATATAATGGTCTGCGAAATTCATAATATTTTTCAATTATTTGCTCTAATACTTGTATGTGGTCTATTGTGCTGAACGATTTTCTAAACCCTGCTTGTTCTTTTGGTTGGTAGTTTTCTATGTCATTGTTGAGTCTTTCCAGTAGGCAACTAGCGAAAAGTTTATATAAACATGGCATTATACTTATGGGCCTGTAATTTTCCACGTCTGTGGGGTCGCCCTTTTTATACATCAGTATTATTTCTGACTCAGTCCATGTCTTCGGAACAGTTTCTTCATCAAGAATTTTGTTAAATAATCTCGTTAAGGGGTTAAGAATCACTGGTTTTGCTAGTTTTATAGCTTCGTTTGATATCCCGTCGGTGCCTTGGCTTTTGTGCTCTTTTAATTTCTCCAATTTACTTAATATGTCGATCTCTTTAAAGTACGGCGTTTCTTCTTTTTGATTTAGTCTAGGTGTAATTAAAGTTTCTATATCTTCGTGGTATAAGTCTTTAGAGGCGCTATATAACCGTCTGTAGAATTCTGTGGCGGTGTTGATCACATCTGTCCTAGTTTGTTGTTTTGGAGAGTTCGCATTTAGTGTTGGAATTCATTCCTTTCCTGTATTTAGTTCTTTAATTGCCTTTTTTAGACTACCGGAAGATTTTAGATGTCTCGTAAATATTGATTCCCTATGATCTATGTAATTTCTTTTTATCTCTTTGTTGGTTGTTTTGAATAGATAGGTAAGTCTAGCTTTTTCATCCTGACTTAGGTGTTGCTTGTGTAGTAGTTGACTTCTCTCTTTCATTAGGTTTAACGTGTATTCTGAAAGTATATTTGGTTTTCGACGTTGACTGTAGCCTTTTTGTTTATTTAGGCAAGTTTTAATTATGGTTTCAATTTTTTTGTAATATGTGTTGACATCTAGACTTTCATTTCCTTTTTCGAAAAGGTCAGGTGCAGCGTTTTTTAAGTTAGCAATATATTCTGATCTGTCTTCTAATGTCTTTAGTTGATTTTTCGGATTAGTGAAATTTTTCCTACTTAATTTCGAGTGCCGCCTTACAAACCAAATATTCTTTAACAAAACTGTTTATAGTTTTTTTGTACTGATTACAGTTAGAAGTGGAAAAATAACAAAAATATATATATATATATATATATGAATAGCAGTAACTGAAACCAAACCATTCAGCTATCACAACAACTGTATAAGACACTTAACTACAGGTCATTATTATTTCACTAAAACCAATTTTTCTGCAATTTCCTATCACATCTTTAAGGTAGAAAAAAAAAATTTAATTGTCTTTTTTTGTAATCATTTAGAATTTAGATAAATAACAAAAAAGTTTTAAACATACTGAGATATTCTTTCATCTGAGGATCCAGTGTAGTGATCATTGAATCTACAGAACTCTTTGCTTTCTCTGCAACGCGCTGAAGAATACCACCTGATGTAACAGCACCTTTCATCCATGTAAATAAACCACTTCCTGGCATTATATCACCTGTAAAAAAATATAATATTTTTTAAATCATACCAGTAAGTCAACCATGTATTGATTTGAAAGTCTTGATGACTTTCAAAAAATCAAAATACGGATGGATAATACTGCTGACATAGAAATGATAGAGTACACTGGGATCAATAAAAATTAAGTGTTATGAAAACTTTTTGGAACACTTTAAATAACCAGAAATAGAGTAAACAAAATACACAATATGTTATGACAACATTATATAAATCACATTAGTAAATCAATTATAATAAGAAAAAATCTTTCATTTATTTTTCATTATTCATCATTCATTCAACTAAAAAGTGTTAAAAGAATATCTTAAATATATTTACCAAGCTTATCAACTTCTGGTGTAGAGGCAGGCAATGATTCTGGTGACTGAGTCGCCTGAGAATCTTCTGGTGATCTTATGGAGAGAGTTGGCTCTCCTTTGATAGGTGGTATAGCAGGGCTACAGAAAACATATTTAACAAATTGAATTGTTATGTACAATATACCTTTAGAAACCCACAATCAACTTGACATATTTACTAACTTGTCTAAAAAATTATATAAAAATACCTAAATTTCTCAGGCGAATTAGGAGCATCATCCTTTTGCTGCACCATAACTGGCTGCACAGGTATTGGGGCAGGTTGTGTGACATTTACAGGTGGAGCATTATTTTGAGGCTGTAATATTTATGTTTATTATCATGAATAAAATAATAGTGTATATTTTCTTTTTTTTTCATTATGGCTTCTTTGTGTTTGTTTACTGCCATTTTTAAATAGGGTACTAGGTGATATCATAGCCACAAATTGCTAATGCCTGGTAGCCATTTTGATGACAATTATGTCATTGCATTGCATTCAAAAATCAGTACCGTTTACAAATAAACACTATTCTTAATAAATAATCCACATTCCAAGTGGATTTTTAAGCATTTTTCAATATTTTTCAGTATAACATTGTAAATGCAAAATTGATCAAATATAATAAATAAACACTAATTGACCATTTTTGTTATGTTTTAGTTGGTTTCAATTGTTATGATTTGTTGTTACTAAAATAGCAACAGCTATTATGATTTTCACAATAAGTAAACATAGTAATAAACAATATAATGTCTTAATAATTTTAGTTAGGTTTCAAAAAATGACCTTTCCATTTTTGTTATCATGTCACTACAAAGTAAATGTTGATTTTACATTTTTTTATTTTCCATATACGTCAATATTTACAAACTTAAAGTTTTTATATGATTATAACAATATTGTTCATAAATGTTTCAATAATTAATAGGTATATAATTTATATCTTGCCTTTTATACTATCTATATTTTCTATTTTCATATAAATAAATATAAATAATGACAAAGTTGTATCATTCATGTTCATATTAGTAAATATAAACAGTGTACATCGCCTGACCTCAGAAGATGGTGCAACTGGCAGAGACGTAACAAAATTTGGAAGCTGCGACGGGGGAGCTATACTTGAAAGTAGATTTCCAGCACTGCCTACTTTTGGTACCTCTGGTATTTTAGCTTTTTTGTCATTGCCGTTCATTGTATACTGAAAAAATTAGATACTCCGTTTTCAAATTGGTCTACATCATTGTTTATTGCATTGAATGATAATCAAAATATATGTCCAACTTCAAATGTTGATTTAGACGGAAATGCCTTACAATGGCAATCATAAAGGTTTACCTTTATGATTGCCATAGAAGATAAATATATACCTCTTTATTTACTGTTATCCAACAATATATTTAAGATAGGTACGTAAACGCATATCTTTTAAAAACAATATTTTGACAGACAGCTGACATACATATTCTAAACAGTTCTAAACCAAAGAGTAATTTCTAAACGTCGTGAAACGTCAAGAAGTGAAACTTTGACTACAGTACTCTGTGAACATTTTATACCATTTTAAGATATTACCTTAAATTTACACTCTCACTCACATGAATGATGAGAAAATTATGGTTTCATACTATTTACCCTAAGATTACAATATTATATTACCTTTCTCTATGGTTTCTATGGTTTCTTACACGATTGTGTGAGTTGCTTGAAAGTTAAGCGCTGAAAACGAAAAGTTTCATGCTATAGTTTTCTTTTATTTACAGATACGTTTTCTGCAAAAAAAAAAGGAAGCGCTACAATAACATAGTGTGAATCACGAGGTGAGCTAAGGACGGAGCTGCTTTTCAGTTCATAGTCGTATTCACAGAACACTTTGGTCGCGTTTCCCGGTACACCATATAATCTGCCCGACTTCCAGGGATAAACCAATACTACTTTTACTTGATATTGTATAGGACATCGGGTATCGAAATCCTCTCGGTATCTGATATGAAGTATCGATATAAACACGGTATCAAATGAAAAGTATCGATACTTAATCGTATCGAACAGTTTTATAATTCCTCACCATATTAGTCATTTTTATAATTTTTAGAGCAGATTTGAAACTAGTGATAGTCAATATCAAGACTGTTTACAGAAAAAAAAGAGAAGCAGGTCCAGGCATAAAAGGCGATGCATATAATTAAGTATCACTTTACAATTTTATTAGCAGAGCTTTCTCCGGATAGATCTTTAACTACATAAAATTAGTAGATGTTAGCAATGCTTATTGTCATACGACAGGGACGCCGCACCAGTGGGAATTTTTAATGAGAGAGACTTAAAATTCCTTACCACAGAGTAAACAGTAGAACACGCGAGTTTTTTTTACTCTTCCCGGTGAATGGCTGACCGAGTAAATATACAAAAAGGTACTATCCTCCTGATACTCCTCATTACTCGCTTCTAAAGTATCGATACCAAAATACTTGGATCGGAAGAAAAGCATCGAGTTAGTACTTGTATTTACTCGTATAGTTTCGACCCTATTTATCCGAGCGAGAAACTCAAGAAAAACTGATCGGCATCATAGGTACGTCACAAAAATCTGTCTAAAAGACGTCAATGTCAAATAAAATACTTTAAAGCATCTGTCAAGTCGACGTCGGTCATCTATCGTGTTGTAAAAGTTATCTTGTTTTTAGGAACAATTCAATAAATAGTACAGTTTGCAGCAGTTCTTGACGGCCGTATTAAATTGTGTTCTTAGAACCATGTCGGAGGAATCAGATACGCCACCATTTAGCAATGTGGACATCAACAATGATATCAGGGAGGAAGACCCATTCGCGTCTGCGGTCCAGGTATCTTATTGGAATCCTGTTTTAATAACTTGTTGTGATCGCGTCCGCCCCCGGTATCGAACCGGGTAACATAGTCGACGCCCCTTTATTCTTTTCATCTTTTCACAGAATTACATTATAAAGGATGCTTTAGCACATTTTTAAATTAGATATTCTGTTACTTTTTTTTTTGTTGCTTACGTCCTGTATAAAAAAAATTCATTACATGAGACTGCAGAAACAGTTTTTACAATTAAGTATTCAGGATTTAAGAACCTTGAACTTACATTCCAAGATATTCACTAAGCAGGAAAATTTACATATGAGGAACCATATGTGACAATATTCTTCTATCATCTGCTACATACGGAAAACATTTCCAAATAGAATATTAAGTAGTATTTAAACTTAGATTTATAGAAGTACCTTTAAATATGATAAAAAATTGCTTGATATAATCTAACAAATAGTAATTTGAGGTCATGAGTTCAAAACCAGTCTCATAAAATGACAAGAGCATTTATTGATTGTATTAAAGGAGTTATCTTGACTCAACAGTTATATAGATTTTTATTACAGAATTTCCATAAGCAGAGACAATATGGATTGAATTTTTTTTTATACACAATAGTGTTTAGGTATTTCATTGTTACAAGACTGCTTACACCAGTTTCTTCCTAATAACACCAAATTTTAATAATAATTTATTCCTATTTAATGCAAACAAACAAACAATCTAATCTTCCTATAATTTTAGTATAGATAAAGAGACAGTATGTAGAGACACACAACAGTACATCAGGTGTACATAAAATGTAATATTTCTTAAATCAAATTTAAACCTAATTTATAACTACTAAGTTTAAAATACCAGAGATATTTTATAGTTTTGTATGACATCTGATGTTGAGTGTACTAAAATTGTTGTAATGGATTATTGTTAAATTTAATTAAATTAGCCAAATTAACCTTGACTGCTATAAATTAGTAGTATTAACCTTGCCTGGGGTTTCACCCTTGAATATAGAAGCTGTAATTACAAAACAGCAGTGAAACAAAATGTATGGTTTCATACCTACATTTATTTTCTCTTAAGCTAATGAGTCATGCCTGCCAGATCATTTGATTTAGTATGTATATATGTCAATTGGAAAATTTGCACATCAAATAAATACAAAGTGTCCAATTTCTGCGTTTGATTTTGAACTCTAGTTTTTAAGTATTTTCAAATGGAAAAAATTATCAATCTTAAATAATCTGAATCTCATCACTGTATAGTAAGAATTAATTCAAGTGCCACTACATGTATACATACATAATAAACAGTGGCAAGGCTCATCTTTCTATACTGATTACTTGCATTAATTTAGTCCTTAGATTACCTAATGAAACTTACCTTAACAAATAATTTGCTAACTGCCTCAAATATTAATTAAATTGGTAAATTAGGGGATAAAAGTTTGTATGAAACTTCATTACTAAAAGTGCTAGGAGTTTCAAATTTTGAATGCAGGTTCTTTGTAGGACCTAAGTGCTCACTCAGACGGGACTTCACGAAATCTGATCCCAAAGGGGGTAAATTAGGGGATGAAAGTTTTTATGGAATTTTCAAATTTCTGGACTTAAAACTAGTTCTACTAAAAATTAATACTCTACAATACATTTTCCAGGAAGTCAGTCTGGATCCAGAGGTGAATGATGCCAATGAGGGCCTCGAGAAAGCAACAATAGGTGCTCCACCTCCCACAATCACAACTACATTGAGCAGTCCCGTATTAGAAGAGGTACAGAACTTATATTCATTTATTTTACATATTTATGGGCTTTCATTGGAATTACATTTTTTAATATTATTTATTTAAAAAGTATTTATAAAAATTATTTTTTAATTAATTACCTAATGTCATAAGAGATTAACTAATGGTGATCATTATATTCCAATATGAGCAATAATTTTATATGAAATAATATGTTTATAGAAAATATTTTATTTTTGTTTATTTCCGTTTATCTGTGTAATTATAAACATTATTGGTATTATTAATAATTTGAAGATTAAAGTGTGTATCAAAATACCAACAAAGATAAGATATCTCATGCTTTACCGTTTCTAATGTGGAATCGGATGAATCAAATTAATGGAATTGATTATATAAAAGAACTACTTTGCTATTATATCCTTATGACAAGTTCATCACTAAAGTTAAGGAAACTGTAGGTGCAAAGTTAAAATTAATTATTACACATCTTCTAAACTTACATGAAATTTAAAAAAACTCATTCTCAGCCTATTAATTTCCATATTACAGTGGCCCAGGTCCTCCCTATTGATGGAAGAGAAAAAACTCAAAGAGTCAATTCAATATCATGACTTGACTTCAAAAGTCGTAATAAATCAGTGTCCGAAAATTTTCTCGTATAAAATTCTTGCTGACGTAACACAATTTTGTAATAGGGATTATTAATATATATTTTTTTATTTCTCGCTCAGGTAGATTGATGAAAAATATTAAATAAGTTCTTAATGAAAAATGCTTAAAAGTCCACTTTGTCCCTGGCACTCTGAGATGGGATTCGAACCCATGACCTTTCGCTATCTGGGCGACTGCTCTAACCACTGAGCTACCCAGGATCTAATGACTGACGAATTTTTCAAGCACTTGTTACTTTTTCGCTACGAGATAGCGTATTTTCATCAAGGTTCAGGCAATCCACCAAAACAGCTGAAATAAATATATCTGCAACTATTTAAACTCTCGAAAAAGATGAAAATTTGTTCTCATTATTATATTTGATCAATTTTGCATTCACAATACTATACTGAAAATTATTCTTAATTAAAAATTAAAAAAAAAAACTACGTTGTGATGGGACTCAAATCCACGACTTTTCGCTATTCGGGCTACGTAGCGAGCCCCCACTCATCGATTTTAACGAGCCTCTACTCCTTAATTTATTATCAAAGGTATTTCAAGTTAAATAATATATGACGGACATACTAAATATAATAAATAACAATATTAAAAAAATATATATGCAATTTATTATAAGTGGCCAGTTCTAAATATTTTTAGTGTCGCCCTCGTAAATAACAGTGATTGTAAGCAAAATCGCGTATCAACTAGTGCCTAAAACGCCTGGACTAGCACTAGCTTCAATTCAAACATGTCACACTGGCTCGTCTGTATCGCTACACACACGAAACCTTTCTTGTTATAATTTTGTTTTCATTAAATACAGTTTATTTCTTATATTTCATTTTGTAGAAAGTTATTACAACAGCTACATGCACTATGTTTCTGTAAGTAAAAATATGTAAAAACAATTTGGCAATTTGGACAACACTTACACTTATGTAAAATCTCAATATGTTTCGGTCGTTCAATTAATGTAAGAAAACATTGTTTATCAAAGACGAAAACGTATTTAATTCTGAGTAAGATCTATCAATAATCAGCAAGCTTACTCTTGAACGTAATCTCAATGTCAATTTCAATTCAATCCAATGACCTCAGTTTTCATCAAATCTTAGCTCATACTCTTGAAGCATATATTCAATACTTATTCAAACATCCAGTTGCACAAACGTCCATTAAAACTATCGTTAGTTTAAAGCGACATTACCCACACAAATTTGACATTCATTAGAGTTTAAAACCGTCATTAAACCTTAATGGACGTTTGTGCAACTCACCGAAAGTCAATTAGTTAATTAAATAACCACACAATATTGAACCAATTGGCGCTAGTGTAACCAAATCAAGAGTACGTATCGTTACAATTGCATGTCGATCGATCGCGATTGCGTTCAAAAGTAAACATGCAGGTCAATTATTCGGTTATTGTAAATATAAGCGCGACAAGCTTACCCTTTTTATTGTGTTGTCCACAGATAGCCACAGAGAGGGCCAACAATATCTTAATCACGGTAACGGAGCCACAGAAAATCGGTGAGGGCATGAGCTCATACGTTGCATACCGCGTCATTACAACTACTAACATGCCTATATTTAGAGAGCATGAGTTTGCGGTGCTCAGGCGATTCAGCGATTTCCTCGGCCTGCACGAGAAACTTACTGAGAAATATCTGCGATCTGGAAGGATTATTCCGCCTGCGCCAGAGAAAAGTATAGTAGGTGTGTGCAGTTTATATTTATTATTTCATTTATATTATCATGGTATTGTATGACATTACACAGATTGGGTGAAACAAATGTTTGATCGTATTTTATGAGACCTTCCTAGAAATACCAGTAATCTAGTATGTATCATAAATAATAACCCAAAATAAAAATGACAAACTTCACTGAAAACTACCTTTAGAGTTGGAATGTTACTTAAAAGTTTAGTTTTATAATTGCATGGGAAGTGGGACCAGGATTTGAACCTTAAATAAATTGTCTTCACAGTATTTTACTATGTTTCAACAGATATCTCTTTATTATTATGTTTCTACAGGAACAACGAAATTAAAAATGACTTCAACGCCATCTACCGAGAGTGCCAACGGTAGCAATACACCTGGCAGCGTCCAGTCGCAGTTTGTGGAGCGGAGGCGCGCGGCTCTCGAGCGATTTTTAAACCGCGTCGCTCAACACCCGGTCCTCTGCATCGATCCAGACTTCAGGGAGTTCCTAGAGTCTGGTTGGTCTATTTTTATATCAGGATTGTATTATACCATGTCAATTTGAATTATGTCACGATTATCCCTATGCTATCGCTATCTTTAATGTTTCAGCTCCAATAGGGAATATTAGGTAAAGTTTGACGAAAAGGGTTTAGCCGGATACGTATGACGAGTCGGCCCCCAAATGGGAATCGATATTGAAACTTATGTTTTAATATAGACTTGATGTTCAAACACGATTTATGTACATTTCGCGACCGACTGCCGCTTTGACCTTGAGATAGAGAGCAAAATATCTGTATGTTTGACTATTACTGAATGTGATATATCTCTGAAGCTAATTAAGATAAAGAAGTGAAACTAACGCGAGGTGTTAGGTTACATTACAGAGTATATCACATATATTTTTTTATAATTTTTAGAATAAAAAATTACATTAAAAAATAAAAATAAAAAAAAACATGTTTTTTTTTCTGAGTTCTCTGTGACTTACAATCACGAAATTAATATATGTTATGCTCCTTTGTGTGCTCTATCACCCATAAAAATTGCGTGAAAAAAAAGTTGGTGCAACACAACGAAAAAAAATTATATGTGATTCGCGCCTTGTAGTGTAAGTGTATAAACAAACAAGTTCGAACTTGTTATCGAGCTGTTTACTGCATCGTTTGTTTAGCTAAAGTAGCAGTCATTTGTATTACACAAGAAGGCAGTTTGGGAATTCAATTCTATCATAGGTATTTTGTATCAGCATTTTTAAATTATTAACTATCGAACCAAATCATTATTAAGTAATAATGTCGAGAAAGTGTAAAAATTGTAACAAGTACCTGTGTAAGGTTCCTGGTTATAAAAAAATTAAGAAGAATGAAGAAGAAGCTAAAGTGTTTAGTGACTGTTTGAATAAAATCGTAATAGTTAATGATATTTTTTGTAAGAAGTGTTGACTTATCCCATATATTAACAAAAAAGCTTCTACTTCTAAATGTGCAGCATTTAACTTGGCCGAAATAATGGACGATCAAAATAATCTCTCAGTACAATATGTGAAATCAGCACCTAATATCATCAAAGCAGAAGTAAAATCAAGACATATAAATAGAAAAGTCTATCGAATTTATATTCACTATATTTCCGAAGGTAATGACTACAATAGTATTCTTCGTTATTGCTGTGATTGCCCCAATGGCAAACGTACAGTGGGATGCTGTTCTCATGTAGCAGCTATTATTTATTATCTATCATATGGATGATATTTGTCCAAAATCGTACGTCCTGCTGAGGTCCTAACTAAGTTATTTGCAACTCAAAGTGTTCCGATTGTAATTAATTACAACAGTGACGATGATTAATATTTTGTTTCTTGTATTTTGATAGACACGAAAAAGTAATAATAATAAGTATTGAACACTGGCTGTTTTTTTTTTTTCATTTCTTTTTTAACTATATCCCATCTCTTAAGACTAGTTACTTATGTTTTAAAACAAGCTGATGTGAAATTTCGAAAAAAAAACAATGATGTAATGTGAAAACCTTATAATACAGGGGTATACCATAAGACAGAAATCACATATAATTTTTTTCGTTGTGTTGCACCAACTTTTTTTTCACGCAATTTTTATGGGTGATAGAGCACACAAAGGAGCATAACATATATTAATTTCGTGATTGTAAGTCACAGAGAACTCAGAAAAAAAAACATGATTTTCTTATTTTTTATTTTTTTAATGTAATTTTTTATTCTAAAAATTATAAAAAAATATATGTGATATACTCTGTAATGTAACCTAACACCTCGGGTTAGTTTCACTTCTTTATCTTAATTATCTTTAGAGATATATCACATTCAGTAATAGTCAAGCATACGGATATTTTGCTCTCTATCTCAAGGTCAAAGCGGAAGTCGGTCGCGAAAAGTACATAAGTCGTGTTTGAACATCAAGTCGATATTAAAACATAAGTTTCGATATCGATTCCCATTTGGGGGCCGACTCGTCATACGTATCCGGCTAAACCCTTTATTATAAACTTTTCAAACATTTTATCTTTTAGAAATGGACGACTACCTTCCTTCTTACAATGCAATATGCTGCGATGATGTGTTATTGGATTGAATAAAGTTACGCTCTTTCTAATTTTGAATAAAAAAAATATTATATTCCTACTATACTCGCTTACTATTCCTGCTATACCTTACTATTTTCTTATTACTGAATGAGGTTTATAACAATTATAAGAAACTGTTTACTACGTGTACTAGTGCTGCAATTTAGCGACAGAAAGTTTTAGTAATACATCTTATTCTTCGTTATTTCTATTTAGGAAATTGTCTATTTAAATTGTGAATTAAGCAAAGAAAACCGAGCGATTTCATTGCCGACATTGCTAGCTTCTGTTTATTTCTACTTTCTATTGATACTGTAAATTTTTTGTATTTATATCATTCATTTTTATTCCTTAGATACGGAGTTGCCAAAAGCGACGAGTACATCTGCCCTCAGCGGTGCAGGAGTGTTGAGACTGTTCAACAAAGTCGGGGAGACGGTCAACAAAATCACTTACAGGATGGACGAGTCTGATCCGGTGATTATTAACTATTTATTATGAAATGAAATGAAATAAAATGAAAGTATCTTTATTCAAGTAGGCTATTACAAGCACTTTTGAATCGTCCAAAAAACTTTTTTCCCCTACCACTTGTTCAGGACGTCTTTTAGCTGACAAGAAGAACAAGCGAAAGAAACTTACCAGCTTTTTATCATAAGTTATGAAATGACATTTACATAAATCATGTCATTACCAAAATAATATGTATTATCACAATAGTAAATACAACTTTCAAAGTCTGTAGGACATAGGTTGAACATATAATTAGAACAAAGCGAAGGCTATTAATTCCATGCATTGCGATCCTTAAAATAATCATCAACTTTATAATAGCCTTTACTCATAAGTATATTCTTTACATGAATTTGAAATTTATTTATGGGTAGGTCAATTACATTTTGTGGAACTTTATTGAACATAGCAATACATTTACCTAGAAATGATCCTCTGGTTTTTTGAAGTCTGAAGCTTGGAACGGCAAGTTTATCTTTATTTCTTGTGTTAAGATTATGAATTATATTCTAGACTTTACGTTAAGATCGTCAACTCCAGAGCAACCTTTCAGCTTTCAGATTTCAGTCATTGATTTGCAAGCAATGCATGCTCTACATCTATAAAAGAACTTTCTAATAAAGATATTTGAACCTTCGTTGTCTCAGATGCTTCATAATAAGGGCTTTAGTTACTCATCTTAGAATCAGAGCAAGTATGTGATGTTGTTTAATATTATCTCTTATTACATCCATACGGAAAGCCTGCACCCCTGCAGTGGGGACGCAAAAGGGCTGATGATGATGAAGTGTGCAATAAAGTTTGATGATGAAAACGATTATTGAACAGTGGTTCGAGGAGCGTTCGTCTCGCGTGGAAGCGTTGGAGACGTGCCTGCGTCGCTTGGCGGGCGCGTGTGAGGCGCTCGCGCACGAGCGGCGCGAGTTGGCGGCGCGCACGCACGACGCCGCGCGGGCGTGCGCCGCGCTCTCCGGCGCCGACCCGCACGCGCCACTGTCGCGCGCCCTCTCGCACGCCGCCGACCTGCACGAGAAGGTATACTGTACACCGACCCGCACGCGCCACTGTCGCGCGCCCTCTCGCACGCGGCCGACCTGCACGAGAAGGTATACTGTACACCGACCCGCACGCGCCACTGTCGCGCGCCCTCTCGCACGCGGCCGACCTGCACGAGAAAGTATACTGTACACCGACCCGCACGCGCCACTGTCGCGCGCCCTCTCGCACGCGGCCGACCTGCACGAGAAGGTATACTGTACACCGACCCGCACGCGCCACTGTCGCGCGCCCTCTCGCACGCGGCCGACCTGCACGAGAAGGTATACTGTACACCGACCCGCACGCGCCACTGTCGCGCGCCCTCTCGCACGCCGCCGACCTGGCCTGACCTGACAAAGTATTTGGTCCTAGTGCCCCGGCTTATTCTGTGAACGTATAAAAGAGCGGACTTGTTTGTTAATCCCATTGGAGTATTGTCCGGTACAGCATATTTTTTTAATATAAATTCAGTTTAATTCTGTTTATACTAAACGTGCTCACAGTCGGCGGTGGAGTTTATTTCTTTTTATTGAGTTTTAAATATTCTTATAGTTATTCAGTTACTTGAAACAAAAGAATCATCATTTAGTCATGATTATCGATCAAGCTATTCTTGTGATATAAATACTTTAACAGACGTAGTTGCATTTTTTTTAAATACAAGTTACTTTGTATTAACAGGTAGAACAATTACGGTTGGAGCAGTCCAACACAGACTTCTTCGTTCTCACTGAACACATCAAGGACTATCTAGGACTTATTGGCGCCATCAAGGACGTCTTTCATGAAAGAGTAAAGGTAAAGTATAACTGCATAAATTCTGATCAACTGACGTTTGTCGTTATATCTAATAGATTATTGCCTTCACAAATTCTAAGTGAGTGTTTTCAACGCTTCGGATAAAATGTTTCACAAAAGTTTTTTACAAGCACTGATATTTTTGTCTCTTTAGCCAAACTTTTATTATCATTTATTCAATACATTATGTGATTACTTTTTAACTTGGCCGTTGCCAATTAAAGTATAATTTTTTCATGTTTTTTTTATTCATGTAACACCAGATTATTTCTGAAAATGACATACCATGTCAGGTTTGACGCGCTGTTTGTACATAGCTGAGATTCACACTCACTACTCTGAAGGATTTCTAAATCGACAAGCTAATAACATCTTCATTGTAATATGAACTCAATCTACAATTTAAATGGTCGAAATGACTTAAGAATGTGCATTTTAGGTGTTCCAAAACTGGCAACATGCCCAAATGCAGCTCACTAAGCGGAGAGAGAACAAAGCGAAGGCGGAACTCGCCAATCGGCCAGAAAAAATTGAACAAGCTGCTAACGAAATCATTGAGGTATATCATTACGTACACACAGAAGCATGTCAGCTTACCACAATATATCAAATAATAGCAACTGATATTCAATTCTCCTTGAATTTAAACCTTAATTAACGCTTCACCTAAGGTTTAAATTCAAATGAAGATATTTGACAGACTGTACTGTCTGACTGTCCTAACTGTACCTTAAAATTATGTATGAAGATCAAAACAGATATGATAGGAGTAAATAACGCGCAGATTTTCAGTCGTACTTTTGTGATTTTTGGGGCCGATGCTGATGCTCGAATCCAGAGGTCGGCAACCTGGGGCTCTTTCGATGTAAAGAGTCGACTCCATTTTAAAATAATTGTTATTTTACTGCTGAAACCCTATACTATAATACGATTAAGATTATACTCTATGGTCATAGATAACTATGACTAAGAGACAGATATTCAAAGTCGTGCATTGAAAAAAAAACTTAATTTTATTATAAATACTATTGAAAAGAAACTTTAGTAGCTCTTTAAAAATAATATTTTTTTATGAACTAGCTTTCGGCTCTTCTGTCTCATAAGGCTGCCGGGCCCTGGTCTATTGAAAATGCTTAATTTGCGTATGGACTAACCCGGTACTGATCGTCAGTCTATTAATGTCCTGAAATGTTCTAATTCCAACGTTTAAATACTCGCATATGGAGTTGTACAAGTTTTGGTGATTTGTCGAGCTTGCTGCAAAAACTTATATGGCTCATAGAAAAATTGCACTCCGCAGGCACAGGTGTGTAGTAGGTTTCTGTGAGAAATTGCAGAAGTTACTTGCCATTAAACTCCGTATATAAAACCGGCTTCTGCAAAGAAGATTTTCAACTCACCAACCATCATCGAGCTCAACGACTTCTCGTCTAGCTCTTAACAAAGTTATTTTAATTATATAGTGGGAAGCGAAAGTAGAACGCGGTCAACAGGAGTTCGATACGATATCACGCGTCATCAAGAAGGAATTGGAGCGATGGGAGGAGGTGAGACTGACTGAACTGCGGGCCACCATACTGCGGTACCTGGAGGAACACATGAAACACCAGGCACAGGTAAATATTGTGATGATTTTTTTTTATAATGAAATCTAGAAGCGCTAGTGTAGCGTCAAATTTATGATACATTGCCGGTCTGCGAACGTTTCTCTTCAAATAAACGAATTTTGTACTTATTTCGGGGTAACTGAGATTCATTAAAGCAATTATGTATTTTTTTTTTTCATTTATTAGAGTAAACAAACAGTGACAATTTCAAATATAGTTAAAAGTAGAAATATATAATAAATTTTAAAATCGCCACCAACACCGTTTACTACATTAACAATATTTTAATGACTCTGGTTTTTTACAACTCTTGTAAGAATACAGTTTTAATGAATGTATTAGGAACAGAGCTAAGAAAATGGTGTAAAATTCAATGGGATGAAAGAGCAGTTAAATCAAATGTTACAGGTTTATTGAGCGTGTTCGATAGTTTAAATAAAATTATTTGATGTTTGTATATGTATGACTTAAATTCAATCTCGTAGTAAACAAACTTTGACAGAAACAATCGCGACTGTTGCGACATCTGGTGCGCGATAAACGGTGGCCCTCATTTTGGTAGGACTGAGTCACTGGCAATACATCTGATTGCAAGTGTTATTCCATTCTAATAATACTAATAGCTGTCAGAAGTCGAAACTGCAACCGGCAGTCACCACTATCTTGCTATTATGCTTAAAAATCTCTTCACACCTCTTCATATATTCCAGAGGTTATATGAAGTTGGAAACACATGGGGCAGGTCACTATCTACCATTTTAGTTGTACGGCAAATATAATATTGTTGAACCATAAGTAGACTTATCTCCATAAGCAATCTACTAGAGTTGCCATGGTGAGGATATATAGCCAGAAATGTTGAGCTTTTTAGTTGAGCGTAAACGCTTTTGCTTATATAAACTCGAAGTTATGAATAAAGTCTTAATTGGGCATATTTTCTATCTTTTTCTAATAGACATTTTAAATATTAATTTCTCAGCAAATTACTGAATATATTTGTTCTTGCACATAATAATGTAATCATTTCGGCGGAAAAAAACACGCTTTTTATCCCTATCTCTACATTTTTCAATGAATCCACTTCAGTACAATTAAATTAAACATAATGTAGATCAAGTCTAATTGTGTCAACCTCAATAGATTACAGTGTAACATAATGAAACATCCACTTTAAATAAAGAAACAATATTTGTAATCATAAAACATAGATATGATAAAAATAATAAAGAATTATATAGATTAGGCGTGAGTGTATATTGTGATAATAACATGACAATAATTAATACTGAGTAATACAGACAGTATGGGGATTTTCGAATCAGTTTGTGGTGCATTTGTCATTGTTGGTTTTCAAAAATAAAATTTTTAAAAATATCTATATAGAATCTGATATCGTAGCAGACTGATATCGCCGATTTAAAAAAAATATCAATTGGATTTTATTATAAATGACGGATGTATCAGAGCGGAAATTCAAATTTCCGAGAATCATACAATTAGATTACGTTCACAAGAAATAGGACGACTATGATAAAAATTCGATATGAAAGACAATAAATAGAAAATGGGATTATTTTTATCATCTATTTTTAAGTAATGTAGTGAATGGTGAGGTTGAAGTGGGAATTTTGTCTTTGTTCCATATAACGCATACAGTACACTAACTTATGACGGCCTCTACGAATTTCCACGATTTTAAAACATTATTACAGCATAAAATTATCGAAATTAATTCTTGTCATGTTTCATTGAACTGAAAAGCAGTTATCGAGTTCTAAAAGCTATAGTCTGTTTCACATAACATGGGTATGGTAACGATTGTAAACAAATCCATTTCACGCCATTTGTATTTCCAAATAATTATAATGTTTAAAATATTAAATAAATATTTAATTAAAATATTTTGACTATGTATATATGAGGTTCTAACAACTTGAAATCTAACATCAATACTTGTGAGGCAAATTAAAACTTTTTTAATAGGGATTGAATTAATGAAATCGATTCAATCGCAATATGTATTCGGAAATCATTTGACCATTTTTTTTAAATTATTATTTTCGTAACAATCAAACTTAACTATGATAAAATTTTGTATTTTCCCGACTGGGTTTCATCTTAATGAATAAATATTTTTCTTATATCTTTTTTATACATTTACCACAAAATAGATTATCGCTATTAGAAATGAACATCATAATATCGAGTTTTTGTATATATATTATATTAGCACATTACTAAAAAGACTATAGTTAACACCCTTAGATTATTCTTATGTAATAGTAAAAGAAATTTGATTATTAGGAATTTTATAATTGTTTCGTCATTCGCAGTCGATCCGTTTCTGGGATGTCTTCCTGCCAGAGGCACGAGCTATCAAATGAGTGGAGGATTAACGGCCCATCGCGCCATTTTGCATACTCAAAACACGACCTTAGCGACAACATTGTAAACATAGAATCCATTGTACATTCACTGACGAAATTCGCTGAACTTTTTAGAACTTCTTTTAGACAAAGAAGTTGTTTATGAGATATAATTATTGTAAAAATGTAAATTAGCGACCAATTTGTTCAGTTGGTTCCGTCACACATAACGCGTTTCGAAAACTCGTGTTGATAAATAGATAATAATTTAAATAAGAATAAATACAGTTGAATTGTTTGTTTTAATCAGCGCTCGTTTTAAATAAATTCAACCAAACTTCTCCAATGTATAGAAATAATTGTAAATTTAAAATGAGTTACGGTTCCGTTTCGATACAATAATAAATAAAAAAGCTAGTTAAAAAACTAATATTGGTGTAAAAACAATCTTAATACCTTAATTCGATGTATTAAAATCGAATAATAGTGATACAATATGAGGTCTACGTTTAATATTATTTATTACCTATATACCGCCAACGCAACCAATTGTTACTGATTTTTACGTTAGTGACTTATAATCTTAAAAATTGAAAAATGTGCAAACTTTATATTTTGTGTAGAATCAAGAAAGTTGTCAACGCATATATATTTTTTTTAATTACACAATGTTTATAACAACCATTATATGTAGTCATAAAAAAATTTTCATCATAAGATCTTATCTATGTATTTCCCCCGATTTATGTAGGTATTGTATAAAAATAACACTTAAGGTTTTTTTTTTAATTTTGATTATTAAAGATAATAAAATCAGTTTTCGATTAGATTCATGTAAAATATCTTAATTAAGTTGTTATCACAATAACTTTTTGCATAAAAAATGTATATAAGTAAATTTATTGTTGAGGAAAATTAAGGTCGAATGTCTAGGTGTCTCTAACTGTCAAGAGATGTCACTTGTGTCTGATGTACTATATATTTTTTATCATTGAAATAGTCTGTATAGATTTAAAGTAATACAATTCAAAATAGTCAACAGCATTTCAGGCTATGCCAAACTGTCAAATTTCTCCAGTTGATTTTTAACTTTTATGCATCGTGATTAGAGTTCAAAATCAATTGAGGAAATTGAGAACATATTGTGTTAACTTTGACTTTAATATTGGTCATAGTAGTATAGAAAACGCTAAAACAAACTGTATAGAATTATACTACACTATGAGAACAAAATGATATAAACAAATATAGACTTTTTGATTGCTAAATAATAAAAAGTGGTCATCCACTGATATTCAAAACGAATAATCTATGTCAAACCATATGAAATGTTGGGCTAATTTTCGGAAACAGTTACCATCAACACGATTGGAGAAATTTAGATGGTACAGATATAAGTACCACATACATTTAAGGGTTAAAAAAATAATGTTGAAGATTATTAATAATAAAGCGTTTTAAGTATCTTGATTGAGTCAGATTAAACATGAATTAATATGATATTGGAAAAATCAATGTACCTACAACAGTAATAATACCCGATTTAAAAAAAAAATTGAATTTCTTTTGTCAGTTAGATAATGGAAAGATATTAGATACGTATTATTTGCCTTAAGGTTAATAACAAGAAATGACAATTAATGGGAATTAAAGTTGAGGCTCTCCTCAACTTTGATCTCTCTTATTACGTCAAAGCTATATAGAAAATGTACACATATGTGACAACTAAAAATGTGGCCGTAATTTAATTATCAAGCAAAATAATAAAATAATACGTGTTTAATATTTTTCAGTAATAAAAAAAATTCATAATATATAAATATTTGGACAGCATATGGTAAACGCACATTGATCATCATCGACCGCGCCGAAGGAGGCGGAAGAAACGAATTTTTGAATTGTTCGTGTGTTCGATTATGGTTATAATCGTCATATTTCTAATGTCTCTAGTAATTAATTTGGTATAAAGAAAATTCGTTACGTTCCTCTCCTTTGGTTCGGTTAATCTGCTACCAGCCAGATTATCTTAGCAAAAAAAAGTGTTTATTAAATATATGTAATGTACAGACAATTACCACGAAAATTTTCGAGGGTGAATCGAATTCGTATCGAGTGTATGAAGACAAATTTCGTGGTCGAGAACCTCACACCATTCCAGGCGTGGCCAACTCTGAGTAAAGTCAGGACTCGGTTAAGGCAAAGTAGCAAATGATTTTTTCTATATTGTCTCGGGTCTGGGTTTTGTGGTACCTTCGATGTTTCACATTTCCATTATAGAAGTGCTTTAGCAACTTAATTTGGGATCTCAACAATTGACAAATATTCATATGTATTTTTTTTATAACGGCAAGTTTCTGAATTGAGAAAAGTACAAAATCTTAACTGAGTATTATCAATAACTTGAAGTTTATGCTTTTCACAAAACAAAAAGCCCTAGTTTTTATCAAACTGCTATCAACTGCTCACTAAAAAAACTAAAATCAGAAACGAAAATCTGTTTAAGCGACGTTTACGTTCGGTTTGAGACGCGCTTTACATTAAATACTCAATTCAGAGACCGGTTGTAAGATTTGCAATCCAATAACTTGACATTTGTGTTCAACAGAGCACCGATTCGATTTGCACTCAATGAATTTTCGTGCTCCAAACAATTTGAATTTTAAGATTGATTTATTCAGATTTTATTGTAAACAGATAAAACAAATATATTTTAATCACATTGTAATGCTATAAAAATATTAATAATAGCCTTGTTGCGTATGGAATATCCACTTTGTGTAAGTACTATAATTTTGATGTCATTCACTTATATTTTAATAGGCACGTGTGCCTTTAAGGTTCATATTCGCTCAAGTAACGATACAAATTATGTACCGATTATTTTTTGTTTCTCTCGCAACCTATTACAAAGAGAAATAAAAGAAAGGAATATCACAGACAAAGGTTTCATAGGCTATGTAAATAATGTAACTGAATAATATTATATTAGGCCAAATATGTTATAATTAATGCCAGAAACCTCTTTGTATATAACTTATTGGTCAATAAACAATGACCGAATCAAGTAAATGAGCCGTAACAATTAAATTTTTGCGACACAAACCTCTTACAGATTTGATTTTTGCCATTAATCTAATGGCCGGCTGACCGAGAATATTTTACATTTTGCAAATAGAAAAAAAAATATCAAATTAAAATACCTTTTTTTTTTATTTTGCATTTTGTTTGATCATTTTAAATACAATTATTTTGAATAAGTTACATCTCTGAATTTTATAGTAATTGATCGAAGTAGATGATCTAAAGAGCAAATAAAAATATATGATTGTGACTTATATATGTGTTCTTTTTTAATTAAAAATATTAAATTTAAATAACGATAATCACATACAACCAACCTTTATGGTTCTACGGTGTAACTGAAGCCCTGATTGATCTCAAAATTAAGTAATCTGATTGATCTGACAGTTTGACAGATCAATCAGACCTAGTATATCACGGTTGCCGAAACTCGTACAGACGCATCTAGCCAATTTTATCACAAAAGTGTAGCTAAAATGTTTATCTACGAAAAATGTCTGTTCGGCGAACTTGCTATAGCCACGTAACACGCGATATATGATAAAATATGTAATGCTGTCTCACTTATGCCGCTGAAAGATGAGCAGAATAGTAACTCATTATGATGTCAAGTCAAGTCAAATTCAAAAGTCAAGATGCTCATGTTTAGCCGCCGACATGACTTCAGTTACGCGGCAGAGCTTACGGTCTTTCTTAGGTTAATGGACCATTAGCCAATGATCGGGAAAATCCAGTAAGTCAGTCCAGTGAAATTAGAAATATTTAGTTCTATTTCATTGGTCTGTCTTGATTACTGGCTTAAGGATTGTATCCGTTTACAATTAGCTAATACTGGCCTGTCTCAGCTACGGCTTCATGCTATTGGTCTATTACGCTATGCAAAAATTCACTGGCTTTTATAAAAAAACACGTTACGCCAAATGTTAAAAAACTATTTTTTTTTTTCAAAGTAAGTTATCAATTATCATCATTGTATAACGTTAATAAGGACAGAGTTAAATATAACTAAAATATAAGAAGCATATGTGAGGATTCTTGTTATTATACTCCGCAACGGATACGGCGTGAGTATGTAGATAGAGGATTCATCTAAAAGAATTTACTTATTAATTTCATGGCACCTCTTATTGTTAAGATGAAGATTATCCAGATTTTGTTATCACTATGTATATTTTTATAGTCATTCGTTTTATTATATGTAACTATAAGAGATATAAGTATCGTATAATAGAAGTGTATTCAAAAATGATATGTTTGTGTTTCTTACAGATATTATGTTAAATTGGACAATATCAACATTCCATGTTGACAGTTAATTTGAAAATTATGTTTTATGATAAATATATTATAATTGCTTTCACATTTGTAATGGTTTTGGAGTTTTATGATTGTTTTATAAATGTAAGTTTTGTCCAATTTCATAGTATTGTCTGTAACATAAAATTTACCTTAGATATGTATTAGATAGTACGATTGAAAAATCTCGATTCTAATGTATTCCTTATTTTTTATATGGCCAAATATATTTAGGAGTAATTTGGTGTAATGGAAAAGATGATTATTATATAAAATTATAATGTTTGTTTCAAATTCAAATGGTATTTTAATTATACGCCCTTAAATTACACTTGTGTGAACATACCCCGTATTAAAAAACAAACACTTAAGGGTAGGTTTTACAACGGCATACACTACCATGGTTACATTACATTAAAACATTTTCAAACTGATTAAAAAAAACTAAATAATAAAGGACTTCACATCACACAGAACCATAGTCCAGCCACTTGACTGAAATACAATTCATAACAAATGTGTATACAATAGTTAGAGATATTACGATACGTGGACAAATCAAGACCCGATGATTACGTTTATCATTGAGCCCACAAACCTATCGGATAATTATCACTGATCCACTATATAAACAAGGTGGGGAATATAACAAATCTAGCTTTGATTTCGAAGTCATTAAAGCATCAGGTGAGTTTTTTTGTTTACACACAAGTAAATATAAGTTTATAAATTATCTTTCTTCATTTCAAAATCTATTAATACCATTTCTAAAATTTAAGCAGCATTATTTAATGTTTTTAATATATCAATAATGTGAAACTGTTGTGTTTATTGCAATGTTATTGCAATGTATATTCGAAGTTTCTAATTGTGTTTTCATAAACAATACCATCATATTTTAGAAAATGAAAGGCGTAATTACCGTGTGATCGTCATTACTCAGACGGTATTAAGATTAGATAATACAATACTTAAATGTAATTAATTAACAAAACTTTCAAATAAAAAAAAACCCTCAATTATTTTGCAGGAAAAATGAAGGTTCTTCTTACACTAGCTTTTGTGGCAATAGCCACTGCGATCCCAATGCCAGAGCCGATACGGCTGCAGGATGCCCAACAGCCGATAGGCATCAGCACCCTGCCTTTGTTTATACCCGCTGAGTTAGCCGAAGCATTCAATAAGGATCTTGAACTGAATCCACCTATCAACAGCATGATCGAACCTATTGTTTTGATCGAAGCTCCTCAACCCGAAGTTTATGATGATGTCGTCGTCGTCTTAGAAGAAACTAACCCCGCTGAAGAAACCGTCCCTACTGCTGTCAAATTCGTAGATTCCCCAGTTGCAGAGGAAGTTGCCCCTTCCGCTGAGGATTCTCCAGTTGCAGAGGAGGTTGCTCCTACTGCTGTCAGATTCGTAGATTCTCCAGTTGAAGAAGTTGCCCCTACCGCTGTCCGTTTTGTAGATTCCCCAGTTGAAGAAGAAGTAGCCCCTATTCGATTCGTAGATTCCCCAGTCGAAGAGGAAATCTCACCTTCCGGTTTCGAATACGCCAAAGTCTCATATGAAGATATTGAGCCGACGGCTGTCCGATTTGTCGATAATCCAGTTGAAGAAAGCGACGCTGCAGTCGAGCTAGCTGAAAGTGCAATTGGAGAAATAGCCCCCACCCCAGTCCGGTTCGTCGATGCTCCTATTGAGGAAAAAGCCGTTCCCAGCCCTATCAAAATAGCTAACATTGCAGATATCGTGAAAGATTCAGTAGTAGTTCTATCCGAAGATGATGCATTAGAATCCTATGATGGACCTCAGTACCCACATTTCAAATACGATAATGATTTATTACGTTAAAGAAAAGAAGCACTTTTCTAAATTATATGTATATATAGCTTAAGTAATATACAAATAAAATCTTCAAAACTATAAATTTCAAGTCTTCTTTACAGAATTACTGTACCAAATTTCAATTGTGAAATAAATATTTTCACACTGATTTACTTTTTTTAATGTTACAAAAATATAATATAATTAATAGAGTGAAGTAGATACTATGTTGCAATTAATCATCCAATCGCAAATTTTCTAGAAGTTGCTGCGTTATATTACCTAGGTCCTAGTTAAAGTGAAAATATTCCATATTCGAATAAGCTTATTGAAAGCACTTTTAAAATTCTACAAACTGTTCGTAACTATATTAAATATAGTATAGAATAAATTTTATTCTAGAGCCTTTGACTAGCACAAGAACGGGTACAAACTCACGTATAATTATACATACAATGTGTTGTTGTTATGAAATGCAATAACTTTCTATATCATTTAATAATTATGTCGGTGAGTTTATTTTATCATATCTTTTGAGGTTTTTATGTAGGTAAATATGAAAACTTTGTAAAACAAAGTTGAAAACCGTCTTTAAAAAGTCCAGTAGTCGATTAATATATATCCAAAATCCACTAGATCCCTGGTATCATGAGATGGGGTGGCCACCACCAAGTGGATTTTTTAAGCATTTTTCATTAAGAATATTTTCCAGTATAGCATTGTGAATTCGTAATTGATCAAATATAATAATATATAAATAATCAATAATTTGTAAGTGTGACAAATCACACAACCTCCTTTTTAGATTTTTTAGGTCGGTTTTAGTCCTTTCATCAAATTTACGTTAAATAATGCAGAAATCAAAGAATGTAATACTTTATGTATATTTTTATAATCACTAAGTCTTATCTATTTACACATTACACACAAGAACATTATTTCAATACATAATCCTCTGGGTAATCCATTACTTTGGGGAAATTCTGAACTTCTTCTTCAGGGATGTGGTCAAGTCTAGTTGGCACAGGACGGAGTTGTCTTATCTGGTTGCTAACATTCTGAAGAACGTCATCAGGTACCTTCTCACCAGGATAAATGAACAGTCGTTCCATTGTGTGACGTCGTTGAAGATTTCCTTGCATTGCTTTGTACACTGCCTTTTTAATTATCTGAAATAATTAAAAAATAGGTATGATGAATGGATAAAAAAATTTGTTAATCAGTCAGATAATGGGAAGAATATACATAGTAATCTGAAACAACAAAGATACCACTACAGACCTGACGCATTATAGAAAAGTTCATATTCTATATTGACACGATCAGGAATCAACATACAAAGATGGTGGTTCGACATATTAAAATTGTAATTTAACCTAAAATTGTGCAACAGAAATACTAAAAATTTATTTTTAAAAAGTTTCTAATTATAAACTCCTACAATACACAATTAGATAAAGATAACACATGTCATACTATTCAAATCAATCAAAATTAATTTTATCAACGATTATAATAACTATAAAATTATTATGAATTCATTATCCAATCTACAATTAACTTTGTAAGTGTATTATCAAATTAAGAAATTCAGTGTTTTAAAATTTATGTACATAAAAAAAACTTTAATTTTAGAGATAGAAAAATAACAAACACTTCATTGTAAACACCAAATACAAAACATATAAAACAAAGAAATATTAAGCTAGCTATTTGTCACAATCGGCGGTCTTATCGCTATACAGCGATGTCTTCCTTTGGATAGAGAGATGAACTATCTTAAGTATAGGGGATTTATTTAATTAGTGAATAAGATAAATTTTTAGGGTGTGATCTAAACTAGCATAGGCATTACTCAAAAAAATGCAGTGTTTTTGTCTATAAACGGTGGCATCCTTCAGTGAAAGCACATGTCTTGTGGCCAGATGATAGCATACGCAATCTAGATGTCAAATGATTGGCATAAATATTAAAGCAATAATTATATTTACTTCTTTGATTTCTATGTAGAGATTAAGATTTTTGTATAGTTAATTGTACAAAAAATGAGTTACAATAATAAGAATTATAATATGTTGCTTGGTCACCCTACTTTCTTTAATTTGTTGTATAACCTAACAATGAAAATGCATCATGTATAAAAAAAAAATCACCTCCCATATAAAATAAGTTTACATAAACCACATATTGGAGTTGTCGCTCGGCTAGTTTGAATCACACAAAATTTTCAGAAGCTCCAAATATAACTAACTAGATTTGGCCCGCGACTTCGTCCGTGTGGTAAAGTTACATTGAGCAGCATTTCTAACGAATATTTATTCATTATATCGTGTAAAATACCTGAAAAAAAAAAACTTATCCCTTAGCTTATGCCCTTAGGGGTGGAATTTATCAAAACTTAAGGGATACTTACGTCATAGTAGCTTTATGCATGCAAAGTCTCAGCCCTTAAAATTGATAAAGTTTCATCACCTATTTTATCCCCTTGGAGGTGGAATCAATCAAAATCCGTTTTTAGAGAATACCTACGTCATAGTAGCCTTATTTATACAAAATCTCAGCCCAATCGGTGTAAAATTGTCAGTTTCATACAAAATTTCATCCCCTATTTTATCCCCTTGGGGAAAGATTGGATCAAAATCCTTTCTTGACGGATGCCTACGTCATAACATCTACCTGTATGCCAAATTTCAGCCTGATCCATCCAGTGGTTTGGGCTGTGCATTGATACATTACTATGTCAGTCATTCACCTTTGAGTTATATATATTTAGATTATTTTCCTGTGGGAATGCGTCATTTTCCCGCAGTAAAAAGTAGCCTATGTCCTTTCTTGGGTATTAAAATATCTCCATACCAAATTTCATGCAAATTGGTTCAGTGGTTTAGGTGTGATTAAGTAACAGACAGACAGAGTTACTTTCGCGTTCATAATATTAAAATATGAATGAATGAATGAATGAATGAACACTTTATTGTACTTGAAAATAAAATCAACATAACAATTAATAACAATAAACAGTACAATCGGCGGCCTTATCGCTAAAAAGCAATATCTTCCAGGCAACCAAAAGTTAGACTGGACAGTTACATAAAAAAGATGGGTAGTAAATGGTGTCCTACACAGTTGAAATAAAAATTTTCCATACTAATATATACACACATATAAATATATACATATATAATAATAAATAAACAATAGCCTAATTTAATGTTCAGAAAGTGACAGATAAGTAATGCTCTTTTACCTTATTTTTAAAGACATTCAATGATGGAGCGCGCTTTATATCATCTGGTAATTTATTCCAAAGGTGGACAGCCTGAACTGCAAAAGACTTGTCGAGAAACTTTGTTGAATGGATTGGCGTCTGCAGTTTTAGGTTCTCTGATGATCGCAAGACACGGGAGTGCGTATCGTGGAGGTAATTAAAACGTTCCCTGAGATACATTGGAGAGAAAGGATTAAACAGTATACTGTAGAGCAAGGAAACAATATGGGCATTCCGACGAAGACGAATTGGCAACCACTTGAGCTTAGTGCGAAAATCAGATACATGATCATATTTGCGTAATCCAAATATGAATCTTATACTAAAATTTTGAAGCCGCTCAAGTTTATTTAGTTGCTCCTCAGTTAGATCTAGATAGCTGACATCGGCATAGTCCAGGATTGGTAAAAGAAGAGATTGTGCAAGCGCAGTCTTAGTTGCTATTGGTAAAAAGTTACGCAACCGCCTCAAAGAACCAGCAGCAGCAAAGGTTTTACGACTAACTTTCTCAATTTGTGACCGCCATGTTAAGTTTTTATCGATAGCTATGCCCAAATTTTTAACACAGTCACTGGGGGTCAAAGTAATTCCACCAAATGAAATCGCAGGTAAACATGACCAGTCAATTTTATTAGTCATAACGGGGCTACCAGCTACCATGACTTGAGTTTTTGAAGGATTAACTTTTATTCCGTAACACTTGCTCCAATCAACGACAAACTCAAGGTCACGGTTTACAGTATTGATGGCAAAAGTTAGTTGATCAGGAGTAGCTTGGGAATAAATTTGTAGATCATCTGCATAAAGGTGATAGGATGAAACTAGTTGTCGTGAAATTGAGCTAATAAATATAGCGAAAAGTAATGGAGAGAGAACGCCACCCTGCGGCACCCCGGCAGAAATATTGAACCAAGTGGAAAAGGAATCCTCAATGCGCTGACGGCGTCCAGACAGGTAACTATGAAACTATTCAACCACTGCTGGAGATATGTTAATAGAGCGTAATATGCCAAGCAGTATATCAAAGTCAACGGTATTAAACGCGTTACTAAAATCTAGTAGACAGAGAACCGTTACTTTTCCATGTTCCATTCCTGACCTGATATCATCTGTAACATTTACTAGTGCAGTGGTGGTACTATGACCAGCACGGAAACCTGATTGATAAGGATTTAGGAGATGATTTTTGAAGAGGAAAGTGGATAGTTGGTTGTGAATGAGGCGTTCCAGAACTTTAGAGAGGAATGGTAGTATGGAAATCGGTCTATAGTCTAAAAATATATATAGTAAAGATTAGTATAGATTTTCATTTTCAAAATAACAAAATCTTCATGCATAATTTCAGTACCTGCTAACACACATTTTTTGATAAATTTACTTATTCCATGTTTAAATTTAATCTCAATTGTGAAAAAAATTAAATTGCCTTGAAAATTGTCAGTTATGAAGTATTGACATATTGCTGTTGATATGTGTAAAACACTCTTAGTCTAAGATCCGAACCTAAATCGACCTTCACCGGGTTGATAAAGGAATAAAACTTATTGTATAATTAATTTAGTATATTAGAAAATATATTAAAAATGGGTTAGCTAAAAAAATCCTGGACAGAAATTGAAATTAACTGGCATCAATATACCTGTTTATACCTGACAACCCAGTAGTTCGTCCAGGTAAATAATAGACAACCCAACGTCTGCACATTCTATATGTTTTATACTTTAAGTCATAATTAAATTTTTCTTATTATCTTGATGTTGCAACATTTAATAAAAAAAATATTTTTTTTTAAATAATTATAAATATTCTGTCCAGAAATTTATTAGCGAACCCATTTTTAATATATTTTCTAATATATTAAATTAATTATACAATAAGTTTTATTCCATTATCAACACAGTGAAGGTCGATTTAGGTTCGGATCTCCTACTATCTGAAATAGTTGTATGCTATTCTACTAGTATATCTACTAGTTTAGCCATGTATGCAGTCCACAAACAAAAACAGATTTTTACTTAAATTCAAAGTAGGTATATTAAAGTATCTCTATTATTGTATTAACATTACAATTATAAATATAATACAAATACTTGCAACTTACTTACATATTGGTAGGTTTGTTTTGAGAGTTATTCTTAGTACTAACCATAGTTGGATCCTTATTGTGCAACTCCCAAGCCAAAGTCCAGCTCGCCCCTCCCGGGTACCCGGTGTGGTGAAAGTAAGCTCGTCTCCGCCATTCTTCGCCTCGTAAAGCTATTTCTCTGCTGTTAATACAAACAACTACATCACCACAGTCGTTCATTGGATGGTATATTGGTTTATGTAAACCCATCAAATATTTTTTAATAACAGTTGCCGACTCATACGGATCTTGCCATTTACAATCGAATATATGCCAAGTTCGTGCAAATGTAGCCCATTGCTAAAATATAAACAAACAAAAATAATAGAATAATAATTCTTGTTTAATACAACTGGTTATGTGAACTGAAGTTTCGATGTAATACCTGCACTCTTTTAAAAGCAGACATTTTGTATTATCTTATAATAAAAAAATGAGATATGTAAGTTTTATGTTACAGCATAATTTTGTAAAATAAACGATGCGTCAAAAGAATCCCTATATTTTGCTCTTCTTTCGGTTTTAGCTTTTGAGGTTATATTTCCAGTGTTGCAAGTACACTATTTAAAAAAAACTTTTTTTCTTTAATAAAATATAAACGCGACAAAATGAAAACAAATGGCGTAATTTATAAGTATATGTATGGTATAATAGTGTTATTAATTGTGTTCTGTGGGCGTCATTCGATTTTTTTAAGCATTTACCACTTTTTGAGGAGGAAAGAAAGACCTTTAAAAAGTTACGTAGAACGCAACTAATGAGGTAATTTGGCAACACTTGTTATTTCAGACAGTGTTTTTCTTAACTATTATATATAGCAAGGAAATTTTGCCCATACAGTTTAATTGAAAGGGAGTAAAAAATCACGAAATTCGTGTAACGTAATCTATGGATGGCCCATGACCAAGGGTGGGGCAAAAAGGGCAGCAATAAAACAATATTTTTTACATATGACTACCTCTTTTATTACTCTTTATCTAGCTCAAGTACATATTAATAAGTGTAGCTTTCTGATATGACTTATTTATTTATCAAGATGAAGATCTTTCCGTATCATATATGCGGACACATGCATCATGTAAGGCTCGTTCTTGAGAAAATTTTCAATAGCACAATCGCGGACTTCCTTCCACGCGTATAGGTCCCGATAGATCGGTCGCACAATCTTCATCCGGCCCTGATGATTTACGAAATCGAACACTTCATTTAGTACATCCTTGTCCCTTGCTTTGATGCACAGACGATACCATCTGTAAAAATAGTTTTTTGCAGAATCCTTAAAAAAGGCGAGTATTTCATGGAGCTCGACGCGCAGTGGTAAGCGATATTCTATCTGCGATGCGGAAGTTAAGCAACTTTCGAAAGAGCCAATCACAGGATGGGTGACCAAAAATTTATTCTCTCGAGCTACATGCTTCGGGAGGCAAGTTAGTTAAGCAGTGCAGTCGTTAACACCCACCAATACACACTGGGCCCGCGTGGTAGGATTAATAATAATAATAATACACTCCATTGCACTCAATATAACACAGGTTACAGGAAATTTACAGTAAGAAGAAACAGAACACAAATGGCGGCCTTATTGCTGTGCAGCAATTTCTTCAAGGCAACTAAAGGAGTGAGAAAAGCAATTTTAATGAATAGTGTGGGGGTGGTAGGTGCAATATAAGAAAGGAAAAATAAATAATTAATATAACTCTAGACAAACATATACTAAGATGATTAAAAGACAGATTTAAATTAATGTTCTACAACAGTTTAAAATATATATAATAAGTAAAAATGTTTTAGGATATAGATAGGAAATGACTCTTAACTTGATCGCAAAACGTATTGAGTGAACGAGCTTTCCTAATACATTCTGGGAGTGAGTTCCAAAGCCGCACAGCATGCACAGAAAAGGAGTAGGAAACGAAGTCTGTAGAGTGGCGAGGAATATCAAGAGTGAGATTGGTAGAACATCGCAATCAAGCAAATATCGCTGCAGTATAACTGTGCAATACGTGCACATGTGCATTGTGCACATACTATTTACTTCACCGATCGTTCTAGAAACCTACCATTTCATAAAGAAACAGATTGTATGCATTTATAAATCAGTCTCCTTTTAATAACCATAAGGTTTGAAATCACACTAGGCTTCGCACTGTAGGACTACCAATTCGAATCATTATGATTATGGATGCGAAGGATTTGCGAAGTTTCGTTTAACCTTCTGCGCAAGTTAATTACTATATTATATTTTTCACTATACTGACGGATATTCATGAAACATAATTAATAATTAATTAACATAATTAATAAGTTATTTTTCGTCCTCTGTGTATCTTATATATTATGTGTTCCTTTAATGTACGTTTTTGTTTTCTTGTTATTAGTTCTTATTTTGAGATTAATAAATGTTTCTTATTCTTAAAAAACACACCTGTAAAGGATCTCTGTATTATTACTTCGCCGAAAACTATATTCGTCGCCCAGATTACGCAATCTGTTCAGTGGCAAAGCCGGTCGTTCTACTAATTCCTGTAACAAATGTATCTGCTGATGCATAGTTAAGTTCTGTATATCTACAGATGATAAACTTGCATTGCCTTCCAAAATCATCTTAAGAAGCGAATTAACTGCCTCCGTCATTTTCATGTCATATCTGTGAACACAAAAAAACTTGAAGCAACATAATACTAATTCAAATATCGTACATTATTCCAATGTAGATGGTCATCAATATAGATTGCCATCCGGGCGGCCATTAGCAGATTTTTCCTGATTAGAGTCCGAGAAATATTTGGGAGTTTTATAGAGGATAGTTTTTTGAAATGGGACAGTGGCAGGTATCATAAACATTATAGTTACATAAAACACCCCTAGCAGATACTCTCATAGTGCATCGCAAAAATATACCCTGTAGGTATATGTATTGTCTGGATAAAAAAAAATGCTGCCGTCACATGATGTTTATAGACAGCGCAGGAGCAGACAATGCAATGATGCGTCAGACATTTTATCTTAGAATTAGGATTTTCGAACGTCTGTTCTATGTTTAAAGTCTGTAACTTCATACAAATTGCAAATTTTAATGAAAATTAGTCAAATATTTCTTAAGGTCAGTTTAAAGCTTAAGTAAAATTAAAATTGATTGTAGAAGTTTGACAGTTTTAAATACTGTAATAATGTAAACTACTATTCAAGTTGTTCTGAACTAAAATTGTGAAACGAGTAAACGAAAGTAAGGAGTAAACGAGATGGCAATACTGTAAACGAGATAGCAATACAGTAAATGATATTATGATGTTAAATACGATTATTTGGAGACAACAACTTAGCGAGTAATTTACCGAATCAGACTTTTACTCACTGTGGTATTGTTGGAGGCATGCCGCTAGAATGCAGCCATGTATCCCAATCAACATTTTTCAGTCTTTCATCGCCATCAAAGAAGTTAAGTAGGTACTCTTTGAACTGGCTCGTATTTATAGATTTGTTTCTAAAATTGTTTATGTATGATCGCACAAAGCTATCGAACACCTCTGGAAAAAACATTTATTGTGCTTATAACATCTGTTCACTACCCAAATTGCCAAGCAAAAGCTATTTACTTTGAATTGATAAGGAAAGACATTCAATGTTTCACCTGGTCCACCAACCAAATCCTCAAGATACCTAAGAAACAAGGACCCTTTCTCATAGGGGACGGAAGTGATACCATCATCAGGGTGCGTTTGAGTCAAATCAAATACTAGACGAGTGAGTGGGTTAGATGCACCCAATACGTTATTCACCTAAAATGTATTAGTAATTGTAAATTTATAGCTGGTCTTAGTACAAGTTCAAAGGTTCAAATTTCTATCATACAAGAATTTAGCTGTTTGGTTTTGAATCTGGGCAATGTAGTAAATGTTTTCTAAATTTTCTAAAATATCTGAAACCGTTTATATCGGATTACTTAATCAAATGTAACATAATATAATAAACACACGTGTAATATAACATACATAACAAATTTCACTTACAGTTTCGTTTAATGCTTGCAAACCAAGAATGCTATGAAAATCTCTACTACGCTTTGCTTCTTCATGATCAGATATTAATGAAGACTGTACTTTCCTTTCGAGAAATACCGTGAAACCTTCCTTCAACCAGAAATGCTCGAAAGAGGCGATGGAAACAAGGTTTCCAGTCCAGCTGTGCACAATCTCATGAACTATCACATCAGCTTGACTTCTATCTCCAGACTTAAAACAGAATCATATATAGAATAAAAAATAAATTGAATATCAAAAAGTACTTCTTTATGTACTAAACAACATTATGAACTTTTTAGCAGACTACTTTATGTACTAAATTCTATCTATTTAAACTGATACGAGTTTGTTAAAACTGATGCTCTAATAAGTAGGGGAAGTTCGGGAGAGTTGAACCTCTTTTTACTTGAATTATCATATCTTCTTATAGATTTGTTGTAGAGACTAGATTATAAATTTAATTCATATGTAATTTATATAGGCTTGTTTTTACATCATTATTTTTTCAATATTTAAGCACTGTAAATTGCTAAGCCGATTTGATGTAAAAATGGGAAATGGATCAACTCTCCCCACTATGAGGGACATATGATCAAAAGTCTGAGGAAACTCATTTTCAGGGGTTTTAGTAGTTTCTGTTTATTTTTCAGTATCGTCTTTCTATTAGAGTATTTTGCGTAGTTTTGCTTTCATTTATTTATTATATGGAATTGATACTTATCGTTATTCTCAAAAATTATAAAAACTATTCTAAATGTTATTTGCCTTCTGTTCACTTATTTTATTATTATTTATAATATTGAATTGAGTGCAAGCTAGTATTATGACAGAAGAATCATCACCACAGACGTTATAATTAACCACTGATGTCTTCAACAAGAACAGTGGTTCAACTCTCCCGCATACGTCACTTCGACATAAAATTTTTTAATCCACAATACTTACGTCCATAAACACGGCCGTAATCTCAAAACTACTAAGTATTTAAAATTTGTTTTGTAGTGACCAAAACACTTTTCGCAACTTAAAAGCTAAACAAACCAGGCATTTTGTACAATAGTGACGCATATATTATTGGTCTTCCGTACATAATCTACGTCTGTATTAATGTTTTATTGGCGTGCAATTTACGTTGAATTTTGAGAAGTGGTTCAACTCTCCCATCTGGGCAAATCTCCGGACTCCCCCTACACATATGGGATAACAGTGGTTACAACGTGATTACAGTGTTGCAATGGATGCCTATACCTTTCAATATAGACATCCATTATAAATATTATATATCTCACCAACAAAGATGGTGTCACAAATGTGATACAAGGATTTTCCATTCCACCATAAGGAAACGGTGGTGGAAGAACCAGTAGGTCGTATTGTGTCCAATCATATGGTCCACAGAATCGCTCTGCGGCCTGCAGGTACTTTTCTGTATCGGCAAATTCCCAAGCGCTCTGTTCAATATTTTCCTTTTCTGACCAAACTTTCGACCTGTTAGTGCAAATAAAATCTTAACTCTTTAATTGCAAGCACGTATACGGTACGTGATCTTTGTATGAAACATGTACCTACGTGACTTAACGTATAACCTTAACGTATTCAAACAAAATATTTGACAAATAATGGATAGAATCGCAGCTCTGCCTCTGTCGTTTCCATGGGAAACTACGACTTTATAAATTGCAACGTCAAAAGTTAAGTTTTTTCCATACTTGGTTACTTGTTCATAACAATCATAACTTTACATAGACACGAATCACGATACATGCAACGACCTCCGTAGGCGAGTAGCTCCTACTTCGGTATCAAGGTCTCAGATTCGATTCCCGCTCAGGCGAATAAATGAAATGGCATTTTCTATATTGCTTTGGGGATACAATTCAAGTGCTTTGACTATTTGATTTGGGTTCTGGGTAACGTATGTGATGTTGTCTATTATTTATTTATTTTATACATAAAAAAATGTTTATTCATTGCTTTTACATCAACAATCATAGTACCTAGGTCCTATAGTTCTAAACTCCATCGCGCCTACAGCAATAGCCAGCAAATACGAAGGCATGGGTATGGGTTGTGTGAAAGAAGTTTTATTGCCGATTGCCCCATCTCGCAAAGCACTCATCAACACCGTTAATTCTGTAGGTGCCGTAACTTCTGCATCATATGTAAACTTTACTGCCGGCGTATCTTGACATGGAATGACTGAACGAGCATGAATTGGCTGGAAATGAATAAATTTGTAAGCATGACATTTTCTATTGTTCAAAGATTCTATTCAAAGATGATAAGGAAATAATATACATTAATGCAAAGTTACATTATGATATTTGACATTTATCAGTACACTTTCTTAATGCATTTAAAGTTCAAAATTAACTGTAGAAATTTAACATATTATGGTAACTTAATGAGCTGATATGTTTATCTAAACTTATAATATATTTAAGATATAATAATTAAAACTAACTTACCCCACACTGGCTGAACATATATGGAATTATTTTGCCCAATGTTTGATTAGAGTTTAGCCAATGCAGAGCCGAGGCTTTCGGGGATGTTCTATATTTTATTTTTATTTTAAACCTGCCGAAAAAAAAATTATATTTCCCTCACCACAATTTAGTAATATTTTAATAGTTTGTAAAATTATTCTTTTTGATTGTATTGCATTTGCTTATAATGAGACGACTACTTTAGACTGCATAAAAGAAAAACTTTGAGTAATAATCTAAAAAATATCTCAAAGTCCTCCGTCATTTGCAACAATTGCATCTGCAGCCTGACTTTATGGTCTATGATGATGATACATCATGTGCCTTTAATATTTTGGTAAGAAATTTTTAATCTTCTTAATTAAAAAATGCTTAAAAATCCACTTTGCCCCATCTCAGAGCACCAGAGACAAATTGGATTTTTTAAACATTTTTCGTTAAGAATATTTTCCCATATAGCATCAATATTGCATTCACAAATGAAATTTTGATCAAATATAATAAATTTTACCCAAAGGATTGAAAAATCTGTGATTGATTGAATGCTAACGTATAGATGCAGGTATGTCCATTAAAAATAATCTAGACGTCTACCATTTGTCGTTAAACAGTAATAAAAAACTTACGTATCATTAGGCTCAACCTTTTTGTGTAAAATAATAGTAAACTTGGATCCATAATTTGGTATATGATTACCGACGTCGAATTTCAATTTGGTGCCATCTTCAAATTTCACTGATTCGATCTCAAGCTCACTATTGTCAAGAACCTTTAAGGAAAATTCATATTCATAATCAATAGTTTCTAGATATCTAGATTACATAGGTAATGTAAACTCAATAGTAGGGTAGACGACCCTAACTTATAAAAATAAAAGAAATCTAATAGTGAGTTCATACAGAGTACCTTTAAAATCGCGTCTGACTCAAATGTATTTAAGTACCTAGCTTCAATTGGTCATCTACAGTTCGCGATAAGCCATATTATATGAAAGGTGAGTGACCTGTATTTCATACTTGAGATTTTTCTTGACTTATCGATTTCTCAATGCACTCTCAATACAAGCGTTTCTAACGATTGTCACTGGATAGCTGATAATGAAACAAATCTTTTCAGATCATTCAGATCTACACGTCAACAAAATATAAAAAACCGACCAAGTGCGAGACAAACTCGTCCTACGTGCACCGTAGCGGAAACGAGAAAATATATATATAGGAATCTCCTTAAATATTTATTTTATTCTGGTTTATTGTAGGTATTTGATGTTGAACCGGCAACTTTTCCCGGACGCCAACGTGAGACCTATCCCAGAAAACTTAGACGCACGGTAATTCTATCTGTAACTAAATGAAATGTCACCCACAAATAGGCAAGCTTAATAAAATAATATTAGTAATAATAATAATAAAATTACCACTTCTTCGGTTTCTTGTAGTACACCGATATTGAGAATTGCCTCAGCCCTTAAAACTTTGCTATCAAAATCCACATCGAAATAAAGTGACATATGCTTTATTACACATATTTCTGAAATAACACAAGCACATCGGTAAGTACTATTACACAGAAATGGCATTTCCACGAGCTATTTTGATTTTAAAACTTATTTAAATGTTTTATAACCAAATTAAATAAAAAAAATCACCAGTTTATTGTACCCTCCTATGCTGTTGAGTGTAATAAGTCATATCTTAAGTACTTATAGGTATAAGTACTTAAGATATGACTTATTTGTCACTATTGAACATAATGTTTTGAATACTCTTGTAGCCCTTACATAATCTGTTTTCAAAACAACCTCTCTTGCTCTTTCAAGTAAACCTACCTACTATTTCAAAAATCATATTATTTCATGTGTAAAAGCTACTATTGGCGGGACCTACTTAAATAGCGCAAACATAATAAAATGAGTAGGAACTACCTAACTGGTCGCGACTGGGCCGGTTTTATACGAAGCTGTAATAAATGTTCGTTTATTACGGATTTGCAGACTACTTGAAAAATTGGGGGTGAATGTATTTTTAAACCTAAACGCTATATAAGATCATTATACGAAAATATGATTCGGTTTAAAGCAGGGCAAAAGCAAAGCAAAAAAATGTAAAAAACCGTAAAAATGTTGTTTGATGTGTATTTTTTAAGTAATCTTAATTAAAACCATAAATAAATTAATTCCACAAGTTTATCTTCAAAGTGTGACGACCTCTCAACCAAATCACAACATTCGAATTTTATACGTTATAGTACGGACCAATGTAACGTCTGCGTATTATTAATTTCAAAATTTGAAAATACTGTTAGTTTATATACCTATTAATTACTATAAACAAGGTAGTAAGTACCTGGCCGAGAAAACGACGAAGGATCTTGCGGACTTAAAGCTTCAGATGCACTTTTCGAAAATATCATCAATATTATCACACAAATTATCGGTATCATAGTATTTTTTTTTATCTCATAGAAATTAATCAGACTGTTTAAAATACACAACATTAACTTTGAAGTTCCAGTAAACAAATAATCAAAACGTTTGTAACAACATATCGCTACGCTATCAGAGGCACATTCCAATGAATATGTAGGTAGGTACATATATAAGTAAAAAATGTGCACTCACACAATCACATCACATCACAACCCACACAACCCAGAACTACTTATCGTGTCTGTGTCTGGAGCCACAGAACATTTGATCATTAGATCGAAGCACAGAACACAGAAAAGTGGTGCCTGGACCATAGATAGAGAATTGACTAATGAAATGTAAATATCATGTAGATATCAGTTGTGTGGAGGGACCACATAGAGGTTAGCGAATTGCGTGGCAAAATTGGTTTTTAATTAGTTAGTTACCAGCAAATTTTTTTACCAGTTTCACCTAATACACCAGAAATGATAGTGAAATTTAGGGGTAACCTTGTGATTTTTTTCTATGAACTAATTTAAAAAAAAAACCGTTTTGGCAGACAGAACAATTTGAAATATGATATAGTTTATTTTTTAATTTGAATTAAAACTTACCTATTTAGAGATTATTTCTTTTTAGCGAACCAATCAAGTCATAAATTTAAGGTCTCTTAACTTCAACAATAACATTTTTACGAGAAAGTATGTGACTTAGTTTGATCATAGTTTCTCACGATTTTGTTTGATAATATGAACCATATCGCAATCAAGCACAAATGTATAGTATAGTATCTTGTTTTGTTACCTATTGTACTTGAACAAAATATAAACAAGAAAATTTCCTGTGATAATGCATTTAAAAAAATATGAAAAGATTGTGTACTGTGTGTGTATATGGATACAAATAAAACAAAAACTCTTTCTTAGTGTTTTTTAATTAATTATTGACATATAGTAGATACATTTAAAAATCATGTCAAACATACTTCGCAGGTATGATTATATACATTTATAGTTATTATTGATTTATTGTTATCTGTACTCCCGTACCATTCACTTTAACTCATAGCTCATAGGCTATTACTAAATGCAAATATTTATAAAATTACCCCTATTTAAAAAAAAAGAAATGAGACATATTATACAGCCATGTCTGTAATATGTCATCTTGATAAAATACTTTTTGTATAGAGCTCTTTAGATTAAAACCGTACGAGAGTACATATCATTAACAAACATAGATTGGACGGAATTAATCATCAAGATGCAAGTCTTTCCTCAGTGTATACGCAGACACGTGCATCATGTATTGTTCGTTTTTGAGGAAATTGTCTATGGCACGGTCGCGGACCTCCTCCCACGCGTAGAGGTCACGGTATATAGGTCGCACGTACTTCATACGACCCTGATGGTTAACGAAATCGAATGCGTTGCTCAACTTTTCGTGGTCTCTGCTTCTGATGCATAACCTCAGCCACCTGCGATACCATTTGTACTTTATATAAATGTAAAATAATCATGAATAATCATGAAATAAGACATCTCTTTGCACTTACGAAGAGAAAAATGGGAAACAATTTCAGAATATGAAATAACGAATGTTACTTGCTTAGTTCGTAAATAATACATTTGTACATAAAAGTTAGAAGGGCATATAATTTTATTTTATTTACATTTTAGATTTTGGCGCGATACCGGATATATGGTACAAAAAAAAAAGTCGACACAGCACACCGGTTAACATAAAATATCAACATTCTAAAACAAACTTTGAACTTTAATGATAATATGTGAATCGAAATCGACTAGCAAAAATACACAATTTTAATTCTGCAGATGAAAGAATTTTTATAAACAGTCCAGTAGTTTTGGAACCTATTCAATGCAAATAAACAAATAAATTTTACTCTTTATATTATTAGTATAAAAGTATAAGTAGATTAAATAAACAGTCTCTCTGATTGTGGAAGGTTGTGTGTTCAATCTTCTCAAATTCAATCTCAGAGTGGCTGGGACTGGTGAATGAAGTGTTAGGATTGGTGAATGATTTTTTTTTCATTTTTCTTCAGATATTTATCAATATAGCAAAATTGGCGCTCTAAACAGATGTAAAGACTAATGCAGGTACACCAATTCAAGTAAAGACTAATGTTGGTACACCAGTTCGAGTGTTATTTTTGACAATGACATAAGAAACTCCTTATGTTCGGTCGTCGAACAGACCTTTTTGGTTTTGGCATATTATAGGTTTACTTTCACTATGACCAAATTAGCTAGATGCGTCTCTATGAGCGCAATAGCAATATGTTTGCGCACAAGTGAAATAGATATGCAATGCCGGGACATTCTTCTATAGGTACTGCCTGTCTAAGAATTTTATAATTATAAATACCACGGATATAGAGTCATATCCAAAGAATAAAAAAGTATTTTTTAAAGTACCTACTGCAAGTTCAAATAATTGAAGCGAAACAGATTATGCCATTCCACCTCGCAAATAAGAGCGCATTTACCTAGTTTGTCTATATGTACCAAAGTAAAGTTGATCAAATATAATAAATGACACTTACACACATTTTCACTAACCTTGAATAAGGCATAACTTAAATAGGAAACGCCTAATATTATGAATCACCTAAGCAGATTAGTGTAATTCCAAATCGATATATCTTTTCTTTTATCCCTTGACATATTAATGACCTGTCATTTACGCAAATGCCTAGCGCAAGGCACCGCATAACGAATATCATAAATTTACACATTGCTTAATTTAGTTAGGTGTCCCTAGTCAATGGTAAAATATAATTTTTACCTTAGGCGTTTCTAAAATTTTAGACAATAGATGTAGGCAACGCCTAAGTTAAGTGAAAACGGGCATTAGTTTTTTTTTTATTATTGACATAACAAACTGACCTGTACACTATTTCAGAGTTAGTGTTAGTTTCCAATCCGTACTCTCTGCCTAATAAGCGTAGAGTGTCCAGTGGCAACGGTTGACGTTCCAGTAACTCTTGCAGGAAATGTATCAGCTGATGTGGCGTGAACGCGCGTACATCAGCCGATGATATGTTAACGTTGCTCTGCGATATTTTTTCGAGGAGTGACGTCACAGATTTAGTCATAGAGGTGTCGTACCTGTTGAAAACAGACATTTTGTAGACAGACGCTTATACAAGCACTTCGTTTTACACCATCAAAGAAATCAAGGCAAAATTTTGCCGGGATAAGCAATAATGCTGAATTATTATTTAGCCACAATTTGCTAAGATTTGATAAAGTTTTTATGCTTTTTTGCGTGAGCAAAGAGTTTATTATGTATCTTTTGCCATCACCCAACTTTTGACTCGGAAACTAAGCGTTCATTCATTTAGAATTTATTGCACAACATTGTATTGCGTTACAATATAATCTATATATAATATAAATGTGTATGAGTATTTCGATGGCAGTATTTAAAGCATTCGATCTTCTGATTGTTAAGGTTAAAGCTTTTGCATGTCAGTTTACACACAACTCAAAATCTACTCGATTTTAAACCTTAATACATTGTGTTAGACGAAATATTTCAACTGTCTAAGGCATCACCATTTATTGATCAAATTACGAGAATCACTATCTGTCTATGAACTGCCAAAGTCAATTTGACTTTGACGTTAGATGATATTAGCGCCAATGTAGCGCCAGGAATGTAAAATTTAACATAGATGTTGTGTATACATACGTCTCTTCCAAGTAACACTATCAAAATTCAAAATTTAATTTGGGTTTTCACTACCCAATATACAAAAAACAAAGTCTATAAATTATGAAATAATCTAAGATTAACACTAAGATTTTTGCGAAATAAACAATAATTAAAAAGAAGAAGAAGAATGTAAAATTGATGGCACCTGTATATTGTAATATAAAAAAATGTGGATTGTGGTTTAAAATTTTATGAGTAACCGTACTTCTGTGTAGATGCTCCTAAAAGAAATATTCATAAAACATCTTACTGTGGTATAACTGGGGGCATGCCACTGGTATAAAGCCATGCGTTCCAATCAACGCTCTTGAGTTGTTCATTGTCTTTGAAATAATTAAGGAGGTACGCCTTAAACTGGTCTGTGTCGAGAGATTTCTGCTTGAACTGATTTAGATACGATCGCATGAAATCGTCAAACACCCCTGGGAAATAAATATATAAATAATTAGTTTAAAGTTATGAAAATGTAAAAAAAAAACTATCGAAAGGTATTTTTATTTTATTACAGTGTTTATATGATTTGTTATTTGTACGGTGTTTTTGTATTGATTTTAAATTCATACTGTCCCCACTTGTTCCCAAAATTATTAAAAGTGTTGGTTATCAATATCTACTATTGGAAAAAAGCTTGTTTATTAAGTATAAAACTGTAGGTAACCAACCCTCATTGATTAAACTAAAATTACTTTAGAGTAATATAGTCCATTATCTAATGCTTTTCAATCTGTGGGTCGCGACCCCCAAGGGTGTCACTCAGGGGGTCGCAAGCAAAAGTCAAGACTACAGCAAAACAAAATTCTTGTTGGATGGGCCTGTTTAGTTTTCAATAAAATATCAAATCATCGTGCTATTTTTAAATTGTTAATGAATGAATTATAGGTGCCTAAATAACAGGGTTGCCAGAAACCTCAAGAGTAATCAGACTAAATTTCAATATATGTCATAGGAAAATTAAAAATTTTACTATTATTATGCGGATTTCATTGCGTGGGGATACATAAAGCGGTGATGGTGCAATCGTCGAGCGTTATCAAAAACAACACTTGCAAATAATGAAGGTTAAAATTAAGTATTAAAAAAAAAAAAAACTTTTTTTTTCTTTGACCTAATAGGTCACCACAATTTTTCAGCCTGGAAAGGGGTTGTATATTAAAAAAGTTAAAAAAGACACTGATCTACACTAACTACGCAATTATTACTTTTTTAGAAAATACTGTCAAACCAAACATTCTCACCGGGTCCACCCAGTAAATCCTCCAAGTACCTCAGAAATAGCGAGCCCTTCTCATATGGCACAGTGGAAAAAGCATCATCGGGATGTACACAGTTCTTCAAGTCGACTACTAGTCGTGTCAGCTGGTTTTCGACACCTAACTCTTGGTGTACCTAAAAGATTATTCATAGATATTTCTCTCACCAGGTCCGCCGACCAAATCTTCTAAATAACGCAGGAACAAAGATCCCTTCTCGTACGGTACTCGGGAGAACGCATCATCAGGATGTACACCGTTTAAATCGGGAACCAAACGTGTGAGCGGGTTTGATGCATTGAATTGCTCATTCACCTACAATGATGCAGGATTTTATTATTCGTACCATCACTTCGATGACTACCGCGTCGTTCATAGTCCCCGTAGCGAAATGGAGAGCATCGTACAATAGGGATATTACGCAAAGCTTGTAGATGGCAGCCCTAGCACATGTAGTAAACAAACAAACTTTTTCGAACATTTTGTTTATTGGAAATTAATGATTCCTTTCCTTCTTACATCCAAATATGCAGAGATGATGTATTGTTGGATAAAATTACACTCTTTCTGGTGATAATTTAAAAAATATATTGAATACCTACTATGCTCTTACTTACTATTACTTTACTCTTTGCTCATTATTCTGTGAAAATCTTTTGATGTTTATTAGAAACTGTTTACTACATACGCTAGTGCTGCAATCTTGCGACAGAAAGTTGGAGTAATACGTTTAAGTATATTTTCAGATTTATTAATACAAATAGATTCAACACACATTTTTAAATAGCTTAGCTAGAAAATAATAAAATAAGAAAGCAAACAGCCAATTGCACAAACGTCCATTAAAATGTTCATTACTTTAAAATGACTTTACCCATACGAATTTGACATTCATTAGAGCTTAAAGGCGTCATTAAACCATAATGGACGGTTGTGCAACTGGCCGAAAGAATATTAATATAGTTTTACAATAACGACTAGAAGTCATATAAAAGATTTTGTTAGCTTGAAATAAGACTGAAAATTACGGGAAGATTATTTGTGTTAAAAGCAACTCACTGCTTCACTCAGCTCCTGTAGACCGAGCAGACTGTGGAAGTCTCTGCTCTTCTTCGCTTCCGCTGGATCGCTGATGAGGGACGCCGCTACTTTCCTCTCTAGAAACACGGTGAAGCCTTCGTTCAACCAGAAATGCTCGAAGTTCTTGTTGGTGACGAGGTTGCCAGTCCAGCTGTGCATAATCTCGTGAACTATTACGTCGGCTTGACTCCTATCGCCTGCCTGGACACAAAAGAAAATACAAAATCATAATTAGGTATTTCTTAGTAGCTGTTTTTTTTATAGGCTCTGGAACTACTAGAACGATTTTAGAAATTATATAACCTACGAAAAGCTACATATTCGGGTGACATAGGTTATTATTTACGCGAGCAAAGTATTAACAACTGCAAATGCAGCCAGGACTAACGGATTAGCTGAAAATAAAATTTCTTTGGTCACCCATCCCGTGACCGACGAAAGTATCTTAACAACGATCGCGGGCCGCGGCGCTTATCCACTCCGCCACCGAGCTTAATAGGTACATCGTCATTATTTCTTTAATAAAATGTCATATAACCGATTTTCATGAAACTTTATTAAACAACTCGGGGAGGATAGAGAAAACTTTTATTCCATAACTAGAGGGTACACTCGAATATTTATGTCAGTGCCCATGTCTACGTAGAGGTGTGATAATAACTTACCAGTAATGTTGGCGTGACGAAAGTGAGACACGGGTTCTCCATACCGCCGTACGGGAAAGAAGGCGGCAGCACTAGTAAATCGTACTGTGTCCACACGTACGGTCCGCACAGATTCTCGGCTGCTTGCAAATACTTTTCAGTTTCAGCGAATTCCCAAGCGCTCCGTTCTATTTCTTCCTTTTCTGACCACACTAATGATCTATAATCAGAGGACATAACTTCCATCGAACTGCAGGGTTAGGAAGGTCATAAAGACAAAAAACAATATATCTACAAGACATAGACAAAGAACATAGAGCATATGTTGTTTATTACGAAGTTTTTCGTAAAGTTTCGACATATTTACGCGTAATAAATTATTGGAAAAAGAAATAACGATACCAACATTAACGTTTCCTTCTTTCTTTAACGTTTACAACTAAAAGCTATCAAAAAATAGATCACAAAATAGTTTTACATAAGCATAAAACAAAAATCCACAATAAAAACGATGACTCACCTAGGCCCCAAAGACCTTTGCTCCAAAACTCCAACAGCTATAGCGAGTAAGTAGGATGGAATAGGTATTGGCTGACGGAAGGACGTCTTGTTACTCCTGACATCACCTCTCAGAGCGCTCATAAGCACAGTGAATTCCTCGGGTGCTGTCACCTCCGCGTCGTAAGTGAATTTAACCGCCGGTGAATCTTGGCATGGTATTATTGAACGAGCATGGATTGGCTACAAATAGTAACTTGAATGTGAAAAATCGGGGTCAACTTTAATATAAAACAATTATATAAGCAGATGCGTGTTTGAATGTTATTTTTTTTTTCCAAAACAATTATTGTTATGCATAAATACTAATTCAACTATTGAATTATTCATAGAACAGCCGGAATTCAAAATTTTAGAAGATGATTTTTTGAAATATTTTGAGTAAATGAGTTGACTATACATATGCCGTGCAACAATATGATATATTGACTAACCATATACAACTTATAACAGTTGTAGAAGTGTCATAAGTACTATCATAGTGAACTACTATTATTCAATTTCTTAATAACAAGTGATTGTGTTATAAGTGGATGCCTAGACCGGGGGTTGGCAAACTGCGGCTCTTTCCATATGAAGTTGCGGCTCTCAAGTTCCATTACAAAAATACCCCTTAGAATCAATTCGTAGTTGCTAACGTTTGATATTTGACTATGACTTGGAGACTAACAGCCAGTTACGTCCATTACAATTGTCATTAGTTTAAAGCGACAATACCCATACAAATTTGACATTCATTAAAGCTTAAAGACCTCATTAAACTCTAATGGACCGTGTGACAGAAAGAAGTTGATTTTACAAAAAATATAAAGTAAATATAAAATAAATAAATCTTAAATATGAATACAACTGAAACGAAATATTTCTGTGGCTTATTACTGGGTAATTGTCAACTGTGTAATTTTGTAAATTGTAATATAATTATTTAAAAAATGATCTCACTTGACACTGGCTGAAAAGATATGGGTGTTTTTTTCCTGATGTCTGATTAGGATCTAACCATTGTAATGCAGAAGCTGTTGGTGATGTGGCATATTTGATCCTTACTTTTAATCTGCAAACAAATTAATAAATTGGGGTAAATCCAAAATAAAATAATATCTTAAAGTTATTTATAAACGAGTCAGCTCGAATAAACGAAATTGTCGGACGGACTTGTGTCGATTTTTTTTATTGAACCATTTCAATTAGCTTGTTAATTTATATGTTGTTGGTAGGTCATGTAATTTTATTTTAGAATAACACAGAATAGTTTATCTCTTTCTTTCGACTTCGTATCGCTTCAAAGCAGTGGTTCCTTTTATACTTATGCTTGTATGACCCCCTATGCCTTATTATGAAAACCGATTTATACCTATATTATAATGTAATGACTTATGTGTTGAAATAAAAGGAAAAAAGAGAAACTAATAACTAAAACTATTAACTAATCAATTGATAAAATCAAGCATATACTTAGATACTACTTCAAAAGGTGAACTGAAAATATCTAATATGAAAGTAAAACCTAACTCAGTTAGACAGCAAGTAAATTAATTATGAGACAAAAAAATCTCTGTTTCCATAATGTACAATGTAAGGCGCTGCACACACGTAGAGATATTTTGTTACCTACACGGTCTACCATCACAGAAGTCATGTGGCTTGTGTTTTCAACAGACAACTTTTCCGATATCATATTTGATCTAATAAATGGTGGTTTTAAGCGACAGAAAAGAATAGGGCGACGGATAAAACAAAAACCGTACTGTAACTAAGTATCTAGCTAAACCCTTAGTTTTCAGATAGATACTTTTTCATTAGCATCTACATCATACCTATGATGTATAGGTTGTTTGTATACACGAAGACCCCAACCAACGTGTCTACGTTTGCGCAGCACCTAACGCATAGTTTATCATTCAGAGATGATTTTTATTAAAGGCTTGCTCATACATCGTAGTTTTAGAACTAATATTAATAAACATAATAAATGTATAAAACATTCAGTTCACCCACATACTCACTACCCTACAAAATATTATATTGCTAACCGAAGGCCTTTATATTCCGTCTCAATCGGTGGAACATATTGACAAAGTTTACATGGCGGTTCGGTATAACGTTCAATAGTCTTCGACTCTTCGACATGTTTCACGACGGGTTGGTAATCGAGCCCATTGTAAACCAAAGCCAATTCGAGGTTAGAGGACATACTCTTCATAACGACACTACATACTTGATCAACGTCGTCACTATGTGAAGCGACTTTGTCACCTTTTCTTTAAAAACAAATACATTATCATGTTGACAATTGGATACTTGACAGTTATAACAAAAACAAAATGAAATATGTTGGAAATGGTAACTTATATGCAAAGAAAAACTGTGTAGTATTTTGTTGTTTTAAATTTAATGGTAGGTATATTTTATTTATGCAAAATTAACATGCGATTTATAATCTGTACATTACAATAAAAGTTGAAAATCTGAAACAAAGTAAAACAATACGCAGACCTGACAAATGGCGACTCTTTGAAATTGGCGTGGAAAGCTGCGAAAGTCGCCAATCGAGTTAAAACTTTAATTGAAGATAGTTTGGTAAAAAATTCATAATAGAAATTCTATTTTAATTGTAGTAACCAAATGTGCTACTGTGTGCACTAATCAGACATGCAATATGAATGACGTCTGGGTTAAAAAAAAAAGAATTTTATTAAGTCCTGCAATCGATAATAGAAAAATATTTGATACGTATTTTTTTTGCATCAATTTAAATAAGAAATGTGTTTCTATATAATTTATAACATACATAGACATTTAGAATTATGTAAACATTGAAATGCTTGATTCTATCAATAAAAATAAGTTATAATGAATTTGTCACATAATAACTTTGGATATACATACAATGTATAATATTCGTTAAATAATTTATTTTTTATAAAGATAATTTTAGTACAAAAAGTTATTAAATATTTCCAACTTACTTTTCTCCAACTAGGGCTTGCTTAGGCAAAGTGATAGTCAACTTAGATCCAAAATTAGGCACTGTGTCGCCAACATCAAAATTCAATTTGGTGCCATTTTCTAATTCAACAGACTCTATACTTAGATTACTTATATCTAGTGCCTGGTAACAAAACAATAGATTATAAAATGTCACATTCATTTCTAGCAAGGACATTCAACAACATACAATAGAGGCTTGCACAAGAGAAATCAATTGATATAACAATTATTCTTTTGATAAATTTTATATTGTTAAAATGGGTATTGAACTCATAAACTTTTGCAAGTGGTGCAACTACTCTTATAAAAGGTTATGGGTATATGGGACTAAAGTCGCATATCCATCACTTGAGACAATTTATCTCAGAAATATATAAGTTTGACATAGAATGCAAAAAATATCAAATATGTTTAATAGTTTTTTGGATCACTAGTACCAGCAAATTTATGACTAATATATCTGTTCTCATGAGCTATGAATAATAATGTGCATTCTTATTTAGGTAAATAGCAATATTGTTCATAGTTTAGTAAAGGAGCAATTCCAAAATAAAATGCGGAATATGTCATTTTATTAACATTAAAACACCTACCAATTTATAATTTGGGATGACTTGAGTGCAACTGCACAATTAATATAGTATAGAATTTTCAATTGGGTTAGAAGGGTTAGAAGAACAGTTAGAAGTGTCACACTTAACCTTTTATGATAATGGAGACTAAGTTACAAATGGTTTGATGGTGAAACTGCACTTCTATCATTTAAATAATTAAATTTGCTCTAAAGGTTAATAATGAAAGGTGTTCATGAGGTTATCATATTTTGATGTACACATGTAGAAATATATTTAAGTACAACACTGTTACATTATTGCATCAACAATAAATTTATCAGAAACATACTGATAAAAAATATTGAGTTGACTAGTTTCAAAGATATATTCGAGATAGAAGATCAAAGTGAAATAACAGATAAAAACATCTGTCTTTCAACAGGATTATTGAATAAAATGTCATATGATCATATTAAGTAATCCTCCTAATGTTATAAATGTGAAAGTTTGTGTTGTTATATCACCATACTAAAACATCGCATATTTAATCATAATTAGCCTTTTATTACACAATATAGATAATATATTGATCAATTTAATCTCACTTAAAGCTTAACTGTGAGTAATGACTATGTCCAAATCTAACAGCCAGTTGCACAAACATCCATTAACATTGTCATTCATTTAAATTGACATTAGCCATATAAATTTGATATTCATTAGACCTTAAAGGCATCATTAAACCTTAATGGACTGTTTGAATGAAATGTTTGTAAAACTGGCCGTAAATCACTGGTATTTAATGTCCGGATTTATTATACCTGTTTGTTCATTCATAAAAAAAGAAACTTACCAATTCTCCTACATCTTCTAATACATCAAAATTTAATACAGCAACTCCATTTAAAACTTTACTTTCAAAATCAACATTCAACAATAGTGACACATGCCTGATTATAGCTAATTCTGTAAAATATAAACATAATTGGATAAGTAATTGTATATTTAATATTAATACAATATATTTAATTGTATTTGTAATATTATTAGCATTGACATTGATACTTCTGTTATAAGACGAGTTTATTGCACCCATTCTTCTTATTAGCCGAAAGGTAGTAGGTAAAAATTTTCTGAATAATTCAGACAATGTTTGGACTTTAAAATAAGCATACCTGGACGCGAAAATGATGATGGATCCAATGGACTCAGAGCACCCATGACTTGTGTACTACTAAAATAATAAAGTATCAAGTTAATATTACATATAAAAGATACTAATAACTTGCATAGGCTAGTTGGAGTTATATGACCCATTCTAATCTCAAAAGCACAAGAGACACAAATGAAGTGAGATCAGATAATGACATGTTGTTCTACATAACAAGATATTTATACTACAGGTAGAAAGGTCACTGATAAACAACAAACAAGGTTTGTTGAAAAAAATACAAAAAGTTACTTTTGCATATAAAACAAGCTTAGTAAAAAATACATTAGGAGTTTGATTTATTTATTCCATTTTTAAATTGTACTTTTACAAATATTATCATTATTAAAGGTAGGTTATATTTATTTAAAGTGATTGTAAGCCTGAGGAACAAAGAAGATAGGTCATTATGGTCATTATATAGTACTGAACACTATGTATGAGCATAGTGTAGCTTAAGGTGATACTGTCTGTTTACAAAGCATAATAGAACGCTTATTCAAAATTCTAACCTGTTTCTAAAGTTCAGATGATAAGTTAAATTTTTTGGAAGTATTCGAACTTTCTGATTTATTGGAGGAGTAAGCTTGTAGTAAACAGAACTACGCAAAGTACTAGAATTACTTCTATTAATCTGGTTTTTAGAAAACAACTTAAATCGTGAATTGTTAATAATAACTCTACATCGGCAAAATGAGTAACCGTACAGTGACATTTTTTGTTTCACTTGAATCAATCAAAGTGATGTGTAAAATCGAAGTCGAATGAGTTGGTATTTGAATCGAGAATTATCTTTAGAGGTTTCCCTATTGCGATAGCGTAGACATCAATTGGTACTCAAAATAGATAGCGTCTTAAAAGATTACGTTATTACGCGTGAACTGATCATTTATGCTATCAAGACACTGTCTTGTTTTACACGCGAGTATATTTGAATAACTTAATAAACATCACGTTTATTAAACAAATATGTCAACTAAGCTTTCAGAATAAGACATTTGGGAGTTAAATTTGATATCGATAACGGGAACTTAACAATTTGTGGCAAATAATGTTGCTGTGTGTATTTGGAGCAATCGAGTAGATTCGAACATCGTTAATCACTTTACTTAATTAATCATTTATGCTCTACAGTGGCTCTACGGAGACGTCGAACGAAACGAATCACCCGTAGAAATTCGGTAGCGTTCGGTGCATTTGACTCGGCGCGGCAAGCCTAGTTAACGTTAAGCTTAAGACTAGATGAATCGAATCGAATCACAATATTTCGCTTCCTATACATTTATGCAAGTACATTAATTTACTATGAAATCGCGTTCACTAACAAAGCGCTGAAACGCCAAATCGACTTCGAAGCCCGGGTCAAATAAGTGAAGAGCATCGACGGACAGATAAAATAAGATGTTATGGTCTTATAGCTTATTTAAGCTCTCGTACTTTATTTGCATTGAGGGGACATTCAAAACCCTATAAAATATTTTTATTTAAAACGTAATCGAACTTTGATAAGATGCAATAACATTTACTATGAAATATGTATTTCCTTTTTAAATAGCAAATTCAAATCGAGTAAATTATGCTCGATATTTAACAAAAATTTATAAGAGAATGCGACTCGTGCTCTTCTCTTCTTTCGCACTGACTGAGAGTAAACCATAGAGTAAGGTAGAGTGGAAATACTTTCTATGGTTATATAAATATCATGCAATCTGAAGTTGACATCAAAAATATCATGTTGTCTTTTTTTAACTAATAAGAAGTTTCTTTAGTAAACAAAGATAACACTAGTGTGACAGTTCAAAATTTTTTACCTGACGTCATGAGATATAGCTATCGTACAACCTGTCGGCCATTTGCAAATTTGCTTTGCGTATTCTCGGAAGTAGTTCAGCTGTCAGTGTTATAAGTTTTGTGGTTATTTTCATTTATAACTTTAATTTATATAACTTTCATGGCAGAAAATTGTAAATTATTTATGCAAAACAATGCCTAGGTGCTGTATAATTGGTTGTGCGTCATCAATATCCCGCAAACCGAGCAATATTACGTTTCACCGGTAAGTTAAACACTTTCTTGGAATAACAGTATTTAAAACGTAAGTAAGTTATTCTGAAAATGATTGCGTGTATAAATCGATACATATCGTATTTTGGCGTGTTCTATTTATGCTATATTGCTCTTTTCGTTTATATTTTTATAATATTTCGGTCCGTAAATAATATTGTTTACATGGCTAGTGTCGTTACTTTAACATATGGTTTATATCGATAATTTTAATATTTAAAAATATTTTAATTATTTTAGATTACCAAAAGATGAAACAAAAGAGGAAAATGGCCGAGTTACATAGAAGCAGAAAATATTAAATGTAATGAAAAAGTTACTTTTATCTGCTCACTTCATTTTAGGGAAAGTTGTTTGAATCGAACTTTAAATATAATAAAATTACGAGATGATGCATTGCCAATCAAATACTCTGGTAAGAATTTTTGACAATTGCTTTTAACTTATTTAAAAAAAAAGTCTATTACACTTAGTTAATTTTCATTTGATTTTACTGATTTATTTATTTAGTTTTTTATATAGTCATTTTGTTATTCTATTAATGTACCTTATTTTTAGTCTTGCGGTCATATGACGACTATTTTAATTGAAAAAAATCAGAATGCAATATATAATAATATTAAAATATAAAATTCTGATCATAATATACTCCCAGTAAAATATACAATAAAATGAGTTAAATAATTTTAATAAAAATTTAAATATGCACACTTATCAAATTAAAGGCATAGTTAAAGGTTTTCTTTGCTGTTCAATAGTATAATCTTAATACCCAAATAATTATTTTGCGGCGTGGATGTTTATTTTGCTGATGCATCATAAAATACGCTACCTTTTTGAATTTAAATTGCTGACCGTTATCATGATTGTTCACAGAACATGAACTGCAGACTGTTTTAGTGCTGAGAAAATATTTGTATGCTTGATTAATGGGCTGTTTTCTTCTTGCTAACCAAATTTTTAAATAAAATGCCAATTGTTACTTCTTTAATAATGTTACTGTTATGCCAATTGTTACTTATTCATCACCAACTTTGTTTTCTTTATTTTCTCTTGTTTATTCATCAAAGTTTACAGTATTTTTATGTTCTTTTACCAATAATATAATACAAAGATTATGTAGGTGTTTCAAGTTTTCTATGTTTACTACTAAACAAGATGTTCTGAACTAAAATTGTGACAAAGTACGCACGGTATCTCACTTAATGAGGAGGAAGCGAAATTTATGCAGTCAAAACAATTTATTGAATAAATTTATAGACAAGTTGGCTTACTAGTTCAAGCATATAAGAAAGTCGAAACTCTGTGCTTATAGTTCAGCAATCTATTACGGGAAACCTTGTACCGAGAAAAGAAGAAACTGTAAGAAAGGAACCGGTAAGAAACTGCAAGGGCTGCTTTTGCACCCTGTTTAATTTCGTACTGAAAAATAAAAAATGACTTCATTAGACCAAAATGTCACTTTCCACCAAAACAATAAAAAATATATAACAGACAAAAAAAAAGCATAATAATTCATTCGTCAATCGACTCATTAAAAGCTTATTATAGTTACCGTGGTAGTTATCTTGGACAGTATTCACACTTGCATGCAAAATTAAACTTATGTTAAAAAAACTATTTAATTATAATTGCAAAATGTCAACTTGACAATATATATGGAAATAATTATAAAACACGATTGATATTATTGTAAAACTTTTAAGATATATATTTTGGTACTATAGTTCTTAAAACTATGTAAAATTGGCTATATTAGAGGAAAAAGAAACATATTTATCGAGGTCTAATCATATTATAAAATTATATTATTAAATAATATAAATGTGAAAGTTTGTGAGGATGGATGTTGGTAATCTCATGTAAAAATTACTGAACGGATTTTGATGAAATTTGGAATACGAATAATCTTTTACCCGTGGGAAGCGCCACTATAGTGACGCAACGGAGTCGCAAGAACAAGGAACGCAAAAAATTTTAGATGTCCAACAAAATACGAGCAAAAGATTGCTTAATGATTTATAAATAATTGATAAATTCACACCCCTTTTAAAAAAATATTATTTTCTTGATACTGGCGTGAATTTTTCAATTTAATTAATAATAATCTTAAATAGGATTGGTACGTAAGTGTGAAATGAATAGAAGTGTAATAGGTAATAGTTTAGCCATGCCCCTAACAATGAAAATTATATTATATTATTTAATAAGTAGTAGTATTGTAGCAGTTTCACGAAATACTAACTTTTATTTAATATGACTTCAATGTCGACACAAATATCGATATCTTGGGTCACGCCCTATGACAAGCCGCCATCGAAGAATTTGCATTTGAAGTTTAGGCATATACGCTTTTTTCGTAGGTATGGCCGGTCCTCTTCTTTTATGTCTATGGAGTAAACAAGCGTTGTTATCGTAAAATTCTGCGTTGCCATATATCACATTCTGATTTGCCGAATTTTAAAGGAAAAAATATTAAAATGCGTATATAATTTGAAAATGTTTATTTCCTGTTTGTTTATTCTCCATCAACGTGTCTTATCGTTTATATAACTTGATATTCATGTTTATCTAACCTGTACTTATCCTTGCTTCTCATTTTGTTATACATACTTATCACGCCACACCTTAAACTTCGTACAGTTCCAGTAACATAGTGACATACGATACAATTCCAGCTAAAATATAGCTGAAATATTTAATTTTCTGACTATGGGGGTGTGAGATTGAATTACGCCCGCATAGGATCTTTTCACCGTGGGAAATTTTTGGGATGCTTCCTGGTATGAAATAAGTTTTTTAAAGATCTTTAAGATCTTTGTGGAGACTGCTCTGGGCAACTTTTGTTTGTAGCATAATGATGGCCTAAACAGAAAAGGCAAGTTGATTGTGACTCAATTATACTACAAGATTCATCAGATTGTGCACAGCGGATGCAACGTGGTTTAGATCGGCATTATTCAATGTCCATTGGAACGTCCAACCTACATCGGTTGGACCGCGGTCCCCGGACTAACAGCACCTAGCTCGCAGGGAGACAATTATCCTTTAGTCTCCCTTGCCAGTTGTCTCCATCATCAAGTAGAACCTCACCTTCACAATTACGGTTCCTACAATAGTAAGTTTCTACTGGCATGGACGCATGGTAAACAAAAACTTTATTAGGGAGAATAGTCTTTCTATTAAGTCGTCTTGCTTTCAAAGTATGACTGCAGCTTACAGAAATTACTAACGATTCTACCAACTTTTATATTGATAAATCAGACGGTACACCTTTAACAATTCCCATGCGATTAACATTGTACTTAGGTATTTGGGCAGGATATTTATAGACTGAAAGGAAGGAGTTGTTTTTAATACTATCATTTATTATATTTTTAACCTTGTAGTTGGCCTAACTTATGGGATGAATTGATATGTCTGATGAAGGATCTGTTTCAGTTTTAGAAATATATACTATAAAAGGCCTTTATCACTATCAATATTCTTTGTTAGTTGTTTATAGATAGATGGGTGCATTGACTGGGAGAATTCACTGTGGCTTTTGTCTGACTAACTTCTGTGATTATTCCTTTAGGTGTATTAATCAATTCGAGTTCAATTAAATTTCGACGTTTAACTACTATCTGTGTGAATAACGTAGAAGAAAGTTCCGTCATTGGTAGTGGAGTAGAAGGATCCGTAGGTTCAGGACGAGTCTTTTCCATTGATATTACAACACATTGTATATTGTTAAAAATGAAATGAAATATCTCATAAACTTAATGAACAACAAAGACAGTTCAGTAGAAATATTAATGACCAAATGAAAAAGATCTCTAGGGATTGGTGGTCAGCGTATTTGGTAGGCAATTGCGGAGATTAAACGTGTTTCGCAGGGGTCCATCGGACTCAAAATGTATCATTTTGATTCACTCTGTACTTCAGTGAGCATATCACGGCTAAAGTCTAAAGACGGAGGAAAAGAGACGAAACCAACGCGCGCGTCAATAAAATGAATAGAGGCAAAGGATGATGTCATTTATTTTTCTAATTTAATAAAATAGTAATTAATTATTTACTATAAAAATAAGTTTAGTACATAGAATAATGCCATCGAATTGTTTGATTATGATTGTGAAGTATAATTGTATTATGTTCTAACGTCTGTGGTTTAAAGTTTTCTACACATATTTTTTTCCGCTCCTACGTCCTGTCTGGTAGACTGGTAGAGAATGCCCTTGGCATTAAGTCCGCCTTTTGCTGTTATTGCAATAAAGTATTAAATAAATAAAATAAATTATTTTGAATAAATGATAACTTTATAATCAGCGGAAAGGACAAGGAAAAAGAAACTACTTACAAATACCAGCTGTTAGTACTAAATACAAACACTATATTTCGGTGAAACAGAAATCTATAACTACGTATCAATACCAGCTATTAGTATTAAATTACTCTATATTACGTAATTCCACGTAGAAAATGGGCTAATATTCACTAAATAAATAAAGAAATCATCATAACATAACTAACCATAATTTTTTTTTAAATTTTGTTTTAAACCTTAATGCATTCAGAGTAGAGTTGAAAATCGATTGCAATAATTTTATATTCCTCCAAATTTTTGTGTATTTATATTTTAATCTGGCGATTATAATATAAAATACATAAAAAATGTAGGAAATCGGCAGGGGTTAATAACTTAGAATTTCTAAGTTAGAAACTTTGTTAAACAACTGACATTTTCTAAGTTTCGGCAGATTAAGCACACACAACATATAGCTTGATGTTGAACCATCATTTACAATTAATTAATTATAAATATTAGAATATGTATTTTGTTTTGCTTATCTTTCATTTTATTTCTGATCTATTTTTTTCATAGTGTCTCTCTTTCTCTATATACTGTATGAAAAATGCAATCTGGGCGACTGCGAAAGATCGTGGGTTCGAGTCCCATCTTAGAGTACTTGAGGCTGGTTGATTTTTTAAAAAATTTCATTATGAATATTTAACAGTAAAGTAAAAACCGAATGTTCTGCCAAATAGCGAAAAAGATGCCAAATACGCCGAATACCGAATATCAAACGAATATTCGGGTCATCTCTATTTATAATACAGAATAAGGTGCCTATACTAAAACCTTAGACTAAAACTCATTTAATGTAGTCTCCGCCCCGGCGACTTTTAAGCGGTGTTCTGAGATAATACTTACAGTGGATGCTTTTTATGGATCGGGCCTCATAGGCCCAGTACCCTCAAAAAATATTTTATTGTATAATTTATTTTTTGTTCTACGAAATCTGTTAAAGCGTGTAATCCATCCGCAGTTGAGTACTTACGCATACTATAAGTATAAGAGTCAGATAGTATCCTACTATACTACAATACTAATTATTACTGAGCTTTTGGCTATTTCCACTGGTCCCCTGCACTCATGAAAAGGTCAGAAAACCCTATCACTTGCCCCATGACGGTACAAAAAATGTTGGATGATGGATTCCGTGGTTAGTTCATAGATGTTACTTAATTAATTATTCTCTAACAATTTATGAATCAATTTGTGACTTCAGCCCAAACGAATCAAAAATATAACAATTAGTACTTTGAGGTACTTATACCGAAAGCAAGGAAATTCCGAAAATGACGAATTACCACCAAATCAGGCAATGTTTTATATCTATTAAAAACCATTAATGGATGAAAATATTTTAAATTAAATAGAACAATGTCATTTCCGGGATTTCCCCGCGTTCTTGATTACCCTAAAACACTTCATTTAATTCGCATTTTTAGGTCAATGGCATTTTGTAAAGACCAATTAAAATTATATAGGCACATAGAATATTTACATCATGAACAATAACATTGATGAAAGTTTATGTTTGAGCTTAAGTAAATATATAGGATATTTTACGTACTGCTGAATGTCATAAAAACAGGACCAACAATATTTAATATATAAAATTACCATACATACGAACGACACCCAGTTAACATGAACTTCAATCGCTATGCACGCTTTCACATTCTATTATGAAAATCGAAAATATAATTTATGGCGAGTTCGCAGTTCACCACACAATTTAATTTGATGGTCAATTTCAATTTGAGTTTTATTGTTTGAAATTGTAACTTATTTAAATGGTTCTGAAACTAAATTAATGTTTCCTTTTGATGATGAGATTTCGGTATTGTGAGTTTCTATAAAAAAATGTTTAAGTTAGCAATGCAGTTTATTAGATAGGTATTAAATAACAAAAAATGCATTTTCAACGGCGAAATAAATAAATAAAATTGCAGTTAAATAATAACTGCAATTTAATTTATTAATTTTACTTATTATACTAGCTTGTTACAGGTGTCTGCCGCATTAAATGCAGCTAGCGGATTGAAACGTACGTATATCTCGAGCTGTGTGTGCCAGATTGTGTGCCAGACCAGGCCTGAGACTTTATAGTCTCCCCTCCTCCCTTCCGCGAGGCCAGATTTTAAGTATGACTTATTTCTTGGTATATTTAGTCCAATAACCCATGGTACTGTTATAATATAATTTCTATTAGTTCTTATTAAAATGAAAAACGCAACATAGACGTTTCCTATGGCATTGTCGTCATGCAATAGGAAACAGAGTCTTGAACGCAATAATAATATTTAATAAAATCAGTTTTGGATTGGACTCCCGTCGGACAACATATTGACCTAAAATAGTGTAATAAATCGTTTTGTTCATACAAATAAATGAAGTGTTAAATAAAATATATTTTTTTAAAAGTCATTCCTGACCGCCCCATAACAGTACCCTAACATGTATAAAAGCTAGTCATTTTATAAGGAACTTTATGGTTTTTAAACGGATTATATTCTGACCCCTGGCAGTGGCACTCGGCGCAAGTGCAACTACTTACCTTCGGCCCTAATCACGTAGTAATTTTTGGTCTATTCAAAATATATTAATGTTCTGGGATGACATTTTAATTGTACAAACAAAGCATTTAGTGATAAATGAAATCTATGAGTGATAATACAAAATTGATTATTATTCCTAGATTCATGCTATAAAAAATACTGTATCACAAAATTAACAATCCTATATTCTGGAATGAGGAAGTATTTATAAAACCATTAGTTCCCGAAATCGAACTAGATGACGCTACGGTACGTTCTTGATTTCTCCATGACAACCCTGCCGCTTTTAATTTATGTTTAAAAGTAAATTAATTTTCAAACTCAATAAACAACTCATATTCTATTTGTAATTTTTCGTATTTGTATTGATATCTAATATCGAACTGAAATGACTATCTGTCTGTGTTAGTTAAAAGGAACGGAAATTATTAGTTTCCTTTTGCTGGAGTCGCCATCAAGTGTAGCCTGTAGGTGCTTTTTTAGTGCTTTCGTTTTTTTTCAAATACTTCCTCATTGCTTTCCCCCAACATTTTCCGTCTAGTTAAAAGAGTGATATTTACTAGGACATACTACCTACTGCCTCATTAAAAAAAACAAAGTCGATGTCATTCAAGTTCTACTTTAAGTTTGACAATATACGTCAAAAGAAAGATCAATCAATCTCAGTTGCGACGAGTTAATGAATAAAATGTTTTGTAATTAAATTACGAAATAAAACTGTTAAGTTTTTCAAATAAGCATCGAAAATAATATTCGTGTAGTGCAGCTAATGTGGTGTAAAAATGCTTTCTAGATTCCATCATTATCATGGTTCTAATATAATTTTATTTGAAGATAATACTGTAGCGTACAGAAAAGCAAGTTTTGCTGATGGATTGACTTTCAGCGAAAAACCGCTTCTCCCAGGTGAAATATTTCTCGTAGAAATAGAGAAAACCGAACGAGGTTGGAGTGGTCATATGCGACTCGGATTGACGCTTCTTGATCCACAGACTGCTGCGCTCGGTGACCAAGGCCTCCCACAATATGCGCTGCCGGATCTCGCAAATACCGGTATGTCATGGATATTTCCCATTTCCAAGTCTCAAAATAACGTTTTGATAGAACTTGTTAATCAAGGAGCGAATGGTAGACGTGAAAATGAGGCCCGTATCTCGGTCTTGGGTGATGGCCATAGTGTGAGAACTCCTCGAGGTTATATATCTAGATCAGTTCTTAAACCGCAAACACTAACTCAGAATGGAACACCGCAAGGTATACTGCCTATGGATGCTGGTAGTCGCATAGGAGTTATGTTTGTTCCATGTGCAAAATCAAGTAGAGAGGATGGTGAGTTAGCTGAAATGCATTTTATAATAAATGGCGAAGATCAAGGACCTTGCACAAAAGCAATACCATATAAAAATGGTCCCTTACATGCTGTCGTAGATGTATATGGAACCACAAAACAAGTAAAAATTGTTCAACTATATGGAGGTAAGTTTTTTCATCTTCAGTTTATATTTTAAGTATTTCCTATCTGTCTTTCTTAGAGCAAATTAAGTGATAGAACTATCACACAACAACATTATTTATAAGCATAAATTAATCAAGACAATTTTATATTCCATTTTATTTTAATTAATTGTATTTAGTTGTTGTATTAATGTTTAGTTCATTGATGTTATAATTTTGTGACTCAGAATTTATACTGTACTTTGATAGTTTAGTTGTACAAATATCCATTAAGGCTTAATGATGACCTTTGGTTCAAATAAATGTTCTAAATTAGAAAATTTGTAAATGTTATCACCTAGATTCACAAGCGTCTATTAAAATTGTCATTAGTTTAAAGCTAATTGAGAACATTCATTTTAAGCTTTAAGTAATCATTTAACCTAAATGGACATTTGAACTATTGTGTGTTAATGTAAAAACTATGGAATACATTCAGAATGTTTTATGTTTATACAGCTTCAATTTTAAACAGTGTCTAACACACTTCACACTTTGTTTCAGTCAAAACACTTCAGAATGTGTGTAGAGATGCAATACTTCAATATGTCAATGATGGATCAGTGAAAACATTACCATTGCCAAAGTGCTTAAAAGACTTTTTACTTTCATAGACTTTTGCTAAAAGCAAATTTTACTTGGTGGTGAAGACAATAAAAAATGAATGTGGATGAATTACTATGTAAACTTTTAAAAATTCACACAATAGGTGTTATTTATACAATGAAATTAACATATAAAAAGTTGTTTTTATGTAGTGTTTGTTTATATGATTTTGAAAATTGATGCTATAAGAACAATGTCTAAATTCCAAATTTTGAAATAAATAAAAAAACAGCCAAGTACAAGTTGGACTTGCGCAGTAGAGGTTCCATACTATTATTATCTAATAAAATCACATTTGTTTTTAGTATTTGTTGCTATAGCAGCAAGAGAAATACATCATCTGTGAAAATTTAAACCATCTGGCAATCACAGTTTAAAGAGATACAACCCAGTAACTGGCAGACAGACAGCAAAGTCTTAGTAATGTAATTTTCTTAGTAATCTAAGGTTTCTGTTTTTACCCTTTGGGTATGGAACCCTAAAAAATCATAAAAATAACATGATGAATAACTCTTGCAGCTAAAATATAGTTTCACTTGTTTGTGCAATATCACAGCCATCATTCCGCATTAAACTCTCGAATGACTTTCACACATTCAGAATGCACTGAACTGTTAGAGCTTAAGATGTCTGCTCAACGACAGAGAGAGTGGCTGCATTTTAAAGAAGTTTTGTTTTTGCGACACTCGCGAACATATACAGACACTGGAGCCAAGCTTAACTGCCTGCTTATAGTAGGTTTAAAGGAAAATACATTTATTTAATTCAATCCAGCTGGTTTGGAAAAGAATTGCTTTAATTACGACATCTTTAACTTTCTGTTTTGTCCTCCTTGTGCATCGGCACCAAAATCTTGTTTGCGAAAAGCTCTGTTTCTTTTTACCCTCTTTGATATTTGACCTCCAAGTAGGCCATAATATCTAACCGAAGCTAAGGTATAGTCCGATCGCCCAACGACTCTATGAGAGCAACATCAATGTTTGCGCATGGGCAAAAGAGATATTAATGCCATTGTATAAAACTCTCTCTGTTCTGCGACCGCACTTTAGTAGGAAGTAGTTGATCTTAGTTTCTCCAGCAGTCCAATTCTGCTAATGATTACAATTATATATATCTGTAATCATTGATGTGTGAGGAAAACATTGCACTAATATTATTGAACTTTAGGTAGATAATACAATGGTAATATGTTGAAATTCTAGTGAGATGCTATTATTATATAAACTTTTGCAGAATTGGACTGCTGGCTGCTTTTAAGACAGGATCTGTTGAATCTCCATTTAATGGTAAATACTTGATAGAATAAGCATTGTTCTTTTGAGCATTGAATTTTACTAATGAAATATTTCTTTTCAAATTTCGTTCCTTTTGAATAAGGGGAAGGTTACAATATCTGTGATGGAGCAACGCCGGTAAAATAATGACTCCTATTGCTGAATTTTTATTTTGAAAGCTAGTTATCGCTTAAGTATGTAATCGCTCTATATTTAATTGAATGAATGTATCAGTATGACTGCAATACAGAGACTGATTGATTTATATTACCTATCCGTGTGTATAATGTACATATTTATGCATTGGTTCTGTACTATATTGATTGTTTATGTAAATATTTACACTTAATTTCCTAAGGGAATAATAAAATGTTTGATGAATAGCTGTTGTGTTTTGCAAAAATTCAGTTGGTTAATATTTTTCAATCACAATTTACAACATGTTTAACTTAATTCTTAATATAATTTTATCAAGTTTAACCCAATTTCTAGCAGTTTTCAGTTTAAATGATGTATGAATGAACAAACAAATATGAATATTTTTTTATTCCATTGAAATTTATATTAGTAGAGATATTTTATGTTAATTGCGTAGTAGAGATAGGTTAATTTCGTTGTTCGTTCGTTCCCCCTACTTGATATGTTGTTTATTAAATAATAATAAAATGTTAAATACTATAAGGCCAAGATAAGAGCCTTGAGGGACATTAAAGTATCAACACAGTAACTAATAAATTGAATCTTTCTACATTAATTCGCAAAGTTATGAGTCCTACATTATTTTAGTTTCAATTCATCGGAAGGCTTTAATTTCTGATGATGACAAAAATTGGGATTGATTTACTAGTGTTAATTTTTGTTAGAATACTTGAATTTCATTCCAAAATGTTTATTTAATTATATTTTTTGAGATGATCCAATACTTTAAGAATTGTTCGAAACTAATTTGGTTCTCATGTAACGATCTTAGAATTGTCTGGTCAAATTCTGAAATTTATAATTTGGTAGATAGCAATGTGCTACTGTAATAGAGAGTCAACAAAATAGTACCTACACTTCGATAAAGAACAACACGACCGAACGTGACCAAAATAAAAAATGGTGTTAAATTTATTTATATTTATTGAAATAAAAATTATTTTGCTTACATTATTTTATTATTAACCAAATTGTAGCCAGTATTTGGAGGTTCAGAACCCCTATACCGCCTCAAGAACAAAAAAAAATCAAGCTCCTGATTTTATTAGTATTTAACAGTTTAAATTTCGAAATCTCTGGGCAAAGGAAGTGTATACGGCACCATTTTAGATTTTTGCAAATCAAAATCTCTATAATCAAGAGTCTGATATGGTTCAACGTGTTCTACCCAATAGTTTTCCAGTCTAGGACTGAGTATACCTTTCCAGTGCTGTAAAAAAAAAACATTTTATTGATTAGATACACCCGGTTTCTGAATTGTGAATTTGTATTTTATCACGTCTCAAACCGTGCTTTAGCCATTCTAAACGTCGATCAAACAGGTTTTCATCACTGATTTATATTTTTTAATGATCAGTTGATAGCAATTTGATAAAACTAGGACTTTTTGCCGTTTGAAACGTAAAAAACTTGACTTATTGAAAATAATCAGTTGAGATTTTGTGCTTTTGTCAATTCAGAAACCGGCCGATAAAGTAACGATTCCATCATACCTACTCCTTACCATCGAGTGAATACGCAACGACTTTTGTGATGATAATGTAGAAAATTATTATATCTGTATTCTCTCGTGGGTAGTTTCATTGTGTCAAATTACCACAGAACAAGCACATCAGCTATTTAGTGAAAGTATCTTTACTCAAGCAAACTGATTTAAATTAGGTACTTGTCGATCGTCCAACATTTTTTACTCGCCACTCGTTCAGTCAGACTCAAAAGTCTTTTTACTGATAAGACTTTAAGTACTTTAAGTACGGCTACTACAATATTGGTTTTTAAACCACGGTGGTCATGCGGTCTGCTACGTTTGCACTTTGTTGTGACATAGCATAATGTTGGAATTCTGTCTGATGTAAAATTTATCAACATTTTTGTTTATTTTTTTTGTTTTTTAGTCTTTTGTCTATTAATGTTTTCCCATAATGGTAGTTGTAAACTAATTCATTTTTTAAATTTTAGGTGGGAAATGTTAGAGAACACAGCTTCGTGGATGGGACTACATTTTTCTTTCCTGGCAATATCTGTGACCTCTACCGCGTTACATTAATAATGTCAATCTTTGTTTCGTTTCATCTAGCTCGTAATAAGCCAGCTAGAATCACCACTAATAATATGGAATGAATCACGTAATTAATCATGCAGCGGCAATCGTGTACCGTTATACCTAATTTGTTTAATGCTACACTGTACAATAGCGAGAAAGTGTCCATCACCCACAATCACTAAAATTAAATCCTCCCACACTAACAATTGAATACATACTAACGTTTCGGGTATGGTCGGCCCATATAAGCAAAGTATTTAATGAAAACTGCTTGCAAAACTCGACGCATTTGTTAAGATAATGGTGTCCACGGTATTTCTTTCCCCTCATATAAAGGAAATAGGAGTACAGCAGATAATACCTGCAGATTAAATTATTTCAAGTAAACCATTTTCTACGGTAATGCGTTTGGCCAACCTGCACGACTGAAGCTATAATTTATCGACATGATAATTACCTACTCATGACCCAATAAACCGAAACCTATTCATATGTTTAGATTATATAATACTAATATTACATAGAGGAAAGATTTGATTGTAAGTTAGTTTCATCATCCCCACTGCAGGGCTCAGACCTTCCTTATGGATGGCCATGAACCTCCACGCAGGCCCAATGCTAATCGGAGGGTATTACCGATTGCAAATGCAGCCGGAACTTAACGTACTTTCCGAACTCTCCTTCGAATATTTTTTTGGTCATCCATCCTGTGACCTTTTCTTGCGAAAATTTTCTAACAATAAAGATCACGGCCGCACTAATCCACTACGCCACTGAGCTACTCCATGTTTGTTTGTTTGCATCGAATAGTACCTACCCGAAACTTCTGGACCGCTTTTAAAAATTCTTTACCTACGGATAGCTGCATCACACGGGGTTGACATGACATAAACCTATAGTTACTAATTTACTAGCGTAAAGTTGAGGGAAACTAGTGTTATATAAGTGTTTGTAACTAGGGTATGTAAAAAATTACCTTGGTTTAAACATTACCATATTACATCCAGTAATAATATGTAATTCCTGGAATATTCCTTTCAAGATTTTCTCCAAAGTAGTAATTGCCTTAATATTTCTGTTGTCGATCTAGAAATATGATATTAGAAAGATTGTAGGTGAATTGATAATGAAATTGTAAGTTGGCGCGTACACTAAAAAACCACCCACACAATATGAGGAAGACTAAAACATTATTATCAAAATCACTTCACATGTAGATACTCTAAAAAAATTTGTTTTTCAAGATATTATTTTACCAGTTTCTTGGCATGATTAACGCATTTACATATGCCAAAATAACAACCTTCTAGTACCAATAGCTTTTTTAGCAAAACAGTGGACGAACGGACAGACAGACATGTCGAAACTATAAGGGACTACAAAACCTTAAAAAGTTGCCCAGCTTGCGTCACATGCAATCCGACCTTGTTGATTTTTAATAAATTAGTAGATTTCAAGATACCTCCTTGACTAACGTGATCAGCAATCCTTCTGCCAATCTCATCATTATCATTATATTAAATTCATTTTTCTCAAATGTCATTGTAACAATCTGTTGTATTTTTTCTTCCCATAGTATTGATCTCTCCCATGCTCCGATACGTATGGTGCTGTAATAAAACTTAATATATTACATTACTTCAATGCCTACCAACTAACGTACAAACGGTCAGTTGCACAAACGTCCATTATGGTTTAATGCCGCCTTTAACTCTAATTAAGGTCAAAATTTGTATGGGTAATGTCTCTTTAAACTAATGAAAATGTTAATGGACGTTTGTGCAACTGGCTGTAAGTTCCATATTATATTCCCTTTAGGGATGATGAGCCAGTATCCCTTGGGATAATATACGTAATATTCTAATGATACCCCATTCAGCCAAATCTGTTAGTCACTCAAAGTTATGGTGGAATAAACTCACAAATTTTAGGGCAGTCGTGTAGACTACTATAAGACACACTACAATACGTTCGACACTTTTTTTTTACTGAAAATCAAACAATTTATTAAGAAGACCTTAATGATTTTCTAAAGAAGAATGGCGAAATCGGACCCCATAATTTACAAAACCGTACATGGATGGCAATATGACAAATAAATAATATATGATTAATAGATTTTATTTCTACAAAATGGTGAATTTTAATGTCGGGGAACCAAACTAAAATGTTAAATGCTGCTAATAATTATCAAGATAACAAAACGTCTGATGATAGTGCAAAAACAAAACGCGAAAATCTTTTTAAGAAACGTTCTGGTTTACGCAGAAGTACTTTAATAATAAAACTATATCTTGGAAGTGTTTCATGACTTTTGCCCTTGAAAAGGGTCATCTATTTTAATGGATATTATCGTTTCCTGTACATTGCAATTAATTCTATTACCTTTAAAGTACCATCAATACGCTTAATAATCGAATATAAAGTCAAAATAAGATTGTATAGAATTCATTCCGTTCTCTTTAATTGAAAACCACACAATATATCAAAGGGTTGTACTTTGGATGGTTTTTGAAAAATCGATCACATACATCAACGATGTCAGAAGCGATTCTCAATTAATCGCGAGTTTTTCAAACATGTTCTATAGAATATTATCTGTCGCCATTTACTGCTAATAATAAGTGAGATATATGATGTAATGACGTGTACCGACTGAGCGAATGAACGTCAAATATATATTCAATATAAAATCTATATATAATATATTATATGAAATACGGTCTTTGAATACTTTCATAAATATTTATTTAATTCGTTCAAATTACGTATTGAATACTTGAGAAATAAAAAAATTGAAAGCTAAGATACCACAACCGATTTAAGAAGATTATTGCCAGTTCTGTAGTTGAACCGATGAAAGGTTAACGTATCGATTATTTTGTTCTAAATAATCGATTGGTTGATTTTATTTTGACATGTTTGTTTTCATCTATGAATGTTCTAAGATGATGATGGTGGAATGATAGCGTATGCTTGGTTTGGTTTGTTTTTTGTGTGTTCGTTCGTGGAGTTTGATATTTATATTAATATTCAACTTGACAATTAAGCATGTTTCTTCGACTAACGTTGATATTTGCATTACTTTTGGATTCCGAATGGCAATTGATTCGGTTATAACAATGACAGTTCAATGTGTACATTGCCCTTGTTTGTCACTTTCAGTTGTAATGATTTAATTAAAGGCAAAGGGATCTACTCCACACAGTTTAGTCATATGTTATAAATGTTTCTTCTATTATAAATGACTGGATATTGTTAGATATGTAATTATTTTAATCTAGTTTATTAAACGGAGTAACCTGGTTACCATTTTTATTCATTTTAACGTCCATTCAACGAAAAAGCAAAGATGCAATATATAACCTCACAAAGTATTTTATGCCATATCTCTTTAATTCCAACTTTTAAAGGAAAAAGACGATTAGGATTTTGTTAGTTTAGCTTATACCTTCAAGTACACGTTTATTTCATTGATGAACGCGACTTTAAAAATTCAGGTCCAAAGCTATATGGGAGTTCGCCATTGTTCTTTACAGTCGAATTTCTACTGCACGCAAATCATTCTTATTAATGTTGATATCTATTTATTATTACTTCTTGCGTAATGTACCTACCTATGATGGCGGACTAATGCCGTAGGCGTATTTTTCCAATCAACCTTAGGTTGATAGACAGATAGATGATATTGCGAGGCCTTCACATAAATTTCAATGTTTTTATTTAAATTTCATATAAAGTACCTAAATTAAATACTTAGATCACAATGTTTCTTGTACATGATTCATAAGTGGAATGGAAATCCCCTAGATTTGACTACAAAAATCGGCTGATTGGTGGAGATACTTTCTTGTTATTTATTTATTTTCAACATGGGTTGCCTTAAATGGATTGCTAATGGCAATACGGCCAGATACTTTCTTGTATACTTTCTTTATATTGCACAAGTTTTGTGTAGTATACAATACAGCGTATATAATAATAATTATAAAAACATATAAAATAATGTAGAAATTTCAGTACACTAGCCACATGCAGACGAAAAAACTCCATGCTGCTTCTGGTGTTCTGGCTCGAAGGATCGCATCTCCTTTTTTTATATAGAAACGTTCACATGTGCCGTAGGATTCTACGTAGTAACCTGTGTCTAGCAACACCACTATAGCGTAAAAGTAGTACCAAGTTTCAGCTGCGAATGGAACAATGTTTAATTTAATATATAATAAAAGAAATTACTTTCATAGATGCCGCTAGACGATCGATATATTACTGTTAAATCTTAACCGGAAATCAAAACATTAAAATGAACCAAAAACAGTAATTTTCGTTCCCTTACGTAGTTCGTGATGATGTTTTCGTTGCCGGCAAAAAATGGAAAGGAATTCAAAAACAATTTATTTTTTTGATACATATTGGGTTGGCACAAAAGTAATGAGACACACTAGAAAAATCTATAACATTTCCTTTTTAAAATCAATATTTTCGATAATATTCTAGAACATTCTAGGTACTTCTGGTGTAGGGTATATAAAGCCGCGCTCGCGATTTGTTTAGTCAGTTTGAAGAAAAATGGACGAGCGACAAGTTCGGACACTATACTTATACGAGTAGGACTTGTTAGGCCACAGTGCGCGGGCTGCGGCTGACAATATCAACAATGCATTAGGCACTGGAACTACAAGCCATGCGACGGTGTCCCGATGGTTTGACCGTTTTAAATCAGGAGACAGGAGCCTTGAAAGTCAGCCACGCACAGGGCGACCACCCGCAGTGAATGATGACGATTTGCGCCGCGAACTGCAGTTGAATCCGGATGCTACCACTCGTGAATTAACGGAAGCACTTAAATGCAGTCACCACGCCGTGGAACACCATCTGCATGAGCTTGGTTATCGAAAAGTTTTGGCTCGGTGGGTACCGCACATCCTTACAGACGCCAGTCGTGCAGTCCGTGTCGCTATCTGTCAGTCACTTTTGCTGCGACCCCGACGTAAAGAGTTTTTGTCAGATCTGGTTACTGGAATGAATCATGGATTTATTACGAGAACGATACACGTCGTGCTTTTTGGCTGCCTCGAGAAGAAACGCCACCAACTCAACCGAAGCGGAGTCAAAAGAACCGCCGAAAAATTCTGCTTTACTGTTTCTGGGATGCGCAAGGCATGCTGTTTTATGAGCTATTACACAATGAAACTATAAACGCTGACAACTATTCAACCCAGCTTACCAAATTATCTGCCGCTATCAAGAAAAAACGACGAAGACGAGTCAATGTAGTTTTACTGCACGATAACGCTCGACCTCACGTCGCATCTGTGGTTCGCCGGCAGTTGGAGAACTTGGGCTGGGAGACGATACCCCACCCACCTTATTCCCCAGATCTCGCCCCATCAGACTATCATTTGTTTAGAGCCCTGAAACAGCATTTGCGGGGTAAACAATTTAATGATTTCTCTGACGTAGAGGCGGAGTTGAACAACTTCTTCGAGGCACAGCAATCAGAGTTCTGGGCAAAAGGCATCCAAACTTTGCCGGATCGTTGGCAAGAAGTCTTAGATACTAATGGTAATTACAACATTGACTAAACTTTTTTTATTATAATAATAATAAAAAAGTAAAAACTTAAACCAAGTGTCTCATTACTTTTGTGCCAACCCGATATATGAGGGATAAACTTAAAGTTCTTAGACTAGATTAATAATCTTTTAGTGTCGTTCTCGTTAAAAAACATGAATAGCTAAATTTAGACGATGATTTTGAAATAGTAATAGTATCTCAAAGAAAATAATAATAAAAGATATTTATTCAGATAATACAGGTTATAAAAATGTACTTCAGATTTTCCCTCAGTCATAGATATTACAACATAGAGAGATGTTGGCTAGAAACGTGTAATGATAGCTTGTGGCATTTTATTAATTTATCTTACTCGACCCATTATTCTGGTTTGTTTTTGTGTTCTCCATTGCACACTAATTTTATTACAATTCTCAGTGTGCGGTAGCCTACCGCAATACCTACCGGCGGTATGTAGTACTATGTCTCGCGAGACATACGCCGCACATCGAGGGCGCACGATGGTACAGTCCCAGACGTCTGTTATATACAGTTTCAGTGGTTATGGGGGGGGCAAGCTTAATAGATTGTTACTGTTTGAAAAAACAGTTTGGTGTAATTATCAGCGCAAGAGTTGGTCCAAAGCAATTATTATATATGATGAACAAATAGTTTGTTATACCGTGCATCTCTTCATAATTTTGGTACACATTGACTTTATTATTATTTACTAAGTGACTTACAACTTAAATCGCGGTGTTCTGGCATATAGAAGAACTGCCGCATAATATTGACCATATCATGAATGCGTAGGTCAGAAAGCAGAAACTTTAAAATCCACAGGATCAATATTTGATATGTACTAGGTTCCGTCAAACCAGACAACATACGCATCACTGAAAGCCCAAATTCTAGGCTTTCTGCCTTCTTCCCGTATTCTACACTGCAATCAATGCAAATTAAATACAAATTATATACTGTGATGAGGATAAAACGAGTAAATAGTAACAAACTAAAGGAATTAGTAGGTATTCCTGTCTTATATTTAATTCACTCTAAAATAGGTGTAAAGTAAAAACATTTACAAAGACCTTGCCTTTGGTGGATTGTCTGTTAGTACCCTGCAAGAAATACTACGAAAAGATAGATATAGAGTATTAAGGTATGGATATTAATTTAGCTAGACGTACTAGTATAGAAAGATGCTGGTGTAAAGGTAGCACACGGCGGGAACTTCGGTGACGTCAATCTGACCGCGTTTGCGGCGGCACAATTCTACCGCTTGTCTTTCCAATGTCTGACATATCCTTAACTAAAAAAAAAACAATCTAATTAAAATATGCAGTATTAGATGCTCCTTTATATTGAATCAAATTTAATTTACGGAAATTGACCCATTTTTAATTATTATTTTTTCGAATTAACGAATTTTTTAAGGTCTTCAAAAACTCATGAAATTTATGTATGAGTGATTTGTCGTTTGTCTCGGAAATCACAGTACTTATTTGTAAAATGTTCTATTTTAGTTGGAAAAAATTAAGC